ATAATAATCACAACGGTTACAATAGGGTCCTTGCACTGGTGTGCTCGGACCCTAATAATGGATTGATGGATGCATCAGGTTGTCTTTCAGGATTTCCGTGTACTTTCGTGTATTCATAGTACCACCTCTATCTTTAAAAACCTCTATTCCTGAGAAGCATCCCCACATCATGATGCTGCCACCACCATGCCTCACAGTGGGGATGGTGTGTTTGTGATGACGTGCAGCGTTTGGTGTCCACCAAAGCACCATAGCATCTCGTCTGTTTGCCAAAAAGCTCAGTTCTGGTCTAATCAGACCAAAGGACCTTCCAGTTGCCTTCAGAGTGTCCTATGTGCCTTCTGGTGAACAGTTACCCTTGGAGGGGTGAGCTTCTTCTGCAAATATAGTTAAATAAGTAGGTGGTACTTGTCAAATAAACATTCACATGTATTCTAAGACCCAAAGTTTCCAAGCAGAACATTGCACTGTTACAGGATTTTCAGTGTTGTTCACTTTATCTGTCTGTGGCTCATTGATGTATAGAGTTATGATTATCTCCATTTCAATCAGTAAATCAGTACTTTTACTTTTTTAAGTGAATTTGAATAAATTTGTAGCCACATTATTTATTTTTATTGACAACAAGCAGGAGTTTTACTTCTGGCAGAGGAGTTATAGTGTGGTTCTGAGACTTTTACTTCCTCCACTGCTGCTAGAAACCAAAAAGCAAACATCACTGTCAAAATCAATTTTTACAAAATTGAGGCTGTCTGACTGCCACGTTGTAGAAGACGATCCGTGTCTTTGTGTTTTGACGTGCTTGAACTTCTTCTGTCTTGTTGCTTCGGTCGTGTGTTTCTGATTTAGCCAAGAGCCGTGTGGACGGCCGTGCAGATGCTTTGTGTTGTACTTTGCCTTTGTGGTTCCTCTTTTGTCTTTTGAACAACATTAAAGAAAAAAGTCTGTATTTCCTGCAACACGTAGCTGCCTCATTGTTAGTCCAGTGTGGTTCCTGGCACTTCAGACTAATGCGATGTGTCAGAAAGGCCACAGTAGCAAACTGCAAAATGTCAAGAAAGTCAACATTAGTTCACTTTATTGGAAGCAAACAAACAGGTCAGTGATCTTTAGGGGCTTTTCCAGAGCAGAAAGACTTTACAAGATGCAGTGAGACAAGTGTTCCTTCCACATGTGATTCAGACAGTAACCTCTGCTGTGTTTTCTCCAGGTACAAGGAGTTGATGACGGGAAAAACTGCCAGAGAGATCATCGCTATTTTATGGATCCTCTCCTTTGTTATCGGTCTCATCCCCTTCTTCGGATGGAACTTGAAGTACAAGAGCTGCAGGAACGACAGCTCTGGGTCGGACAACACTACGAACACTGGCCACATGCAGGGGCTGCCGGGCAGCGGGGACTTACTGCAGAGCTGCAAGCTCGATTGCTTCTTTGAGAGCGTGGTAGACATGCATTACATGGTCTACTTTAATTTCTTTGTGTGCGTGCTGCTGCCGCTGCTCATCATGCTGGGCATCTACGTCAAGATCTTCACCGTGGCCAGGAAGCAGCTGAGGCAGATCGAGCTCAAGTGTGTGGGCAACGGGGACAGCCATCACCACGGGCTGCTGCAGAAGGAGATCCGGGCCGCCAAGTCCCTCTCCATCATCGTGGGACTGTTCGCCGTGTGCTGGCTGCCCGTCCACATCCTCAACTGCCTCACGCTGTTCTACGGGGAGCTGAAGAAGCCGGAAGTCGTCATGTACGTGGCCATCATTCTGTCTCACGCCAACTCTGCGGTCAACCCCATCATCTACGCTTACCGCATCCAGGACTTCAGGAACACCTTCCGCAAGATCCTGGAACAGCACTTCCTCTGCCGCAAGGAGGAGCTGTACCTGAGCTCCAACGGCAGCAGACGCAACAGAGACCAGATCCACATGACCATCGACCCTCTGCTATAGAGGAGGAGTGCCATCTGTGTCGACTCTGTTGTTTCGGTGTTGAATTTTAAATTTCACTGAGGATTATAATGTTTACAGAACAAGGGTATGATGTGTGAAGATGATGTCAAATGCGCCTTGAATGTGGACATTTATTTATGAGTATCAGGGGTCAAGCAGTGAAATGTTGAATAGCGAGTCTTACATAACTTTTGTATTGTGAAGGATTTTTGATTTTGTTGAAGCTAACTGGATTTGTAGGACTGTGAACAGGATCCAAACTTAAAATGCTATTTATCGCTCTGAATCCACCCTGTTACAAACACTCCTCTTTTCTTCGCCCTGCTATTTTATATCATCAACATTCAGTGCCACTGTTTCATACTTTATTTATTGCCAGACCATGTCTTTGAGAATGTAAAGATCAAAAAAAAAAAAACACTTGTGTGGTTAGATCTGTGCTTGTGGACCTAAAAAGGTACAACAGTAGTCGTCTTTGTCCGTAGTTATTTTTGGCTCAACAACCTTCATACTCATCTTCATCACAGGCTCAATTTACACGACTGATAGGATCTCTTTAGCTTTTATTTGATTATAAGAGGAGCAGGAAGTGTGGTATTGCTCATGTTTATATTCAAAATTAGAGACAAACAACAAAAATACACCAGAGTAGCAGAAATGTTCCCATCGCTCTGCTGTTCAGCTCAGCCAGAGTGTGCAGGTGTTCCTGTGTGCAGGCAGACGGATCAGACATTCTGCACACAGGAAGCCGCCATTAACTAAATTAAAAGAACAGGGATAGACATGCAAAAACAAACAGAAGGGGACAAAAAAAAAGCTTTTCCTTCCCCATGAGTCATCTCTCATAGCCATAGGGGCAGCAGAATGATCCTGTAAGCCCTGTGGCTGTGAACTAGAGGTACAAGGACTCCAAAATGAACAGCGTGATGCGAATCAGTCACGCAAACCCAGAAATGAGACGTAGTTTAGCAGAAACACACCCCCAGTGGTGCTCCACATCAATTCCATTTTTTGTTAAGACAAAAGCTCAGGAAGTCGGAGACTGATTGTACCCTTTGTAGAAATATGGCATCTGCACAGAGCGTCTTCAGTGTGAACATGCTGAACCTGGAGGACAGTGTCAAACTGGACACTTCCAATCAATGCAATTCACATTATTCCTCATCATCCAAGCTCCGCATTCCCTTTGGTTCTCGTACTTGCTGTAGGAGTCCGGCTGACGACACCGCTCCCCTCAGACAGTCTCAGCCGGGATCCTGAGGCTGCTGGTGAGTCCTCCACAAGTCACTCACTGAGCTGAGATGAGCTGTTTCATTTGAGAAAACAATACATTTTATTTTAAGGGCATAACCTCTGAAATGCGTTGCATCCTATAACTGAGGATTCTAATCTTCTTTGTGCTGGCAAAAATAGACGACTTCAGTCCAGCTGATGATAGAAACAGAATCTGAGGGAACACTAAGGAATCACTGTCTTAGAGACAAATTCTTTGATTTCAGTGATGCACAAAGTGCAGCATCGTAGGCTGAGGAACGGTTTGCATCTTTCATGATAGAGGTGGTTAACATCATATGTGACTGAAGACGGAACAAGAGCTTATAAATCATTAAAAAAAGAAAAAAAAAACAGGTCTTTGTGAATTCAATCAGAAGAGCAGTTTTGTTCAGAGTGTCGTAACTTATGTGAAGAACTGAAGGTGTTCTGGTCACCTGAGAGCCATCACTACACAAATGAAAACATTGCACTGACATTTTAGACTTTTCCCTGTTTGGTGTGCTTCACTGTTGTTGTTGAACCATGTTGTGTTGGTGTTAAATGAGTGTTCTTGACTTGAGCACCTGCCTCCACTGCTTCACTATATCTCCCCTCATTGGCCGTTGTGTCCAGTGTACCACCTCTGACTAACTTCAAGGGCTAAAACACAGGAGTGTGCCAACGTTTTAGTACATTCCAATGGAGACATCTATACTGTAACTGCACTGTAACGTCGTATTATTGTCTTTGTTGACTGATGTGTAAAAACAAGTACTGTAGGTGTCCGGCTTTCTACAAGCTATTGATTGATGTCAAACTATTGCATTTTTTTTTCTCCAATTTTAAAGGTAAGACGGACAATAACGAGTTGATCTAGTTCAACATTCCTGCCTTTCATTCCGAAGTACCTATCTGTCGGTGTGCTGTAGTGTCGTTACTAATCAGGAGAAACATCCACTGTGGTCAAGCTGATGCTCCACTTTTCAAGAGGCCATTCTTTTGTTCATTCAACAAAACTACAACTGCAAACTGATACTGCTATTTAACATGATGCAATCTGTATGTATGGTGAATTATTTTGTTAATAAAGGCAATGTTTATATTGTTAAACATCGGTCTTTATTCCTAACATTTCAGTTTTAAATCATGTGATCATTTATACACTTGAGCCCCAAATTATTCACACCTTTGCCAGATTTTGATCTATAGTGAATTTTTATTTGACCAATAGGTTTGTTATGGAGTCAGCTGGGATAGACTCCAGCCCCCCGCGACCCTAGTGAGGATTAAGCGGTGTATAGATGATGGATGGATGGTTTGTTATGGCCGGAAATGACCAAAAAAAACAGTACGACCTTGTATTAGAGATATTAAGGATACATTTGAACTATTTACGTTTTACTAAGGGGCTGCAAGGTGGAGCGGTGGTTAGCATCGTTGCCTCACAGTAGGAAGGTCGCCGGTTCGCGTCCTGGTGAGGACACCCGGGATCTTTCTGCGTGGAGTTTGCATGTTCTCCCCATGCAGCGTGGGTTCTCTCCAGGTTCTCCAGCTTCCTCCCACACAGTCCAAAAACATGTTGAGGTTAATTGGTGATTCTAAATTGTCCGTAGGTGTGAATGTGAGTGTGCTTGGTTGTCTGTCTCTAAGTGTAGCCCTGTGATAGACTGGTGACCTGTCCAGGTGAACCTGCCTTCACCCTGAGTCAGCTGGGATAGACTCCAGCCCCCCACGACCCCAGTGTAGGAAATGGATGGATGGATGTCTTAATAAAATTGCCATGTCCAAAATTAATAATAATGCCTTTCCTTTTTTATTTACAATTCTTTTTACAAAATGCATCTTTTATATCATTCCAAATGTTTCCTGTAACATCTTTGAGCAGCTTTTGATCTTTCAACAAGACAAAGATCCAAAACACACAACAGTATGAACAAGTTGGAGCGGCTCAGCCAGAGTCCAGACCTGAATCCCGTCAAGAATCTGTGGAGGAGGTGCGACGGCAAGAAAGACCTGGAGATCATCACTGGGAGGAGAGGAACAAAATCCCAGTGGACAAACACAGAAAGATTGTTAGCAAATATAAAAACTGTTGTGGCAAAAAAAATAAAAATGATGAATAATTTTGGAATTACATTTTCAGTAAAAATGTAAGAGAGAGAAATGTAGCATTAGCATCTCTAACACGGGGTCTTACCACCTTTTGACCCTAGTTTATGTTCTTATGCAGAAGAAACCTATTGGCCATAAACAAATGTACTATAAATCACAATTTGGAATCTATTTGGGTTTAACTGTATTTACAAAAGGCACATTGCAAAATGTTTTCATGTCTTTAAAACGTGAAGTTCAGCACACAGATGCTCACTATCCCTGTAATTCATGGTGCTTCAGATAAAAGGAAACTAAAAATAAAGCAGCATGTACTCATCGAACAGATGTCACATACTTGGAAACAGATTAGGAACTCTTGAAAAAAATAAAACAAATAAAGGCAACATCTGTAGTCTTTCAGAGAGACGTATGAAAGAGCAGGAACTCTGATTCCCGTGCTCCGGTCCCGTCTGCAGTGACCCAAAGTGTCCATTTAAAGCATCGGCCGTCATCCAGAAGAGGCTCCGTGTCCCCGAGTGAGCCCCAGGTGTAGCGGTCCACCTGCTGTCACAGCGCCGCCGTCCTGCTGAGCAGCGTGGACATCTGCTGATCAGACACACTCTCCTGCTGAGTCACAGCCATGGCCTGACACAGGTACACAGCCAGGATGTGTTTGCACTGCGAGAAAAGATTGCAGACATCGATTTATTACGTGGACACCGGCATCAGTGTGATTAATGACGCGGATATGAAACCATAATGACAGTCCAGGTACTCTACATTCAGAGATCCGATGTTAAGGCGTGACCAGAAAGGCACCGCTCGGCTCGGACCTGCTGGAAATGTTCCACTGACTAATCCTTCCACTGAGAACATTGGTCACGAAGCAAATGCCAGAACAATTACCAGTATTTATATCAAACTCTAAACATTTATATAAATGAAAAGCACTTTTGATGAAGGGGTTGTTAGGGCCTATTGTTTTAAATGGCTGTCTCTGTGATGAATAAGAAGTAACACCGGTGGCTAAATGTGTGGCCTGCAGTGCTGCACTGAAACCATTCAGAGGCTCCTCTCATTATTATCTGCATTAACATGTTAATCATTGACTTGTTTTCACCCTCAGCCTGCTGCATGCATCATAGATGAGTTCTCCTCCACACTCACACTTCTGTGGCTTTGTGTTTAACATAAATATGACCGAACTGAAAAGGACAGAAGTGCGCTGTACGTGATAAAGGACGTTTGTTTCCCTTCGTCTCCTCTCGACTATTGATCAGCGCTCGGACGTCTGCTGTTGGCGTGAGAACACGTTTATCGGCTCTCTGACCTACTTGCAGCACAGAGCAGACCTGGTTTGGCCTTATCCAGTCATGCTGGAGTCTGCAGAGCGCCAGAGCGAACAACGTGGCTCCAGCGGGGAGGACGACAGCCTGCATGGCCAAACTCACTGTCTCTAGAGTGTTGAAGGGTTTTTATTTTGGGATCGGAGAGTTCTGTTCAAATCTGACCGACAACCATTCACGCATCGAACAACACAAACTCAACTCCTTCAACTCCTGCTTCCTCCAACTAGCTAGAAAAGTTGAATTTAATGAATATTCTTCATTTTTGCTGCTCATGTGTTGTCGTGGAGAACATCCGTGGTGCTGATGCGCTCACGGGGAGTCTCCATGTTCTTCTGCCCTTCTCTGTTTCTCACACTGATTTTAGCAGCATCCTCCAGGGAGACCAATCTCCCCAACAGTCGGAGGAGGAGCGGAGGTCGTTCGCTTGCACATATTTAGAGCCAAAACAGCCAGTCAGAGCCACGGGGAGACGCCCATCAGTGACCAGACAAAAACACGACCTGACCACAGCACATCTGTCACACACATTTCAACGTGTGCTTTGTCTCAGTTGACTGGGTGAAGGTTTTTTCTAGGACGCACGCTTGACTGACAAGACACAATGTCTGTGAAACGGCTTTCACAACTGTGTGTAAATATGCTACCGTGTATAACGTGCACCATATACGTGTGCTCTGAGTTCAACCCCAGCAGGACAGCCTTTGTTGAGTGGTTCGTTTGTCTTGTTCTCAGTAAAGCTCTGGACTTGTTGATTATTTCTTTACACCATTAAGGATGTTTTGTAGTTTCCACTTTGGGTGTGGGGGCATCTCCTTCTCAAAATAAGTTACGGTACAGTTTGGTAGGTTATTTGGTGCCAGTGCCCTGGGTTTCACCTCGCAGGCTACAAATAGGCTGAAGCCCAACCCTGTGACAGGTGCAGGACCACCCAGGACAGAAAACACACTAAAACTGCTCTGCATGTTTTTCATAGGAGGATAAATCTTTATTTTTCTCTGTCAATATTATTCTAAAACTGAAGATCAGTCAGATACTAATATTGCTAAGGTCAGCAAATAAAATAACTCATTTTTATGACGATGTGAACACATTAATTAAAAAGCCCTGAACGAAATGTAACTTTGAGCAGATTCTGAAAAATACAACAATTTATAAAAAACTCTTTTTTCTTTTTTTTTAAATTTGACTTTTATTTAACCAGATAAAAGACTAATTGAGATCGAAACCTCTTTCACAAGGGTGACCTGGCCAAGAAAGGCAGCAGCACACGTCCACAAATAAACACAACAAAACAATCCCAAAATAAACATTAAAAAATGGAAAGTGTCGACAGTAAGCAGATAAAGGCAGGAGTGATGACTTCAGTAACCACTTAAAAACACAGGCACTGCTGGAAGGAATTCTGTTGTTTAACTTTTAGGAAAGAGCAAAAGGCTCCGATTTATTAGACTATCTTTAATTCAGAATGCAAGAGTAGAACATTTTCAGAATAATGTGTTATTTAAGGTTATTTTTTCAAATGGTATATTAGCATTAACACACTTTTGGAAGATTTTCTGACTTTCTGGACCCAACTAAATATCATTATATGTTACATAACTAAACATGATATTTAGCTGAGTTCAACTATCACAGCCAAAAGTCTGTATTTTTCTGCAAAGTGTTTTTGTTTTTTTTAAACAGATTCTTGCTAAAATCAATTAATTTAAAAATGCACTATTTTGTTGCTTCTCTGTTTTTTGTCCCTCGAGCAACGTCCCGCCCACGGATCTGATTGGCTACACGTCAGGAGTAACAGCCAATCAGCACTGAAGGAAAAATGTTGAAAAACTCTCTTTCAATTAAACATTAATAAAACATACGCAAGAACATTACAATGAAGTTTATTTGTTCGAGTGAATTTTGACACCAAGATCTTTATAGTTACTGCAAATATATTTTAGTTCTAAATACTCGTCTCCTTGCTTCCTAATAACTGGTTTTGACCCTGAATAAAACACATCAGTCGCCTGACATGAGGCCAAATGTATGAAACAACTTGCAGGAGACTCACCAGCAGGCCTTCATTCCTGCGTAGCACCGTGTAGGCGAAGGCAGGACAGGGGCAGTAGTGGCAGGACAAGAAGCAAGTGTACAACGTCCCCGAGCCTCCCGTTACCTGCAACACATTCATGCAAAGAACATTTAAATCTATGAAAGCTCGTTTGCCGTGACCTGATTTGAAAGATTAAGCGCAGAGATAAATATGAACTGCTTCTTTATGAGGAGGAGGTTCATGGAGTGTTTGTGTTGGCAGCTGCCTGTGCTGCGGCTGAGCAGCAGAGGAGACAGTAAAAACGTGAAAAGGCATGAAGGGAAACAAGCTCTTTCCTGCATCCCAAATGTCCCTCAACGAGTTCAGGCAAGACGGTCGAGCTCCCAGAATCAAAGTAGCAAGAACACGAGCTGGTTTCCAGGAACATCTTCTCCTTTTTCAACAGACAATCTCATCTGTCTGTCTTGGTAACCTCCAACAATCGTCATGTATTTTAATGGAGACCAACAGTAAAGCAAACAAGACAAATCTGCACTTTTATTTCTCTATTCATGTGATTTCTCCAATTCAGTGCTTGTGAATTAGAAGCGTTTCCTCCCCGACTAGTCATGATGTCATCTGCAGACAAGCCGTGCAGCTGCTTCATGTGGGAAATCAAACTGTTCACACATTATGAGCGCAGTCACGCTATGTTTTTTGGGATGTCGGCGCGGCTTCTAGTACACAGCTGTAAGTCCTCCATTCAAACACACTTTTTTTTTTTTGGGTTGTAATATGTCGAAGCTAGAAGTCAGTGACTGCTTTGGCTCCTTTCCGGCTTACAGGGTTCAGAACTACTGACTTTACAGTTCAAATTAGAGACGTCAACTGCTGTGAACTATGTACAGTTGGATTCTCCTCTTAAATCTTTCATAATCCTTCGGGTTGAAGGTGAGGTTTCTTCCACCAACCTCATCATTTCACATTAGCTTTTTTGGGGGGAGACGAGGTAGAAATGATGCATTTTTAAACAAGCTGTATGGAGTGTTTAATGGCCTTGGCTGACAGATCGCGGTGTCGGCACTCACTCCCCGCTACAGACAGTGATTTAGGCGTCGTCCTCATGCACATGGCACATGAGGACATTAGCTCGGTGGATTAGCTCGACACTTCACCATAACTAATGCTTCCCAAGATGGCAGAGCAGGCTCCATTATTCTCCAGAGCTCCAATAAATTACCTTTCCCTATGACCTACAAAAGTAAAAGCACCTCATTTGTTCAATGTGACACTTCATTATAAATAAAGAACAAGAGAGACAATTACATGGACTTAAAGCACCTCAGGAAAGATGAACACAGCGCCGGTGCACACCACGATGAGGACAGAAGCAGCAAAACTGTGGCGACCAAGCCAAGGACTGCAAGAGTTTGTAAAGAGCCAAGTTTATTGAAAACCCGCTCACACACTTGGGCCCCTTTTGTTTCCTGCTGGCTTCACAGATAATGTGGCTCTGCTGCAGCTCGACACCGCAAAGCTGGCAGCGAGTATCATCAAAAGGCACAACAAACTGCAGGCTTCCACCTCCTGGCAGTGATCCAGGCCTCTTCGACAAACACTATACATCAAGATCTGTCATTTGCTCGCTGCAGATGGTACGGTGAGAGTTAAAAAGTTTTTGGCTCCGTCTCTTCTTGAAACACTGGCTCTCACGGGAATACTTCTCAGGAAGCCATCGTGAGCCAGAGGACCAGGAGTCGGGACAGCCCTCTGTCCGCTGTGTCCACCTCACAAACAGGGCTTTGGGAAAATTAAAAGTTCTGGGAAGCCACTGTATCTGTATGTCGTCATACGGTACAGACAGGAGACAAATTAAAGGAAAAACCTGACCCCTCACCCGTACACAGAGAGGGTCTGGTGGCTGTGTTGAGCTGTGAGGGGGACATGATTTAGGTCCACTAGTCCCCTCAGACATAAAAATTTACTGCATATCAATACAGAGTGGGGCGGTAGGGGGCTGGATGGTATAATGACGCATCTCTACCCTGATGATGTCTTCCAGGATGACAATGCTTCCATAAAGCACGACGGGTCAACGAACGGTTTTATACAAATAATGTGAGTCATGTGTTACAGGCTCCGGATCTGAACACATTTAGGAGATTTGGGAGCGACGAGTTCAACAGCACTCTTCATCACCATCATCAAAACACCTGATTAGGTAACATGATGGAGGAGAATGGGGACCATCCCTCCAGTAGACGTTCAGACACTTGGAGAATCAATGCTAAGCTGTTGTGGCAGCATGTGGTGGTCCAACACGTCACAAAGAGACGTCATGTTTTCTGTCATTCGTCTGTGTATTGCGTCACCGCTCACTACTGACTGGGTACGTTTAGTTTGACTTGAGTGCTTCATGTGTGCTGATTCTAAAGCAGGGGTGTCCAATCCTGGTCCTCGAGAGCCACAGTCCTGCATGTTTCAGATGTTTCCCTCTTCCAACACAATGATCAGGATCGTTATCAGGCTTCTGCAGAGCTTGATGATGAGCTGATCATTTGAATCAGGTGTGTTGGAAGAAGGAAACATCTAAAACTTGCAGGATTGCGGCCCTCGAGGACCAGGATTGGACACCCCTGCTCTAAAGCCTTCTTCTCTGAGCCACACAGACTTTGCTCTTCATTCCAATCAGGTGAATCTTTTGGCAAACTGATGGCACTTCAGAGAGGATAATATAATTTAGAGTCCCTTCAGCTTCCTCTCCTCACAACCGGTCGCTCGCTCAGGCGCGACATTATCTCGACTCGCCTTCACGCTCTGCTAGCCGCAGACATCAAACAGTATCTGATCAGCGATGTCAAACATGATCTGAGGCGTAGAAAACGCTGACTCCAAGCTGGCAATCTCTCTACTACTGCATCCTTTTTTAAAAATAAAAATAAATAAAAATGACTCAAATACAGAACCAACAATCTCAATATTTAATTTGCTGCCGTCCACAGTTTCTTTGTGTTCGGACAAATATTAGCGGATTAATGATTAACAGAGGCGCTGAACAGAAAACATCATCTGCAATAAGTTTGATGATTAATGTCAAACAAAAATAAGATTAAGGGGCATAAGGAGTCAACTAATTAGTGGCCTTGATTGGATTTGATAGTCAACATTCTTCCAATTTAATCTGATTATCGTTATGGTTTTGTTAACTGAAACCAGGTGAATTAAACTGATGCAGTTACAGTTATTCCTGCTGAAGGGTAAATGTTCAATGAAGCTTTGTGTTGGAGTTTGTAAAGATTTACATTTGTACTGCAAATGTATGCGTTCCAAATGTTGGCTATCAGTTTCCTTGATTACCAATAATTTGTGACAGTATCAAAAAAAAAGAAAACATGTTAGTCGACCCGAAGGAAAAAAAAAAAAGACAAACGATGCCAAACATTTTCTTGCTCCAGCTTCTCAAATGATAACAGTCTCTACTATTCTGATTTATTTCACTGTAACGTAAATAATTTGGTGGTTTGGAAGGAAAATGATTTAACTGAAGAAGCGGCTGATTGCGAGATAGTAATAACAATTGTTCTTAGCGTTCCCGTTCGTGCAGTTGTTGAGTTTCATTAAAGTTTGTAAGTCACGACTTCTGCCTCCCAACAGATGTCGGTGGACCATTTCTTATGAAAAGGTCACCGAGCGTTAGAAATGAGATAAGGTGAATAATCCCAGCTGTGAAATGCCAAGTTCTCATGAGTTATTTATTCCCTCTGGGGGGGAGAGGAAACCAAATATCCACGGCAACATGAGAATCTCTATCGCAACCCATTAAAACAATACATTAACGGGAATTGATAAAAATGTCTGTGAATTTATCAGCTTCTGTTGCAGCATCTCGGACACGTCATCCCACTTAAAGCACACTCTCACAGAACTCGGTGGGGTCTAAGATAACATTCTCATTTCTGTAATTTGGTGAGAGTCATCTTCTCTCTTATCCTCTCATCTGCTCACAGGAAATTTATATGAACTCTTGACAAACGGATGACTAATTTCAGGGAAGCGTTATTTGTAAAATGAGTTTCCGCTCCTCGGACGTCATCGTTGGCTTCGCTCTATTCCAGAGACTTCATGGCGTTCCTCTAACTGACAGAGCTGTCGCATGCTGTCCAAAGATGCTCCATCTTCAGCTAAAACACACAGCCTGGAGGCGAACCTGAAAGATCAGGGCTGTCACAGCGTCACCTTTGATCCTTCAAGTGCCGTTCTCATCCCCTTTTCTCCTCCTTTAGCTTTTACTTCTTAAAAGTCACAGAGCTGATTTGATTGAATTTAACCAAAACTTAAAACATCTTAACCACATGAACCTCAAGCAGCTTATGGATGATTTTCTTTTCTTCATTCTTTTTACTGCAATATCAAATCCTGCACCTGTACAGAAACAGCACAACCATGACGAGACGTAGTAAGAATGTTTTTTCTGTTGTATGACACAAACATCCATCCATCCATCATCTACATACCGCTCAATCCTCACTAGGAGGCTGGAGTCTATCCCAGCTGACTCAGGGTGAAGGCAGGTTCACCTGGACAGGTAACCAGTCTATCACAGGGCTACACTTAGAGACAGACAACCAAGCACACTCACATTCACACCTACGGACAATTTAGAATCACCAATTAACCTCAACATGTTTCTAGACTGTGGGAGGAAGCTGGAGAACCCGAACAGAACCCACGCTGCACGGGGAGAACATGCAAACTCCACGCAGAAAGATTCCGAGTGTCCTCAGCAGGACACGAACCAATGACCTTCTTGCTGCGAGGCAACGGTTCTAAGCACTGCCCCACCTTACAGCCCCTGACACAAACATAATACCATCAATCAGGGGTGTCCAATCCTGGTCCTCGAGGGCCACAATCCTGCATGTTTCAGATGTTTCCCTCTTTCAACACACCTGATTCAAATGATCAGGATCGTTATCAGGCTTCTGCAGAGCTTCATGATGAGCTGATCATTTGAATCAGGAGTGATGGAAGAGGGACACATCTAGAACATGCAGGACTGTGGCCCTCGAGGACCAGGATTGGACACCCCTGCCATAAATCATTTTTTTTAAAAGAAGGTTAAAAAACAATCATAATAATTTCTTTGATCACCGTATGTACAACATTCCTCTAACTGCCCTCAGGTGTCACCAGTACTAAAATAAAACGCTCTATTCGACGAGACCTATTTACATTTTTACAGCCTCCACAAAGCACAACGTTTTTCTCATCACATCAGTTCTAGACCAACAATTTCAAACTTGCTTCTCTGGATAAATACTGCGTACGAGCCGCGCTGTATTTATTTTATTGATCAAGTTGCTTTCTTTTCCTCTGTCGTCATCTCCTCTCTGCTCTGTGTAAACACAAACTGCAATTCACCTGATAAGTCTCTGAGTTTTTGCCTCATGGCTGTTAGTAGCAGATGAGTCATTCGTGGCCTCTCAGTGGTGCCAAAGAATGGTTTTGTTTGAACAGTTTTTTATAGAATCTGGGGCAAACTGTTAATTTGTTTGTGATTTTTTTTGGGATGAGATGACGATTTTAAGCTTATTTTTGTCTTTTTTTTGTCATAGACTGTAAATAAAACATTGTACTGACCAAACCACGTCACACATGGTGCATTCACAGACTGTTGGAAAGTTACAAATCTGGCAAGTCTCTATCTGTCCTCCCAATATTTGCCTCTGATAAATGATTTTTGGGGCTCAGAGGGTTAACACCGTGCTGGTTTTGGATATTTACTTGGAAAGAGTTTGGTTTGTTTAACAGCTGCCAACTGAAGCACTGAAACGGAAAGCGTCAGGGAGCGTAAGCTGAATACTTGTTGTATGGCTTTGAGACGTCAACTAAACAGACACTGTGTAAAGTAAAGCAACACTCAATGCATCACTAAGCGTTCAAACATAAAACAGACCAAGACCACAGCAGCAGCACTCACGGCTGAAGACTGAATAAACTCCATCTTCAACATGTGTGATAAAGACAAAGTAGAACATCACGTGATAATTAAAATGCAGTTTGTGTTGAAAAACTTCCTGTAAAGTCGTGTGTATTAGGAATGATGTAAGGCTGCTGCTCTCCAAAGAAAACACGTTCCATCGACAACCTGATGATACTGTCCTCCTCCTCCTTACACTCAGCAACGCTTCGTTGTGTTAATCTTGAAACTTTTTCCTTCAAAGTGTCTCATTAAGACTGATATATAACAGAAAAGTTCTGTATCACCTAAAACAACGTTCTGGTCTATACCAATCTGTCACAGCATTCAAACCAGCTGCCTAATATGGTGCAGGTCCCCCCTGTGCTGCTAAAACCGCTCTGACCCATCGGTGCATAAACACCAGACGTCTGCGGTGTCCTGTAGTGTCTTACACCAGGACCAGGCAGAGGGTTCTTTGTCTCTCGTGGGTTGTGGGGTAGAGCCACCATGGATCAGGGTTTTTTAAGGCACATTCGGTAGATACTCGATCAGACTGGTACCTGAGGAGTTTGGACTCCCCGGCCTACAACAGGGTCTACATGTAAAAGTAACACCCACATGAAGGTCAGGAACCAAGGTTTCCCTGCAGAACAGTGCACTGTAATGAGATGATCAACGTTATGCACTTCATCTGTCAGAGGGTTTAATGTTGTGGCTGATGTAGCTTCAACACATCTAACAGACTGGATAGCTGGACATTTTGGATTTTGCATTTATTTGCTTACTTGCTGGGAGCCACATGAGAAGATCAACCCTCTGCTTCCAATCTTTGTACTACGTTAGGCTCATTGGCTGCTGGCTGTAGCGTCATAATGTTCTTATGTTGTACAGACATTAGATCGGTTTCATTCCTCACATCTACAACCATGAACAAATGTTTACATACACCTGTAAAGACCATGTATGTCATGGCAGTCTTTATTTTCCCATGACTCCTATAATAATTTTCTGTAATGGCATCACTGAAACACATCTTTGTCACAAAAAACAATCGTGCATTTTGGTTCTTGAATAGATTTGTTATAGGTTTTCTAGAAATATGACAAAATCTGTATGAATGATATCCATGTTTTATCAAGTGTATGGAGACTTCTGTTCAGGACTGCAAGTCTTGAACTGAATAAATGTGTTTCCCAAATACAGAACTACTTCTACAATGAGTGTTTTATCCATAATGAATCTCCAGCTGTGTGTGAGCAGCAGCCTGCATCTGTACTGAAGGCTCTCAGAGCAGCGGAGCAGCAAGCAGAGGATGTGTGACCTTCCCACAGGTTCAGTCTGACAATTAACACTTGGGCGACTCCCACTGACATTAGAGTTGGCAAGACAGTCTGCCAATGTCCAAATTATTATTCTGACTTCTAAACCTGGGAGAGAATTAAATGACACTGATCTACACAGACAGGCAGCAAATAACAGCGAAGCCAGCCTAACATGATTTTCATACTTGATTACTCTGACAATTTGTTTCTCATTAAAACTGCAGGAAGAAGAAATCTGGAAAGAGCAAAAAAAAAAAAAAAAAGTAAAAAGCCAGACTTTGAAATTATATATACATTCCCCTGCTGCAGCTCTATTCTCAGCTCCTCGACCAGACGAGCACATGCTTTAAACTCACAAAGATAGTCACCTAAAAGTCAACATTCATTTGTGGCTTCACCCAGGATTTGTATGCCAAAGAAAAGTCCCCCATCCAACCCATTGTGTGCCACCGCGTCCGGCTCTCGCTGTGGTCTTTGTTGCCCTTTATACTCTCTCACCTGCTGTGGATGAAAAGACCTGTGATTGGTTTAAATCTCGCTGCCTGCACCAGCTTTAATCAATTATTCATTCAGCCTATGAAAATGTGAAATGAAAAAAAAAGTAGTGGAAAAAAAACCCCAAACATCTCAGCTTCCTGGAGCTCAATGTGATATCATTGAAATATTTGTTTTGCCGTCCAGAAACGGCAACCAAAATACATTTCATTTACCGTCACTGTGACGAAACAAGCAGAAAATGCCCACACATGACAGGAAGGAGACATCAGGTATATCTGCATTAAATCCATCTAATCAATGAATCATTGTAGTTCAGCAACAGACAAAATTACATTTAAACTACAAACAAGATGCTTTATGAATCTAAAACTGTCCTTCAGAAAAGTATAAAAATCCAAATATGTATATAGAAAAACTGACTGCCTAATGACATATATTAAATTAAAAAGTAAAGAAATGTAACGTAAACTTTCTTCTGCAATAAGACAAAGGGAAACACTTTCATGTGGGGGAATAATGTTTTCCAGAAGAGAAGAACAAACAACAATGATTATATTAATGGTTTGCTGCTGGACAACAAACATCAGACAGCCTTCAGGGGAATGAAGTGAAACAATTAAGACTCGACGGCTGAGATGAAAGTCTCCCACCAGAACAAAATCCACGTCTTTATTTAGCTGCATTGTAACTTACGGTACCTTTCATAAAGCTATTTTTACAGAAGCCTGAAGGAGTTTACAGGAAATTTGGGGCACAATGACCACAGCCTCAGCGGACCGCCGTGTCTCTCCCACCACAAGCGACGTTACATCCTACTGACTCTACCTCGGAGGACAGCGTGACTCGGGTCATGTTTAGACTCCAAATGAAAAACAGCTGATGGAGGGGATTTGGACAGAAAATAAATGAAGAATTTGATAGCATCTTTGCAGAAAACCCTGACATTTAATAGTTTAACTCAGAAGAATGCTCCTCCGCGCTAATTGTGCCGTATGTTTTCCTGTGGACGGCTGCGGAACTGAGGCAGTAATTTGATGTTAATATGAAAATCATTAGGATGTCGTCTTTGCATGTAGGACTGTGATTGTAAATGCGCTGTGCTGACAGACACGTAACAGACCTGGAAGGCTTTGCGTCCGCTGGGAGACGACAGACAGGTGACCGAACGCTGGTCGACCAAGTCCAAAGCTTGTAGCGCACAAGACCCGAAGACAAACCTCAGCCTGGAAAACATTAGAAAATAAAGATGACAGTAAAGGGAAACACCTGAGGACATCATCCAGTGTGTGCTTTGTGGGGTTTTGTTTTGTTCAGGTGTAAATGTGCACATGTCGTACAAGACTGCAACAAAGTGTGGTTCAGAATAGACACAATAGAATCTTTATTGTCATTTTAACAAGGACAACGAAATTAAAACCAACAGTGCAACATTCATGTCAAAATAAGACGATAAAAACTGTAAGAGAGTAGTTAAAAAATACATATCTATCTAAATAAATAATTACAGACATGCAAATACACACCCATACATCCATCTCTTAACTGCACAATCCCTGAATGCACTTAGCAGCATGTATTGTGTTTTAAATCTATTGAATGTGGTTACTGCTGTGGGGTAGAAGCTGTTTCTGAATCTACGTGTCCTTGTTCTGAGTGATCTGTACCTTCTGCCAGACGACAACAGCTCAAACAGGGAGTGACCAGGGTGTGAAGTGTTCTTTATAATGTTCTGGGCTTTTCTGAGACATCAGTGGCTGAGCAGCTCTTCCAGAGTGAGGAGTTCGTGAATGACACTGTGATGATTGTCATTCTTAAAGCAAAAACACTAAATATTTGAGGGATTTTAGATTCTCAAGCTCGCGGATTTTCTTTTCTTACATTATACAATATTGATGATCTTTCGGTTCATACTGCTGGTGGACATTTGACAACATCACCAAAGACCAAAAGATTCCTCAAGAATGCAGTTTTAAAACATTATACAAGTTATACATCCAGAAACTTCCCTCCTCCTGTACCGATGTGTGACTTGTCTTCAGAAAGCCCGTCTCATCAGCCTCTCGTGGAGCTGGTTCCTGCAGCTACTATTGGTAGAAGAACTAGCATAGCTGCTTCATTTACAAGTATTTCCTCAGTGCATGTGCTGTGAATCTAGACAGAAGGGTTTGTTCTTTAATTTTAGGGGAGTAACACTAAAACCTGATACATAAAGTTGATGCAGGAGACAGTCATCCTTCACTAAAAACTCTTCCTTCTCATATTGATAGAAACCAAGACTCACATTCAAAACAGGAGTGGTCTGCTTGTGAACTACCAGAGTGTGATGAGCCCCTAAACCAGAGGTTTCCTGACTAACAAACAGGATGTGGTGCTGCTGACCCAGACAGGGAGCACCCCTTCTCTCTCTGTGTTATCCAAACCGCTGCCAGGAAACGTCTCCATAAAGACACATAGCAGCATCATGACAATGTGCCTCAGAAGGACGTCACTGGGGTAAATCCAGACGGTAGAAAATGCCTCCCTCGTCTTCCTCATCGTGGTTTCTGCACATCACACCCACTTAAAATCAGCCTTATGCAGACCCTTCTACTTATGACACAGCTCAGACAGGACTGGATGACTGGTGTTAATCATAGTCTCGAAATAAAAACTACTGGTGAAAAAACAATGTAATCGGTGGCAGAGCTGGTAAAAGGTGAATGTGATGGCAGTGAATGTAGAATGGAAGAAGAAAATTAATACTTACGCAATTAGCAGGTCATTGGGGACTGCAAAAAAAAAGAAAAAGTGATTATTTAAAAAGAAAAAACCCACAAATTAAACAGCGATGAGACAGTTTCCTCCAGAAATATTAATGTGAGAATGGGGCTGGCATGTTTGAATTGTGTTCAGAGGACAAACTCTGCTTTTACGTTGAGGTAGAGGTAAAGATAGAATATATAGATAAGCAAAAATAACTGTTACTTCTTGCTTACACCGATTTAGTTTGACTCTGCCTCTTAAAAAATGTTTATAAGCCACCGGAGAGCTCTGCCCAGATAATGAGGACCTGATGTTCTCACTTAAGGACACAATAAACTGTAACACTGCATTTAATAGAAAACACTGTAAAAAATATATAGAAATATAAAAACAAAAAATCCATTTGATTTTATATGCAATTACCAATGGCTACTCACACGTTTTAAACATTCTGAATTCTAACTTGCACCACAAGCCACATTTTCAATCACTTATTTTAAACGGTTGTATATCTGCTTTGCGGCTCTGCATCTAAATAGTGTCCTATCTCCTGCAGGCGCAGCACCAACACACCGACATGTACAGAGGGAAGCTGACGGCCACACATTTGTAGGTTCAAGTCAAATGCCTTTTTTAAATAATACAGGTAAAAAAAGGAACTGTTGAGATGGCCTCGGGCAATCCACGGCCTCAGACTGGCTGTGTGTCAACGCTGTAACCTGCACAGGCGTGACTTCAGCTCAGAGAATAAACCAGCTCTGCCTAAAGCCAAAGCTAAAAATAGGAGTGCATGCTTCAGTTTAGTCATTAAAAAAAAAAGAAAAAGACTACGAGCCACAGTTATGGAATAATGGTGTAACGGTAATAAAGTCCACAAGGGCCAGCAATATTGGGAAATAGGGTGGGGCAGGTAATCCTTAAAAATGAAAATAAACAAAAACCTTGTTGTTAGTCTTTAGGGTTTCCACATTTATGCCTCTCACACAAAAAAACTAATTAGGAACAACTATAGCTGAACAATTAGGGGAATAAAAGACAGATATTGCAAATCGATACGCAACTGATCATTTAAAATTCAAGCTTCAGTTCAATATTGATTGTGTAATTGATTTTCAACATGTGTTAGAGCATTCGACCAACACAACAAACACAAAATGTAATTGGTGATGATGACACACCATCAAAAGCTCAACACAAGGAGGACGGCATGAATTTATAAAAGCACAACAATTTAAACTCTTTATGAGACACATATAGAGGCTAAACTGCAACTATACATGTCTTCTTAATCTGTCTTTTATCATTTCAGCTTTTATTATTGTCTTATTTTACTTTTCTGGATTCAGAATTCACTTGAGGCTTTATTTTTGGTACACGTTATTTAAAGCACGCGTTATAATTGAACTGTATGAACAGACAAATCAAGTCTGATTAATTGATTATGTTCGATGACTGATTTTGGGAACCTGGTGATGAAGCTGGTGATGTGTGAATCATGACATCATTACATAAATGATGGCTCAGCTCCATGTGAGCGTCCCAGCAGGCCACAGCACACCTTCACCAGAACATGGGGGTCAATTATAAAACCTATGACGCTTCAAATCCATTCAGCTGCTTCTGTTTTGGTTAATTTAGATACATAAATAGAAAACTGTTGATATTAATGTGAATTTTTCCAACTATAACAAGTCAAAACGCCTCCCTAATTTTTTTAGCGGTGTAATCCTGCACTGGTCTGTAATGAGACTGAAAACTGCTGCAGCAGCGCCCCCTATAGTCCACATAGTGAACTGCACCAACGGAACAGCGGCAACACAATGTGAAATTATCCCAAATGACAGGTTAGTGTTACTGTGGACGACAGTAAAGGCGTTATTTTTTAATGGGATGGTTACCAGGTCCTTCCTGAAAACGGAGAAGTTAACTCAGTTCAGAAAGTCCTGATAGTCTGTCAGTGCAACAAACACCTGTTAGCTTGTGATGCTACAGCCGAGGCTAACCGTTTATGAACATGTACGTGTGTTCGGCTCTGTCGTCTTACTTTGAGACGTCTCCTGATACGTTTTTTGAATATCTCGAAAAAGTTGTTCAGCCACTGCAGGTAACATTGACCGCATCTTCACGCTGCTGTGGTGTACCAGGAAGTCTTCGGCTCTTCCAGCCAATCAGCTCCGACCAAAATATTACGACTTCCGTGTTGTGTCGACGTTTGTGTTCCTCCAAAATAGTCCGACTGAGAACTGAGTCTGTCCGTCAGGTTCCACACTCACACAACCAACAGTTAAATTCAGTGTCGAGAATGAAGTTGTTTCCATCATTAGCTCTTTAGCTAACTCCTTAAACATCATTTTGAATTTATAGGCATTTAAGTAAATGTACTGTCTCTGCATATTTACTCATAATTAATCCTCAGGAAGTCTTCTGTTCACAACTCTTGACCAACATGAATGACAGAATCATGGAAGGGACTATGTGTAAATCACATAGGTGACTGACGAATGCAAGTCTTAGTGTAATTTTATTGTACCTTCATATAAATTATTAACTACTAAAAAATCTCAGGCATTTTCAAATTATGATATTTGCCTTGAGGCTGTTTTTGTTCTTTTAAAAGTTGCTTTTAAAGAGGTTTTTATATTTGAATGTCCCTGCTACAGGGGCTGCGTGGTGGATCGCCTGTTAGCACGGTCGCCTCACAGTTAGAAGATCCCTGGTTCACATCCTGGCCTGGGCCTGGGATCTTTCTGTGTGGAGTTTGCATGTTTTCCCTGTGCAGCGTGGGTAATTGGTGATTCTAAATTGTCCGTAGGTATGAATGTGAGTGTGCTTGGTTGTCTGTCTCTAAGTGTAGCCCTGTGATAGACTGGTGACCTGTCCAGGGTGTCTCCTGCCTTCACCCTGAGTCAGCTGGGATAGACTCCAGCTCCCTGTGACCCTAGTGAGGGTTAAGCGGTGTATAGATGATGGATGGATGTCCCTGCTACAGAAGTACTTACTAGTAGAAAACCATCAGACACATTATTTTACATGTAAATTCATTCATATGTGAAAGACAAACAGGCCTCAGACACACACATGTATATTGATGCTAACTTAGAGAAATGTAATGACAACATTTAATTCATTTCAAGGTACTGGGTAATGATGTTAGTTTAAAAAAATAGAACATCTTGTAGGAACAATTCTGAGGCTGTTGCACACTAAAGTAGCATGATGCAGGTGTCAGATCAGCAGCAACAGGCCTTTAACAGGGACATATTTAGCCACCGACTTTATATACATCATGCATTTTGTATAACCAGGCCTGCCCAGTCATGCAGGTGGATGTGAGGGCAGGGGGGGGATCAAAGTGTGCAGATGACTTTGGCTCAAGGCCCAGAGGGGCCCATGCAAAGGTCAGTGTTTAACCCTTAATGGGATCAAGCGTGACAATAGCTGAGCGAAGTCCAGTTTGGAAAATTTTGTCTTGCTGTCCATAATTCCGAATGGCAGGCTGAACTATGAACAAAAACTGCACAACACACCGTTTATCACAGACAACATGGCATGTCATAGCCTCCAACAGCAGCAAACAGCACAATTACAATTAATAAATGAGTGGCAAATGGATCAATATCTATGCCATATTCACTAACCCTTAATTTAAGTCAAATTATTATTATTAATGACTGGTATCAAGCGCATTTTTTTTTTAAATTACAAGGGATCGTTTGCATTTTTTTTTTTTTTTTTGTTGGCACTTCTTGACAGCATGTTTTCATTTCATGCATTATTTCCCCAATAAATGTAGCACTAAAGAGTTGCAGAAGACATCACTGACCAAGAATTAAAACCAGTGTGGATTCAAAGAAGGGAAAATCACAGCAGTCAGAAAAACGGCACATCCATTAAGAGCCTACACAGTTTTCAGTGGTGGAGAACTGATCCACTTTATTTGATTGGTCTGAACTCTTGTAATAGCCTACTAAGAGACATTGTGCGATACAAACATTGCATTTCAACATCATAGGATACACGGGGTTTCAAGTCTCAATTTCAAAAAGACAAAAAAAGTCATCACTGTGTGTTTGATAGAGAGCTGAAAAGATGCTCCAATTCTTTTTCGGCTTCATGTCGGATTTCTTTTTTTTAAGATTCAAGTTTGTAAACTTTTTTTGTCATTGCGTCTGTAAACACATAACATCCCATCTAAACAGGATGGATAACATAGATGTTGAAAATGACAGAAAATAAAAATCTGAACATGTGCTACGACAAGTGATTCAAAATCAAAATGAAAGGAAAAGAGGAAATATCAAGTTTAGAGCAGAATGGATTTGTTAACTGAGCAAAGTGAAACCCGAAAAAGCCAAAAAAATATGGTACTGTTTTTCACATATCTAAAGAAAGAAAAAAAAAAAAACGACTCAGAAAGAAACGTTACTGCCATTTATGATGTTGACCTAGTATAATTCATATTCAAAGCTTTATGCCTTATAGTTGACACAATAAAAGCAGAGATTAAGTGGTCACGGTTTTGAATCACCACGACAGCAGACTCCTAAACATTTAACTGTACCATACACTTAAAACTGTAACTGTGATGCAAGTGTCACACTAAAGAAAAAAAAAAGAAAAAAAAAACAACTCATGTACCAGCTACAAGAAAAGACAGAAAGTCAAAACATCCAGATTTCTGTGAGTGGTGGGAAAAGTTAAAGCACATCTTAGTATACTCCTGGGCTGGAGGTTGAATAAGTTACACAGCAGGTAGTATGCTTTTTGTTGTCAAAAGCTACAAAGCAAAAAAAAAAAGTGCAACAATGGTGCAGACCATTCTGTACGTTTGGTTAGTTTTGTCTTTTTGTGTAATGGAAAGACAATTTACAGAGTTCAGATTTTTGTCAGGACAGTATCAAAAAAAAAAAAAAGGAAAAAAAAAGAAAGAAAGAAAGAGAGGGACTACAGAAACAAATACAAACATCAAACACCAACGTATATCTCTGAGAAAATTAGTTAAAGCTGCCTTCTTTCTCAAGTCACAAGGCATGGCAAAAGCATCCAAAAAAAAACTTCCTGACATACTTTTTTTTACCATGACAACATTGCAGAGCAAATCATTCTGGACAGGTTGGAAACTGCAGAGAGACAGCTACATGTGACACACCACATAGTCAGCTCTGTTGAAAGAAAAAAAACAAAAAAACACATTGGCTCACTTTCATTATTCAGACGGGGTCCAGGAGTAGTCATAAGGATATCATTTCCGGCAAAATTAAGCTTATATCAGACTTTTCACCTTTCTGCTATGACACCAGTGTTCTCAACTTGTTTTGAAGACATTTCTCTGTCTAGAATGGGGTGAGACGTTATCTCTGCCATCTGATAGTTACAATCCATGCATCCTCTCCACTGTGTGACGAAGACAGGCATCAGATATCAACGCTGTTCGAAATGTTAGTCTGTGTTTTGTTTTGTCCTCTAATGTCCACAATGTTCAGGCTCTGGTGGTGCTTGGTGGATGGCGCGCAGCGTGGCACAATCTCTGTGCTCCACTCATGGTCAAGTACAAACCACAGGTCCGGTCTCTCTTAGCGTCGCTATGGTAAAAATATTTGAGTGGGTGACATGGGTTCTGGGGGCGAACTGGGAGAGACCAACTGTGATATTAAAGATAACACCCCTACTCTTTCCATTTAAAGTGTATCAATTTAAAAGCGACATTAAAATAAGAAATAATCAAGTTAAGAAAAACACTGCAAAAGGTTACTCTATTTACATACAATGATTTTCTTAAAGACAAGGTATATCTTTACAGAAATCAAACAAAATTCAGAAATAGTTTCTTATGTTGTTTCTTTTTACATATTAAGTTCTTCATCTTTACTATAGCTCACGTCATCCCCTCAGTTGAGTTTATTCCCCTGACAGGCTGGGTGAGTGCTTCCGGACCAAAAGCAAGTCTTGTTCAGGAGAGCCCTGCCTGTCACAGGCTGCTGCTTACGCTTAGCTAACAGCCAGGGGGCGCCATAGCACCAAAAATAAAAAGGACACCATCCCATCTACTTGTCACACTCGCCAGTGAGCGAGGTCAGTTCTGGCAGAGGGGGGTATACAGACAAGCCTCGGCGCAGGCCTCTCTTCTGGTTATTGGGGCTGCAGCAAGCAGGGCTCAGTCGTCACTGTCAGACAGGGTCTCGTATTGCTCTGACAGCAGAGACTGCCACACTCGCTGCTGAGCCACCGGGGCTCCAGCTGGAGGCGGCTGCTGTTGCTGCTGCTGCTGCTGCTGCTGCTGGCTCTGTATGGAGGGTGAAGCTATGGAGGTGGGTGGCGTGTTGCTCAATATGCGCATGGTCAGCGGGTTGTAAGGGAACTGCATGGGTCCTGAGGACAGAAGAAGAGGGAACAAAAGTGACTAAATGTAAATAAACTACCTCCAGGTGTGTGACACTGACAGTAGAGGCTGGACAGCTCACCTGTGGATGAGGGTCGTTCATCCCAGCTCCACTGGGGTTGGGCTTGTCTGTGATAATCTCCCTCAGAGTGGACGGAGGACACTGACGAGGGACGCTCCCCTCCAGCGTAGGCCTGACCCAGGTTAGGTGACTTAGATTTCCGGCTGTTGGCTTTGCCCTGCTTCTGCTTCCCTGTAGATTCAATCAGACAGAATGCGTCAATCAACAAGCTTTACATCCATCTGAACACATATAATATTGGCTGTGACATCCTGCCTACCCATACTGGGAGACGGAGTGGCCTCCTGTCGGGCATCACCACCTGCGCTGGATGCGTTGTTGACAACACCCCCTAATCCTCCCTGGTGCTCCTCCTGTCTCTCCTCCAAGTTGCCCATCAAGGCTTTGCGGATGATGTCCTCAAGGCCCAAGTTACTGGCTGGGTCACTAAAGGAGTGATTTCTAGGGTTGATGCTACCTACAAATCACAACATAACAAAATTGACAATGAGAGAGGAAGCACAGCTGAAGTGAACTGTGACGTGTCTGAACGAGTTTCATGGCTACTTACTGGAGCTGGTAACAGCAGGCAAGTTGAAAATTTCTGTGCCTGGTTGTGCGTTTCCTGCAAGACAATCATTGAGGTTGATAACACTAAATGTCTGACAAGAAATGGAAATCAAAAGCATATCATAAATCAAGTTGTTCCAGTGTTACCACATGCTTAATAAGCTGGAAGAATAAGAAAGAATTAATTCAACAGAAAGCATAACAGAAGACCCACTTACCAACATCAGAATCACCGACACCAGAGGTGGAGTTCAACTTACGAAAGATCTCCTGCTTCTTGGATTTCACCATCGGTGAGGTGCTCTCCAGCTTGGTGAAAAAGGAAGGCAGATAGCTGACACTCCCTGGGGAACGTGAGTCACTCCTTGAACCACAAAAAGGGCAAAGAGCCATAAGTTAAACAGCAGTAGGGTAAATAAGGCGACAAAGTCTTGGCAGGACCACACAGTTTCAACCCCAGAGAGATGTCAAACGATTTCTGACGGGGAACTTTCTGGCTGCTGGCATCCAAACAAGAAATTGATCTACCGTCCAATACAGTCATTATCGAATGTCAGGGTGCTAACGGCAAACTAACTGCTAACTTTAGCAGAGAGGAGATCAAGTGCTTAAATACTGGTAATCTGATATTTACGGCATATACTACAGGTTTACATTTCAGAAACACATGTGCAAACTACAAAGAAGCAAAATGGATGTCTATTGATAAACTCTACTGTAATCAAATGGACAGTCAGCTACAGAATATTTAGACAATTTTTCATATCAATAATACAACTGAATCTGAATCCCAGTGTTTCAAGAGAAGAGTTCCAAGACTTTGTTGGACTGACAGTTTTAATCTATTTAGTAAGCAAACTGCGCTGATCCTCTACCTGATCTCTGAGTTGTCAGCCTCTCGTCTCTGAGGTGGAGGCCCGCCAGCCTCCTGTTTGTCCATGCCTTGGTAGCTCTGAGGTGGAGAGATGGGTTCGTAGGTCTCCATCGGCCTGCCTACTAGCTCTGGAGACTTACCAGGTCTGAACAGGAAGGACAGACCAAATTACAGACTGATAATTGGTACTAAATTAGACTCACTGATCATTTCAGACGTCACATACCTGGATCTGGGCTTGTCTGGACCGCTCTCTGGGGAAACTCTGCTGGAGGGTCTCTGGTGGTGCGGGGCCTGGTTCTCAGGACTGTAGCGGCTGGGCACCTTGACTCGACCTGAAGAGGACACGGGTGGCCCCACGCTCTGGAATGTAGCAGAGGCTGAAGAGGAGACTGGAGGGTCCTGATTCCGGGCAAAGTCCTGGGTTATGATATGCTGCATTACAGGGAGAGACCACAAAAGCAGGTTAATTAGCTATGATAGGCAACATTGTCTGATGCAAAATACTGTGCTCTTTGGCATTTCTTACCGAAATGTGGTCTGCCAAGGTCATGACTCTGTGAGTTTTGGGGACCTGCGAGTAGCTGTCAGACTGGGAGGAGGGGGGCTGCTGTGGTGGCTCCCCTAATGTCCGGTAACGACTCGTATCGTAACCCCGCATGCCAACTAGTGAAGGTTAACCAGGGACAAAGGCATTGTTAATTTTTGGAGAGAGTAAGGGTGAAGTGAGAAGTGATGACATGACTCGTAGCCAACAGACTCTATGCCAAAGGTAACTGATCTACATGTGCCTGCAGGTGACAAGAATAACTCTGAGTGTAGTCTGGTGCCGAGACTGGTGCAGAGGAATGCTGTCTGACAGTCTCAAATGTCAAGGTCAGTGGGTTAGGTCATTTAGGTCATTGTAAGTTGACTCAACACAAGCTAAATTTAGCTTTCTATGCCCAGTCTGCCACATCACTGCTACAAATTAATTTTGACATAAAATACAAAATCTTTTTCACAATATAAGAGTACATTCAAACTTTGCTGAGTTTATATATTTTTTAGAAAGTAATCATGCTTCAAGTTTGTGTGTTCATACCTGCTGCCTGTTGTTGTCCATCTTCTGGTTTGTCCTGTTGGGTTTGGACTGGAGAACTCGCAGGACTAATCACCTCAATGGCCGCTCCACCAGTGTTGTCATATCGACTGGATGACACTGGAAGACAAGAGGACAAAGGGTTACTACTGATGCACAGCCAAGGACAAACACGAAGGATAGGTCAGACATGCGGAGTGTAGTCGAAGAAAAAGATTGCATTCAAGGTCTAACTAATATGTGTGTCTGTCCTGATGATGTCACTGTGTCGACGTCTGTCCCACTTACAGCTGCTGGAGGAGTCAGAGCTCTGAGAGCCTCGGTCCCGCGAGTCCTTGTCTGTTGCTATCTGACGTTTGATGATGACGTCAATGAAGCTAGCGGCTGTGATAGTCGTCTTTCCGTGAGTCCGAAGCTCCTCTTCGATGCGGGACTTTGTTTGAGGTCCTTTATCCTTTGCGCCAGGGCTCTCAGAATACACTGGATGGGGCTTACCCCCTGGCAGAGACATAGCACCGTACGGCGAGTGCTGAGATCGTCTTTCTGCCTCCTGTTGCTGTTGTTCAGAAAGGCTGGGTGCTCGCCGAGCTGCAGACGAAGACATATCGTCATCCCGTTCATGTTTGCTTTCCTTCACCTTGGCCACGTCCATCTGTGGAGCAGAGGCTGCAGCGTCCACCAAAGCTGCCAGAGCGTCAGCTGCAGTACTGTAACGGGAGCTCTGTGGCGCTGATATCGCTGCTGCTGAATGAGGCCTGAAGAGGAAATGAGGAGATAAAGACAAAATTGAATCAAGTATATAAATACTCTGCATGCATACAAACAGAATAGATGTGGTGTAGATGTGGGCTTACATCAGAGAGGTAATGACACTCTTTCCCTGGAAGATGCTTGGCCGCTGCTGAACCACTACATCCTGTGTCCTGAGCGACGGAGAAGGTGAGTGTAGATAGCCTCGGCTCCCAGGCCGGACTGGCTGATCTTGTCCACCTTATAGACACACACATTTACAATGTAACACTGTTTCAAAGTAAGGCGCCCAAGATGGATTTCAGTATTAAAGAGATATTAAAGGAATGAATTTGAATTAAGATGTTCAAAATATTTCTGTGGTTTTTAAATGGCAACAAAACAACTCACCTCCACGGATGTATTCATTGCTTCGCTCTCGTTCTCGCTCTCGGTCCCGCTCTCGTTCTCTCATTTCCCGTTCGCGTTCCCGCTCCCGCTCCCTCTCCCGCTGCTCCCTTTCCCTTTCCTTTTCCCTCTCTTTCTCCTGCTGCTCCCGGTCACGCTCCCTCTCCCGTTCTCTCTCTGCACTGGCAGCAGCAGCAGCAAGGTGGGTCGGATGGCCTGAGGAGAACAAAGCACATCACAAACATGCAAGGTTCATAAACACATCACTCAATTGTTCGAAGAGAGATGGACCAGGCTTCCTTCAGAAATCTGCTGACAGGTTCTGAACCCACCACTGCACAGTCGTGGCAAAAGTAAATCCAGAAATATTGGAGTATTTACTATTTCGGGCAAAACCACACACAGGGTTTTTTAAACTGCTGCTGCTTTAGAGGCATATTCACTCAAACGATTGATGGAGCCTTTAAAGTTTCAAATGAAAGCTCTTAATTCTTATTAGCCTAAAACATAAAAAATAGTGTGCAGATCAAATATCAAAACAGAAGAAACTATAGCTCATATCAGCTGATGCTGTGACAGATCTCAGCACAAAGTTTTCAAGGCTTACTCAAGTGAATGTCAGTGTAGGTTGAGCTTCATCGTTCTGACACATATTATAAGACATTACAGAGTTTCAAAATACACACATAAAAAAGAAAGTTAAGCTTGAAAAATGGACAGGGTATAAACAGTGTATCTCCATTCATTCCTTCATTTTTTGTGCCCCTAAAAATGAACATGACACACACAACAGTCAGACAGTTTCATGGGAAGTCATTCCCAGTATGACTGCAGAAACGCTTAACTTGATCAGTGACCGGACAAGCAGAACTGACCTTTGACACCTCAGGCAAGTGCAGGGCGGCACTCTTACAGAGGTGTGAGGGAACATGGAGATCGTGGCAAGGAAGATAAGGGAACACGGGGTGTAGGGATAGGGGAGGGAGGGGTCCTCACCTGGCGATATGGAGGTTGGGTTGAAAGCCCTAGGAGGGAAAGGGGGCTGAGCTCCAGAGAGGTAGGCCATGCGTTCCAAAGTGGGAGTACCTGTTCCCCCAGGGTGAGGCAACAGGATAGTTGGAGGCATCTGGGCTAGATCAATAATCCCTTTTACAGACAGAAGCAAAGGGCCAACGGTGAACAACAAGAACCGATCCATCAATTTCTGAATGTATGAACACCGTATACATTTAGCTGTAACCCATCACCTTCATCTGTTAGTGCTCCCAAATACAGATTGATCAGTAAGCAATAGGGCTGCAAAAAGAGTGGAATAGTGGTCAACTTGGAAGAGGCAACCACTCAGCAAATGGAGGTTTGGATGACCATACCCAATTGATAAATTGAGTAGCAGCCGAATCAGTTGCAGCCTCAATATAAAGAGCAAATTAGCAAAATTTGTCTAGGTCATTTGCTTCTGGGCGTCTGGAAAAGGTAGCCACTACTTCACAAGCACACAGTCTGCATACTACAGCCCCTCCTGCCCACAGCCTCTCCCCTGCCTGCTGTGGCAGGTGAGAGAGAGTCAGCCAGAGGAGGGCCATACCTCGAGCTCCGGCCGGGTAAGGGATAGCAACAGTCTGTTCCCGTGGTGACAGCCCTCTGCTGGCCATGTCAGGCCGAGGGATGACTTGCATCTGCTGGGACGTGATATAATCGTTGAGGATGGTCTGCCGTGTATTCTCCATGGTGTACAGCTGGTAGGTGTGGTAGCCTGTTGGGGATGGCTGCCTGGAGAACATGAATGCTGTAGTAGAGGACAAGCAGAAAAAAAAACAAAACAAAAACAAAACATATGAACAGAAGGCTCACAGATACTGATCACCAGTGCTGACGTCAACAGCTGAAAAAGATCCTGGACATGTAATGCCTATGAATTAGAAGGCCTGAGTTGCTTTCGTCAGTTTACTCAGAATCAAGGCTGTCATTATTCTATTCATAGTTACAGTGGAAAGAGTGAAAAGGCTTTAAAAACTGTACCGGGATCTAGCACTCTGTGGAAGCCCAGGGAAGGGTCAAGATGTGGAGGCAAGTGGGGTCGGTATACTTCTCCGGAAACAACAGGACGGTGGTGGGGGTCGAAGGGACTGTGAGAGGCTACAGGGTCGCCTCCTGACACTGGGGACTTGGCTGGGACGCTGTCCCTCTGTGTCGGGGTCATGGCACTCTTTCTTTCATGTGCAGCAGATTTTGCAGAGCTCATACCACCTACATCAGAAACACACAGGGTTCATATGATTAGTCCATGCAACAACTTAATATCTGTCATGCCATTCATTTTTGTCAGAAAACAAAATGAAGAATTAAAATTCAATTCCCAATACCCTCAGCACTGGGAGCACGTTGTGCAATACTCCCAATATGCTTACACTAGCAAATAAGTTGATCCGATTTAGAAAGATATTTTTCTAATTCAATCTTGTCTGAAACTATAACTGTAGTGACTATAATGTTAGACAAGTACTGAATGGCTGAGAACCTGAAGTTTCACAGTTTGTGAATAAAATGATTATGGATCATACCGTCTGGACCACGTCCCAGCATGGGTGATCCTCTGGACACGGGATTGGTGCTGTAGTTAACAGGGGTCCTACGAGCGTTGGCGTCGTCATACATGCTCGGGCTAAGCTGGGATTTGCTAGCCTCCTGGTGTGTGGAGCGTAGGACAGATGTGGTGGAATTGACCACAGATGTGTGGCGTACTGCCTTGCTCTCCTCGTATTTGGCTCGTTCCATGGCCTCGAGTTGGGGCATGCTGTGGGGAAGCTTGCTGGGACTTGTGATAAGGGACTTCACATTGTGTTTGATAGTAGGCTGGTTTAGAGAGTGCATCTGGTAAATGGAGGGAGAAATGTAAATGACTGGTTAGTCAGAAATTCACTGTTAACATGACTTGCAATGACTGTGTATGCTTGTAGGTTTGTTCAATATCAAAAGGCTTCCATTAACAGGAAACTCTACAGCATGAATAGGTCTAAAATATGGCAGCAGTAATATGAAAAACTCCAAAAGTCTAACCTGAGACATGGAGCCCTCCATAACCCGTCTGTCTAACAGGTCAGGGGTCTTGCAGATGTCCTGGCCAGACTGGTCTTGACGGGGGATTTCGTGAATGGAGCGTCCCATCTCTTTGATAGTATTCACTCCCTCATGGGGCTTGCCCTTGCCAATACCCCCTTCGTAGGAGCGGATAGGTGGGCTCTCGCGCTTTATCTGTTTTCCATATTTCATGGCATCCTCATAAGTCTCTGCAGCAGTTCTTGGCGTTCCTGGAAAGATATCACAGTATTTTAGCTTCCCTTATCGTTCGATGCAGTGAGTGACATTGAGTGATTCATAGAAATGTGGCAAGTTTGACAGCTAGCTACCTTGCATGATAGATCCAGTCATTAATGGTCTTTCCTTAGAGTCCCCATGGAGACCTTCTCTGGGCAGGGCTCTGCTAATTAACCCTGAGAGAGAAAAAAAAAAAACAAGCAACATCACAACCTGATACAAATTACACAAACCAGAAGCTTCTGTATGCTCAGAGACAAAATCATTACCCTCAAACGGAGCTCCTTCCCTGCCAGGGTGTCCCCTGCCCATGGGTCCCTCCATCATGTCATGAGTTCGCTTCAGCTCATGGCCAGTTCGAGGGCTGCGAGTGTTTTCCCTGGGGTTCTTAACAGCTATTGAAAAAACAGCTACGATCAAGTTTGTGTCCTTGGCAAAAAGATAAACAACAATATTTTGACAAATCAATAAGCAAGGCACTGACCATCATAGGAGAGGATGTGACCAATCTTGCCTTCATAAATGACATGAGGTTTAGCCATCTGCTCTCCTCTGGCCTTGTCTGGGCTGCTCAGGTCCTCTGTGGCTATCTTTACGATTGTGCCTTTCAGCAGGTCAGCAGCAATGCTGGACTGGGGCAGGGCTGGTTTGCCCTATTTTAGGGGAGAGCAACGAAATGCTACGTTAATGGGGGAAACACATCCCATTAAATATATGAACAGTGCAAAAAGCAAAACGAAAAACAAAGAATAACCTAATTTATTACCTGAGTGATCGATCCTTTAAAAGGGATACCCTCATTAACCTTTGCTGGGTTGCCTCTACCGTCCTGTATGGATGGAACTGCAGCTCCTGGAGTGTCACAGAGGGAAGGAAACGAAAGATTGGCTTGTTGTATGTGATAATGTGGGTTTAGATAATGGATGGATGGATGGATGGATGGATAGAAAATTTATCCGGCATCCCAATTCTTCATTTGCACTTCACGTCAAGACAATATTTTCCTTTGGTGTGGTATTTTATGGTAAGAATAGTGGACGATACCACCAGAGAGGCATTGTGTAGAAGTTCAGAGTTCAACTGTGTGGAAATGTCAAGAGAATTTGCTTTTGACTGGACTAGTGTCTTACTTTCGGTCAGATCTAGAGTAAGTACGAGTGTGGGGATTAGTTGACTAGATTAATGTGCACCAGATTAAAATGTTATTGCAATGTTCTGTCTGTCTTTAGGGATGGACGCATTTTCACAAATTAGCTTTATAGACCTCACAACAAGTGCAAAATGTATACAGCAGTTTTTATGTATACCATTAGTCTTATCAAGTATATCCTTAGTGAGCCATCTCTTTTTCTACTGATTGTATAAAACATTGTTATAGTATAAATGTGAGATGGAGTCTTATGGCTTTCAAAATATAATAGTCCCTCAGAGGTGTCACTAAACTAGTTGAGGTTTGTCCACAGTTGCATACAAGTCTACTCTAGTTTTATGTCAAGCTTGGTTTTGAACGCTGTCATTTCTGCTTGAAGAGGACAATTAAAAAAAATAGCTTAGTCATGAGACAATCTGTCATCCTACCAGGCTTGTTAGGATCCTGCTGTCGAGGCAGACCCAGAGAGATGGAGCCCACAGCACTCTTAGTCCCTTCTGGCCCATAGACAGCATGAGACGGCAAGTATGTGCCAGGAGTTCCCTAAAGAAGCACAAAGACAAAGAACATGTTTAAAGTCAGGGCACTGTGTGTTTTTTTTGAGAAAAGTAAAATGGTGTTAAGTCATATTGAAGATCTTCTATGTGTTACAGTTAGGGCCTGTAACACAGTGACCTTGACATGATGCGACAACAAACCGCAAACAAATCAACAGGAATATGCAAATTTTTACAATAGTATCACTTAATATTAATATTAGAAAATACCATAAATGGGTAAATCAAATAAAGTTTGGAAGCTGACAGTGTCCAGAATGTCATGTGTCTGTTAGATGTGGAAAACTTCTCCAATCGAGATATGCTCATTTAAAGAGAGAGCTGACATGAAAATAATGACTACGGCATTTAAAGTTGTCTTCACTGGTTTGGCTGAATATTAGTGGTGTACTTTGTAGTAGTTGACACCGGATACACTCGAAGAGCATCGACATCACGCCCTGGTTCCTTACCTGGGAGATGGAGCCTCCTTGGATGAAGGAGGGCTTGTCTGTGGGCTTGGTGGTTGGAATGAGTGGAGGAGGAGAGGGAATGTTGGGAGGCCGACTGGGTCTGCTGAATGTCACGCGGACTCCATCTTGCATACTCTGGATCAGCTGGCTGGACGCAGGGTGCAGGACTGGTGGAAATAAGAAAAGAGAAAACATCTTCTTAAAAAACAACTGATAACTAACATTTATGCATTAAATATCTACCTGAAAAACAAATACCATCAACTCACCTAAACCAGTTCTCTAAATATCTCCTGCTTGCCAAGACACCACAACTCCCACCCACCCCCAACATACTGGCTCCATTAAGCTTCATTTCCCATCAAAGGCTACGTGATAAAATATTCAGCTTCATTCTGGCAAGACTCTAGTGAGTGGTGAAGCAAGCATTAAAGACCCCGGTTAATAGCCTGTCCTCAGCCTGAGGTAACTTTGGCCCAAGCCTGCTGTCTGCTTTACTGTCTCCTGGGAAAGCTGAGTAGGCGAAATGGATCAGATCACACCACAAACATAGACCCACATAGACCGGGAGTAACCTCCCTGCAGGGAGAGCGCCTAAAGCTCTGCACTCTACAAAATCCAAAATGCAAATGGCTGTAGGAGTTCCTCTAGCGGGCACGAGCGTCATCATCCTGCTGCCTCGTACAGGGACAGATAAGACAACAAGCCACCCTATGACGAATTTATAAAGCCCTGTTGCAGGGAGACTGTGTATCGAGCATTAACATTCATGCTGCAGGTCAGCATCGAGAAAAACAACTCAACTTGCGAGAACATAATAAAATGCTTCCCCCAAATGACAGACAAAAACTATTGCAGTCCATCATCACAATGTAATTATCATATCAGACACAGCAGCCACAGAAAGTTTTCTGTGTACCTTCATTTAGTGGACTGCAACCCTTTGCAGAAGACAAAGTGAGCAATTGCTGCTGAAGTAATGAGAAACTAAAAGTTGCCAGCAGAATCAACATCAAACTTATTTTAAACATTGTTCCTACTCCTGTCCTGACCCTGTCCCTCTCCCAATACAATGATTTCACTATGCCTGAAAGTTGTACCACATTCTGGATAGTCACCTTGTCTAGTTTATATTAGTGTCACAACATAAACATATAAAATATATGACCATCTACCAACAAAGGGTGCATGACCTGATGTCTGTTAGGGAGAAGTTAAAGCTAGATTTTACAGTTAAAAGAATACAAATGTTCTAAAACCATGTAGAGAGAATATTTGAAGTGGAAAAGTAATACACTTTACCAGAATAGTTTTGCAACCAGGTCCAGCACATGTAAACGTACAGTGAGGGACTCATTGTGGTCATCAGGGTGCAGCAGTGTTAGAATTGTTCGTTCTCCAAATACAAATGTTATTACTAGCATTTGGACAAATCATAATACTACTTTAAATATAAGTATGTGTTCATTACAATGACACACCTTTAGTAATGATCACAGTGACACAATCAATAAAATAAATAACATGGATGATATTTTTACTTGTAATTTATTTTAATTTACTAATAATACGTGGTAACATTTCATGCAGATGAAAAGTTACTGCTGGATCCAATACTGACAAAAGTCTTCCTCTCATGACGTTTTATTTATGGAAATATGAATGAGTGGATCTGAAAATTAAAAATTAAATTAAAATTCTTAAATAATATATTATTCTATACAAAGAACTAGTAGTTGACGGATACAGGTTGTTCAATCGCCATTGATGATATTTAGATACTGGTCAGATTTATCATGCTGTTGCTGAACATAGACGATCATTTATATGACATTTAAGTAGATCTGCATTCGATCTGCAGTGCACTTATATAAATTTTTAAAAAATTTATCAACTAAATAAATGTAAACCGTGAATCAAAAAGAATATGGACTAAAATTAAAACAGTTTTAGTGCATTTACCAATCGCTTTGATAAGCAGATAGAAGCATCTCCTACTACTGGTCCAGTAAATGTGCTGACATTTGATGTTGCAGTAAGCGTATTTTATCATTTCCTATTGTCAGCGCACTGTGCTGCGCTGCTGTTCACTGTAAACTCTGTATGTTATTAAGAGTGGGCAGTTAAATACACTGAGCTTTGAAAGCTCAGAAGTTTTTCCTCAGGTAACGTTGGATCTTCACAGCACCTTCTGACGCCTGTCCGAAGAATGGCGAAACTGACACAAGGGGGAGTGCTAGCATTGTTCCACAGCAGCTACTCTGGACAGGCCGCCTGCAGATGTGTCCACAGACATTTTTGTTTTCCAGTCTTGTGAGTTAGTAATCTCTTGTTGCCTAGCCAGTAATCAGCCAATGCCAACTGTCTCAAAATGGTATTTAATTGCTATTAATCGGTCTTTCACTACAATAAAGTGCAAACAAAATTGGAAGTTAATGGCAACTACAAATGGCAGGCAACTACACGTCACCATCACTTCTTTTTAGGACAAGAAAAATGTAGTGGGCAAGAGTAGGGGTCATAGAAGTGCACCCATGCATTGTAGGAAAGACAAAAAAAAGTCTGACAAATGCACTGACACACTTGCTACAATTATAAAATTATAAATCTACTCAAATATGTGATTATACCAGAGAGAGCTGGTGTATGCTTGTTTAATTTGACCTTTAACAGCACACATGTATGAGAACACAGAACACATTTCCCCTGTGCAGATATTCAGGTGCAGTGTGGTCTAAAAAACATGCATTCATAATGCAGTCTATTATGAAATGTAAACAAAAAGCTTGGCTTCACACAAGAACTAATTTACAAACAAAACGCACAAAAAATTACACAGTCTCAGAAAACAACTGTTAGCTTTAGCGTTATGTAATCATTACCTCTGGCAGAAGTTTCAAACTGTTGTCCTCACGTTGGCTAAACATTGATTAAATACATCCTGTACATTAGACGAACAAGAGGAAGTTGAACCTGACTTGTCTCGTGCAAAAGTGTTAGAAACACTGCCAGACTCCAACTTACAACCGGATTAAAAACTCCACAACAGTCCTCCTCTCTGCTCCAAATTTATCTTCAAATAGAGATACTCAAGCTGTTGCATACATAGAAACAAAAGCAGGCTATGTAGAATTGCCTCCAAGAGAGAACAATGCAGATGTCAAACAATGTAACAGGGTCTCATATATTAAGTATGAAACATTTCAGTCTTCAACGTTCTGCCTTCAATAGAGTCAAAAAGAAGCCTCCAATGTCACACAAAACGGGTGTCAGACGAGGCTCATTTGTACCAGCGAAAGAAGGGCGGAGGCAAGAAGGGTGGGGAGGAGGAGGAGGTGAAGATGTGTGCTTTTACCTGGCGGCACACTGTAGAAGGAGGCATTGGGGGCGTTGGGGTCAGGCTGGGGTGAGGCCTTGCTCAGCTCCCTGGGGGAGAGTCTGTAAGGAGAGCCTGGCTGACCAGAATGGGCCTCCTGGTCCAGAGCCAGCATCATGTCATAAGGCATGTAGGGTAAGGGCTTACCTGCAGTACACAGGCATAAGAACAAAGGGAAGATAACCTCTATTAAAACAAAACCCAATGCCAGTGAGCATTGAGCTGACCCAGAATGGACCGGCCTGTACAACCAACACCACCACCTGGACAGACACACACCAGCTAAAACCTATGTAATAAATATCTTGGTGTCACAGCTCAGCAGCTTACTGACAGCTGCTCTGCTCTTCACAGCACTTAGACTAAAAGGTGCTAAAAGCTTTGCAAAAATCAAGCCGTAATGCAGTCTGCCTCGTGACTTTACTGCTCTCCCCTCTGAAGCTAAGTGGCTGAACTATGTCTGACTGCCCAGGGGCAGCGAGTGTCCTACTCTGACACACTCAAGTCCTACAACTTCAAAAAAAACCACCACAGTCCCCTTCTGCATCCAAAGGCACTTCAAGAGGAGCATCAATGCAGACTACAGCTCATAGTTTGCACCAAATATAAAAACAGGGTCAGCTAACTTTTTTGTCTTGGCTCAGGCTGAACCACATTACGACAGTCCGCATCACCCTCAAACGTTTCATTTTATGAAACTGCACGAAAATGAATGGGTCCTAAAAAATGCAGTAGCTATAAATAGTCCACTGCTAGCAGCAACATAGAACAAGGCTGATGGAGCAGTGAACAAGGAGAGGAGGAACAGAGGGTAGAATGAGGATAGCTTTTGTTCTCTTACCATCTCTGTCTAGTATGGTGGGGCTGCGGGTGTTGAAGGGGGGTCTGCGCTCCAGGTCTCCCTGATCCTGCCTCTGCTTCTCTTCCTGGTGCGCTGACTCATGCACTGCTTTGATCTGGTGTTGTAACATGGTAAAGCCACTGATGGGCACACCGCCAGGGGCAAAAGAACCAGGCACCTAGATGAAGAAGGAGATAAAACATCCAGAAGAGTTAAGATGTCAGAAATGAAGTAAGTGAGACATCGACCACTATGTATAAATCCTGATGCACTGCATGGAGAGCACTGATCAGCGTGTGTGGTAACTTATGCGTTTGAAGGATAAGGCATTTGATTCACAAAACAAGTTAGAATCTTTATATTTTTCACTCCATATAGAGCTTAATATTGACATAATCTGGACCCAACAGAACTGCTGAGTACCTACTAAATGTTTCAGGAATGTTTTCAACCTGCTGCGTTCCTCTCTACTAGTCAACATGAACCTATGACTAACCATGGGTGGGATGGAAGCTGCCCGCTGGTGCAGCTGCTGGATGTTGAGTTGGGCTTGTTTGGGTGAGGACACCAGCACTGATCCTGGGGGGCTGAGCAGTGAAGGCTTTTCCATGGAGAATATTCTGCAGAGTTGGACAAAACGTATACGTCACATTCAAAACGATCAGCGTGGTACAGCACAACATGAGAGCATGAATACGGCGATGATGAAATCTCACCTCTGTCGTTCAGGCTCTGCTTCCACATCCTCGTCAGCACTGCAGGTGGCGCTGGAGTCATTATCTGAGTGGAGCTCTCTCTGCCTTTCGCCATGATCTCCCTTTTCTCCTTTCTCCTTGAGTTCAGGCTCCATCTTGACCTGAACCTCTCCAGTCTTCATGTCCACATCCTGAGGTTCAGTTTTTGGATGCACTGAGCCCGCAAAGGAAGTCATCCTGGCTTTTTCCTCCTGGGATCCAGACTCACTCTCAGGGCTTTTCTCTTCCTTGACACAGAGTTCCCCGTATGAAGGCTCGGGGGCCTTTCCGTTGCTGGTCTGACCATTGTCCTGGTCAGAGCACTGAGCATCTCCGGCAGTGCCGTCTGCCCTCTTAGAGTCACCAGACTTGGAGGAGTCGGCCTGTGAGGGGGAGGGGGCGCTCTCTGTATCCGAGCTGTTATCGCCACCTGAGGAAGCAACAGAAGATACATTAACTCAAATAAACGGTACATGATATTGACAGAAACTTACAAGCATATTTAAGACAACACATCTAACATTATTCCAACAATGAATATAAAAATAGACCTGTCACAACAATCTAAACAGTAGTACATAATCGCCAGTGTATCCTGAGGAAAAACCAAGTGCATCAATGAATGAATAATAAATGATTACTGAAACCACAAAAACTGTAAACATAGGAACTACAGCACAGGCTGCAGGTGAAAATACGACAAAGGTATCACGAATATCTGCTCATCTCTCACCAAATAATTGGCAAGACATGAACTGATGACAGAACTGTGCCACGTCCACTTTTTGTGTCACACATTTCTTAACTAGGAATGTATTCAGCGTATTGCTCAAGCACACGTGTAATTGCCCGTGAACCTTATCCATTACCATATTGTGTTTATGTAGTGCTTTACACCACGAACGTTCGCCTATGTTACGTCCCAAGGCCCCAAAGATACGAGAGCAGCCTTTCAAGATAAAAACTAATCATCTGTACTTTTCACACTTGAGTTAAGGCAAACTGTGTAGATAAACAGTACGTCAAACAAGACAGAGAACAAACATGAATTCATAGCTAAAAAAAAAAAATCATACATCTTTAAGATAGAAACTGCATATTTAAAAAAAATCCGCCTGCCCCTGCTGGTTTGCGTATTGTCTACCGCTGCACTTGTTGCCATGGTGATGGCAGTCCAGATGGTATGTCTATGCAAAAACAATTTGCAGATGCATTAAACGTATCAAACTAAAATCAGAGAGCAGCTTTACTAAACCAAACGTCACGATGTTTGCAGGCAGGCTGTAAGAGTCGCACTAATGCCTCCTATGGCTCTTTGTGTAACTGTGTAATGTGTATAATGTGAGATCTGCAGGGTGTAGATCCCCAGGGCCTCTTCAGAGCAGCGTGGGTTTCCATGAGATGAAGAGAAAGTCAAATAAACATGACATAAAACCTTGTGACCTCCCGATGTCGCCACTGTTATCTTGTGAACTGGAGGTTGATTAAATTATATCTAAATCTGTTGAGTGCGACCATTTTTCAATGAAGGCCACGAAAATTACCTCTGTGCTTGTAAAAAAATACTAAACTTATTAGGCAACATTCATAATAATCTGTACTTTTATTTGCAGCACGGTATATTTTTTATAGTTGGCTGCCTTCACTGTGCTATGCCAGCAAAGATAAGGATTTCTGGAGAGGAGGGAGGCGGGCAGACAGGCAGGCTTGTTGGATCAAACAAGTGGACCAGCACTTTATGTTCAAAGAGCAGGCTTTCTTGAGTCTTCAAAGCCACAAACTGTTACGCAACAGGCGCCCATGTAGTCTGAATTAGTTCATATCTTTTATCTCTTCCTCTACCCCTTGCCTTTTTTTTTTCTTCATTTGATCCTTTTTCCCCCACTCATTAAAACTGCAGTCGGTTGAGAGCAAGCCCATAGCCATCAACTCAGATTAAATTCTTACATGACAAAGGGCAGTTTAGATCAGGCTTCCCAGGTTTACACTGCGCTCGTCGCCACATTCTTTCTCCCCTTACATTCTTTGCTTAACGGTTGTTAAAATCAGGCAACAAGCTTCACAACTCATAAGCAAAGACATAAATTTGGCACCGAGACCCGTTAGAAGTGAGGGTGGATGTGTGGCCTTTACCCAAGTTGCCCTGGGACTTGTACCACAAATAACCTGGAGGAAATGTCCAAAACAGAGTGCTTGGGAATGTGTGCGACTCTGTGTGTAACAATGAGCACATGCTTCCTATCATTCATGTCTCTGACCTTCACTGTCATCTGCGTTGTCTTCATCATCATCAGGTGACGCTGTGGCGAGACCTTCACCTTGGGACCTATCAGCCCGAGCCCGCCGTGAATCCTAGGAAACAGAAAGACAGAAATTATTATCTTGCATTCATACATTACAATTATAGAAATTCAGCCACAGGCCATAACAGAAGGCAGACAGCACATAACTTACCTGTTTATGCTGCTGGAGCAGGTTGTCCAAGTTGTGACGTCTCTTGTAATTGAAATAGAAGTTCTTGCACTGCGCTTCGCTTTTAGTACCCACCATTTTGGCAATGGCTGTCCAATTTCGGCCATGCTCAACAAGCCCTGGTGCAAGAGAAGGAAACACAATTAAGCATTAAAGATGCAACTTCCATACTTGACAGAATATAAATTAATCAGGCTGAATTCACTTGTCTTGTATAATAATATAAACTAATGATGTATAAGATTCATTAAACATTTTATTCACTGTCTGCTATCAGGTTCCAACTGCAAGCGTCTAAAAGGCACAGCAATAAAACCACCAAGCTTTCACAGTCTGATTTTTACATGGATTTACTTTAACACTTCTCATATTTCCAATTATTGCTTCATGCTGGATCAGTGCCACAGCTGTGGTTCATGAAGATAATCTCAATTATTTCTTAATGGTCTTTTCCTTACAAACAAAAGCTGCTGCAGTTGTTACTACTGATGAGGGAAAACCTAGGGTATTACTGCAAAATTACACTATACTCGTGGGATCCCTGTTGCTGTAGTTTGCTGTACAGTCGTGGAGAGTTTGCTGTTGTCTTCTCCACCCTGATTAACACCGGGCTGAGCACACGATCAGCTTTGATGGTTTCACTAAACGTTTAAACGACTCTGCCAAGCCGCGCTGGATTGGAAGACTGCCATTTACCTTTGACATTAGGGCGTCTCTTCTCTAAATCCCGTAACCCCTGTGACCCGCCCTCCCTCCAATCCCTACTGAGATGAGGAATACTGGCAGCTTGACAAATCACCACAGAAATAAACACAAAACCCCATTACTGTTCCAGTTAACGGCGGGAACGAGGGCATTGTGACGGTTCAGACAATTTCATGTCTTATTAAGAGTTACTTAAACTTCTTCAAACGTCACACAAGATATTATCTGCATTCTGTAACGTACTGTCAGATCTCCATATAGCCTCATTTGTTTTGACCGTTATGGCAGATTTACCCAGCAGACAAGAAAGTACATATAAACTTGTGCCTCACACATGTAATGATTCCAGCAAAAACTGCCACCACACATGCGACAAGACTTATTTCTCACTGTATGTCTTCAGATGAATTTACACTTGGTGGCTGCATCGTCCTGTCATCACATGACACATTATAACATGGTGGGGTGCCATAACAGCCAAGCGGTTCGTGTAAATACCACATGAGTGCAAATGCTCTGAGCAGTGAGCTCCCGGTTCAATTCCCTACTGGATGAACATATACTCCCTGCTATCTTGGCAAAAAAGAAAAAAAATAAGTTATGATATAGCGCTCTCAGTAGGAGGACAGAGAAACAAGCTGACCTCCTTCAACCCTGTCAGCTCTGGCAAGACTAATACTTATCAGAAATAACACAAAATATCCGTACTATGTGTATTACCATGGCAACAGTCAACCCATTCACATTACACTAAGAACCTTGATAAATGTCCTTGAGAGGACTGAGATGGCATCCTAATTGTAAATTACTGGTTTAGTAGACACTTGGCATGATAAGCGTTTTAGAATTATTGTAAATATTATGAGGAATACAAAGTAATACTACAGTAATGGAAAAAAAGGTCCCCGATGCAAAGCTTCTGACATTAAATGTTCATCAACATCGTGCTGAAGGCAAGCAGACAAACGAGGTAGATAAAGATGACCAGCAAACTTAAAAATATACAAGTATTAAGCTGTACTATGTGAACTTGATATGACAAGATCATGTTTGGTCACAAGTCTGCGGGCAAGGAAAGGATGTTGATCCTTTAAATTTCTGTTTTGCTCAAAGCATCTTTGTTAAAGTTCATATTAGACTAAAGGTGAGAAATTACCACACCAAAGACGTGATCTTTTCCATTTCTCCTGAAGGACCTAAATTCCTTTCTGGTCAGGGAGAACTTCTGATTACGCTACCAAGTCTGGCATGAGTCCGCCTTGTATTAACACCAGGGCTTATGCAGATCAACAAGTTACAGCTATGACTTAGGAGGGAATAGTTCACTGTGCTTGCATGACCAGCCATGTGTGGCAGCATAAAAGTGATTTCTGGACCTGCTTTGTCATATGACCGGCCTCTTTTAGTTACACTAATCCACAGACATGCAGTGTACATGTCTGAATGCCTGAGGAGATAATAGCAGCATGTATTTTTCTAAAGGGGGAGAAAATCTACCCACCCAAGAGTCTTAATTAATCCTCATTAATCCCTTTATTTACTCCCCTCAATCCACGGCTCTGGGGACTCAAGAAACCCTGTGTAAGAGCCTATACCACACAAATCCAAGCAAAACGGAGAAGAGGGAGCACACTCGAATGGCATATGACCTGACTAATGACTGCAGTGGTGCACCCAGAGACCAAGCACAGGACGCAATAAATATTCTTGAAGAGGCCGAAGTAACTTTCAAAATTTTCAAAGAATCTGACAAAGTGTTTGAACGTGAATAATTGATGGTCATCTATGAAGAAAGCTATAACTGTCACGCTCTGTTGCTTCTTGCATGGCCTTAATAGATGACTTCTCAAAAGCCAGGAGAGCAATGCAGCTAAGAGAAAAAAAATAAACCTTCATGGGTCTCTTACAGTTTCCAATAACACACCAGCGCAAGTTTGTGTTTGCGTGAACGCATTTACACGTTCATTCCAGTGTAAGAAACAGGCAGGGCGAAGCAATATCAGATAATCAGTTGATGAAAAAAAAAAATATGGGAGGGAGGAAACAAGATCATAAAAAGCGGAGGAGTCTTAGCCACGCAGAGAACGAGAGGAAGGACCGAGAGATAAAGCAAGAGAGCAATGAATTAAAACACTACCTTTTTTGGCAACCTCCATCTCCTCCTCGGTCCAGCGAGAAGTTTCTCCGGTTTCACCAGCACCCGCTAAATCACAAAGAAAAGAGACACAGCCCCATCAGCACTGACAGAAGGAAAGAGAGAAAAAATGAGAGAAAGTGAGGGAGGGAGGGAGACAGACAGACAGACAGAGAGAGAGAGAGAGAGAGAGTGACAGTCCTTTCTTCAGCCGTCTCCTTCTCATGGCCACTAATCTAATAATCTGTTTACATTCAGGGGCTGCCGAGACCTGCTCCCTCACTTACACTCTCGCTCTAGCTCACTCTCACTCTCTCATTCTCCCCCCTCTCTCTCTCTCTCTCTCCTCCCATCTCTCTTTCTCTCTCCCCTTGCCCACAGCCCAGAGCAAGCCCTCCTCCTCTCTAATCCACAAGGGGAGGGCTTTGGTCAGCTGATGTAGCGCCAGACAGTGGAGGAGTTGAGAGCGATGCCTCCCTCTTTGGGAAATGGCCTTGGCTAGAGACAAACAGACAGATAGAACAGCCAACCCAAAACCCTCCCACCCCTTCTACTGTGACACTGTGCATCTGACAGACACTGACACACACACACACACACACACACTCTTCCTTCTTGCCTCAGCTTACACGGTTCACCTCCCCCCCAACAAAATTCAGAGAAGTGCACGGTTAGTATGGAGGGGGCTGAATGAACTCTAGCCCACTCTCCTCCATGACACCCACTGAGACTGTGTAAACATTTGGACTAATATAGCTGCAGATGTACCCTTGACATTAAGAGGAGGTCTGCACCCACCCACCTTTAAGATGAAGAGATCAATTCTCACTGTCTAGAAGGCTCCTACCAAAGGTCCCCCAGTCACACAGCCTGTTACATTCACTTAAACAAACGTCTACTACGCCAGGCTTACGTTCTCCCCTGGCAAAATATACGTTACCCCGTGACAGGTTAGGCCCCCGCTAGGGTGGTCATTAATCTGTGGGATATGAATTCTGGCAGGGTGTCCGCCTGCAGTATAGTATCTCAACTGACATAAACAAGCACATACACCCTCCCGCATAACTTCAAACAAGATCAAACCCCCACCGTTGGGCCCCCACTGAATCAGCAGCTTCCTCAACTTGCCTGGCACCATTTCAACTAGGCAAGACTGACAGATAGCTACCCTTTAGCACCTAGTCCACGTACTTCTAAGAAGCACCACAGCTGCAGGGGTTACAACAGAGCAAGCAAACAGTCCCGCACTAAATCCACAGTGTAGTCACTAAGGGAGATTACAGTTGACACACACCTACGTAAACCATGATATGTCCAGAATGCAGAGGGTTTAGGGGATGGACAGACACCGCGGAGGGTTAATTAATCACATTACCGGGCAGACTTTGAATAACACAGACTGTTGAGAGAGGCAGAATTCAACAGACAGCAGGTGGCGGAGGAGCGCAGGACACTTGCGAAGCAGCAAATTAATGACACAGCTTAAAAAACAGCACAACAAGGCTACCGCACGAGGATCTGGATACCTGAAAACCTGAGCTGCCACCGTCAGAGTGACAGAGTAGCGCAAGTGTGGGACTGAGTGCCATGACAACAGCTCAACCAGAGGAGTGTGCTGCTGTGGTGATGGACAGCTTCGTGAGGGGAATGCAGTGCAGCACCAAGTCTGCTTGACACTTGGCAATGAGTACCCGAGCCAAATACCCACTTTTAGGTGATAAACAGCTCATGTAGCCACACATTTTAGGAAAAAATAAGCTAACAGAGCCTAATTCTGACATGTCACCATACCTTGTTAAAGGTGCATTCATGGTACATGTCATGTAATTCTTTCAGCTCATGAGGCAAGAAATGAACAAGCGAGTGACACAGAAATATTCATGAGAGGAAAAGGAAGTATCTTTAAGTCTATTCACAAATGTTGCTGTGTGTTTTCTCGTGTCGTGTTACTGGAATTAAATAACGTATCACATTTAAATGACTTAAAATTGAGCTTGTGCATGGACAAATGGTACACAAACTGAGTGATGACTGTAAAAAAAATACTGCTGGCTGTTTGAATAACTCAACCAAGACGGGACTTCCAAATAAATGAAGTAGCACAGCCATTGAGGCAATATGTAATATTTGATGTCTTGCAAAACATAGCATTACAGCTCATGCAACTTGGATGAGCTCTGCATACTCTTATGCTAATGAACTTCTGTCTGATGCCTCTTTGCTCACATCGTGATAAAATATTGACTCAATATATTGTTAACTCCCTTTTCATTGATTCTGTGTCAGTATGAGTGTTCCTGTTTTGTCAAAACGCCGTTTTAACGGCCTCCAGAGAGCATCCTGAGAGGATTCACCTTTATTAGCATCCATGGAAGCCACCGGAGTCTGGGGTTTTGCAGGCTCCTTCATGGCCTTCTGCGCTGGATCAGATTTAGGGAGTTGCGGAGGATCTGGCAAGGCAGGCTCAGGGGCAGGGGGAGGTGCTTCCTCAGCTGCCACAGATGCAGCCTCATTGGCCATGGAGCGTGTGGTGATCCTTCCCTTACGGCGGCCCTGGCTGTTGGCAGTCTTCCTGCCACGCGGCGTGTTTTGCTCCTTTCCGTCCTCGTCCTCCCCACCGTCACACTTGTCTTTGTCCTTGCCAATGTCCCTGTGGTTTTAGGCAGGGAAACACAGCTTTTAGCTGGTGGTACAGCAAATATCTACTCCCTTTTGACTCAGCAATAACAGGCTCTTTCTGAAATGTGTTCTTTTCCTCCAGGACTGAGCACAAGAACAGCATATTAGAGATTGTGCACACTCAAGCTCGACAAACATGTTCACAAGTTGATTGTGTGTCAGAACAGACACAACTATACCCCTCTTCAAAGTCTTTTCTAGAGTATGACCGTGCATAACTCCTCTAAGGGCTTGGCGAAGTGAAATCCTCAATGCACAATTTCTGATGTTCGCTAACTATTTTATGAGACACGATACCAATCAAAAAACAGGATTTGCATTCTGTTTGTCACAGAGTTATAACTCAAGACTAAATGAATGTTACAGCTTCTGTAAGAATAAAATCAGCTTCTATGCCAGTAAAGATAAATGGGGATTCTTTATTTATGTGTTCATTATTTTATTATCATTTGATGTCACCAGGTTAAGTCCAAGATGGATTTCTTTATAAACAGAGCAAGCTACAGTCACTGTTGAAAAAATGATGTTGATGTATAGAGCTGTAACTGAAGTAGGTCACCGGATGTCAAAGGTGAATTGTTTGTAATGTTTTAGCGTTCAAATACCAGCACATAAAAATGGCGACAATTAATTGAAAAAAATGAAATTCAACATAATGCATGTAACTAAGACACTCTTTCTCCGAAATAATCACAGTGAACAGATCAAACACTGACACCAAGCAGAGGGGAGCTTTGCCTGCAGGGCCTAATGGACTGGAGTGGCACCAGGACAAACAACTATTCATAACTCACCTAGAATCCTCCTTTTCATCTTTCTCTTCCTCGTCCTTCTTTTCCTCGTCCTCTTTTTTCTCTGACTTCTCAGATTTGTCCTCTTCGTTCTTGTCGTCTGACTTGTCTTCTTGTGAGGGACGTGTTATTTGCTGAAGGCAAAAAAAAACAAAGTTTAGTTTTTTCCTTCTTGAAACATTAAGAAAAAAATGTGTAGAGTAGTAAGAGAGATTTCAGTTGCTAAGTTAGTATAAATCAAAAACACAAAGCAGTCAGTCAAATCAGTTCATTTTATCAATGCTTTGATTGAGAGGGAACCAACAAAATGAAGAAACCTAAAGTGTGGACAATCAACCCCTAGTAAGACTAAAAGACAGACGCTCATTATGAACTTCATACCAAACTTGACAGATAAAAAGGTGAAGAGTTGAAAGTACAAAAACATGGTCTTAGTATTTATAAGAGGCTCAAGGTGGAGTTCACATCGATATCACTACCTGGACAACCAGATTTAAAAACATCATTTGTATGTGAAGTTTAAAAACAGGCCCGACCGAGTGATTGAGGACAGAGCAACATTCTTTATCATCACTGCTGGCGCGGTTCACCACAGAATGCTTCCTCCTGCCTGTTCCATGAAAGCACTGTGCTGGAACAAGTCTGGTTATGCCAAGCCAAACATCCCATGCTGGTACCAGATAGGGCCAAGGAATGTGCTTCACTCGATGGTAAAGGCAAAAGATATGGAGGGAGAAAAAGACGAGGAAGGCAGGGGTACACGATAGAAAGAAAAAAAAAAAAGCACCGACATCTATCTCGGCTATCTGTTTTACGACGACGAGTCTGGCTGCCTCATCGTACAATACAGTCTGATGCAGAAATGCTTAAAAATTCTATAACGCAATAAGCAACTGTGACAGCAGTGGGATGGAGTCGGCTTTAGCTGCTCTTGGACAGTAGCTGTTTTTAAGTCTGCATCTCTGATTTGCAGAATTACTGGCTGCCCTAGCCAGCTCTAACCAGAGCCAGCCAATAATCAGAGGGATTTTGCATTGGAATGGAGCAGCATGACCAGCAAAATCAAATCAGTAGTGCAGGAGCTAAAAGAAAGCGGCATTTGACGCAATCCTCAAGTGTGCCCGATACACCCGATTAGCCTATTCAGCGTATTCCCTTAAATGAACTGTACACAAAAGTGGAAAATTTCAGTCATGCTTGATGCCATTGCCGTTAGCTGCTTATTTGTCAAAACTGCTTACAAGCTACTTTTCCATTCACTTAAAGACCAGGGGCCATGCCAGAACTTCCAACTGATGATGCCATCTAAACAATTATTCCATGTAAAACTTGCACAGAAATGTCCATGTAACGATATTTTGGCAGTGATGATGCGGCTCCACTGTTCAGTTGTTTAAGGAAAACCCCACACATTCAGAGCTTCGATTGTAAGTGGATGGATGCAGAGAGGACCACGTCAAACTTGGATTGGGACTGAAAACGCTTGACTCATTTCCTGCCTGCAGTGTTCTGCAAAGCATGTTTCTGGCACGGGCCAGTCCAGAGACCTTTTTTTGCCGAGTTATTCTCCCCATACATGTCCTTCAGTGAGATGCTGTTCTGGTTGGGTCAGGGAGCGCTCGTGTTTGCTTTGGAGGTGGTCAGAGAGCCGTGGCATTCCTGCCTCTTCTCCCACACTGCGTAAAGAGCCTCCACACAGATGTTCTCCAAAAGTCAATGTAGCCCTGTGGTTCTGTGGTTCTTCAATGTTTTCAAATGAAGCTCTTTCCTGACCTGTCCTGAATATTTTAAGAGTTTTAATTTCTGCCCTCTTTTGCTGATTCACAAGTCCTATTTGATTCAGGAAATGACAGAGCCACAAGTCAATCTTCCTTTTCCTACCACAGAACTTCAGCCACCAGAGGAATCTCTCACTTATGCTTCAAGCAAACAGGAAATACAAAAAAAAAATCACTTCAATACTACGCATCACGTTCATCTTTACAATTATTTAGTTATCGATATCACAGAATGACACAAATCCTTGGAAATAAAATCTCCTAAAAAGAGCTGCCAAAGGAATCTCATAAAAAAAGAGGAAACAACTGCTTTAGATTTGATATGAAATGCTACACACAGCAACAGTTATTCCTGAGTGATTAAGTTGGAATAATTAGCTGTCAAAATGAATGAAGGAGACAAAAGCCTAAAAAAAAAAAAAAAAATGAAAAAAAAAAATCAAGCATTGGCTATGGTTACCATGGTTACTGGGAGCTCTACAAACAAACCAATGAAATCTACTCGACTGCTGAACTTTTTTTTTTTTGCCAGATATTGAGAAAGATGGTCTAAAATAAAATTCTGCTAATGTGGAGTAAAGGACAGACAAGTGCAAAGAGCAACAAAGATTTACTCATCTTGCATGTGTGATGCTACAGAGACCAACCTGAAAATAATAAAGGTTGATTTAAAAACAACAACAACAACAAAACTGATAGGCAGCACGTGGGCTTGTGTCCATTCCATTTTATAGAAGTTTTACTTTACCAGAAGAAGAATATCCTGATAAATGAGATGAGATTAAACTCCACACTGGATGACTACATATATATATATATATATATGAGATTAAACTCCACACTGGATGACTACATATATATATATATATAAGTGTATTTGACAGTGTCAGAGTGCGACCACTTGTCAAGGTAAAAATAAATCAAACAGTAAATCATAAATAATAAACTGGTTTGATCATTGAAATACAATATAAGGGCATGATGGTGAACCAGCACTCCACGACAACTGTAACTTTAAGCTGTGTGAATCGTTGGATAAAACTAATTATGCCAAGTTAAATAGCATCATTTCAAACTGGAATTAAGAGTTTTTCACGTCCCACCGTGAAGCTCTGCAAAGTTACCAGACTCAACGTGAAAACTGCACTGCAATAAATGATCACTGCAGGAGTTTATCGTGTCTAATGTAGATGACTATCATGATAAAAACTAGGACGATAATAAAGAAATAAACACAACACTACACTGCAGCTGGTCCTAACTGGGCCCGCGCATACGTAAACATTGCCAAAGCTGCATAAAAACAAACGCTATTATGTTGAAAATGTTCCTTCTGCTGCAAAAAAAAAAAAAACTACCGTTGGAACAAAACAACATGAGCAACAAGAATCTGACACGACCAAGGAGTAAAGTCGTAAATTCTACTTTCACGACCAATGAAGTGGTTGCAGACGCAAGGGGGTGTAGCCTGCGTAAGCTTCCACAGGAGTGTACACTGCCAGTTCCAAACTGATGCCTATTGTTGTTTTTTAAGTGCTTACAAGCAAAGTAAAAAATATTAACTTAGATCAGCGTCACAGAAAATAAGGTTCAGCTGACACGGGGGACAGTTTGTTTGAAGTGAATTTGCTCAAGAAATGTTCCAAATCTGTTGTTGTGTCAAATGCTTAATACACGCTGCACTATTAAATATGGCAATAATTTATACATTTTCTCATGTCATCATGGAGGAAATTAGCTCCTCTGCAGTATAAATATATGCACAGGACCACAAAGCCTAAACCTGACTGTTAAATTAAAAACCATGCCTGCACATGTCCTAGAAAAACTACCTTAAAATAGCCGAGTTTGACTGCCTACATGCCTCAAGTAAATATGTAGGCTAAAAAACAAACTGCTCGAGCGACAGAAGAGCAAAAAAAAAAAAAAAATACGACAGATGAAAACAAGAAGATATAGCATGAGAAATAAACTCAGTGCGTGTGGTGTCAACTACAAAGTGCAAACTCTGGTTTCAAAGCAACATACCTGCAAGCTCATTTGCTGGTCATAAAAACCCTTTCCTCTGCTGTGAGCCACAGCTTACTGGTGTTGCAAATGTGAATTTACCCTCCAGTACTTCCATAGCGGTGGTAACGGTAGCAGTAGAGGGGCTGGACAGCACCATAGTAGAGCTCCTTAGAAGGGCTGCCGGGCCACGGCACCGCCGCACATATTCCGGGAAAGCGTGTCATCAGGCCGCTTAAGCCGCCCAAAGAATTGTCCATCTCACATGCACGCACTAATCTATGCAGGGTCACTCAAGGTAATCCCTGCCGAGCACTCCTCTTTGATTGGCACTCACAGCAGCACAGTGAGTTTTTTGGGCCTGTCAGATGGCTGGGCCGTACCAACTCAGCTGATTCAGAGAGGGGTGAATTTCTCTTTCTCTCACTCTCTCAGAAGAACAGAGGAGAAAGGAAATGGAAAACGAAAAAAAAAAAAAAACAGCACACACTCAGCGGATAAGCTGCCAGCGCTGACTGTCTCGCTGAGGCTTTTTTCACTGTTTCACTCACTCGCCCTACATTCCGCTGCTCTTGCTGTTGCTCACTCTGTCCTTTTCCTTCCCGCTCTAATGACTCACTCTGCTCACTCCAACTGCAGTTGTTAAGGCACACCAGTAGCTTGGAAATCCACTACATCCTGATGTGCACTCCAAATGGCAGAGAAAAAAAAAAAAAAAAGCACTCACCACATTCTTGACAACCACAAGATGTTTTGGAAAAAGCACTGGAGCCATTTAAGCAACGGCCTTGAATCTCATGAAGATGACAGAGACACCACTTACACCGCTTCTCTACATCGGAAGTGACAGCCCATGGAAAACCTATGTTTTCAAGGCACATTAAAGTTTAAAAACAATACTGTAGGAACCAACTTTAGGGACCATGAAAATGTTCAGCAGCACATAAAACCTGGAACTGGATCTCGTGTGAACAAACTAGCTTTCATCTGCGTTCAACAATCTGTTCAATATTCTATTTTATTTGCATGTGAAGGAAGTATACGTCAACAAATGTTTAGTTTAGCTGATTATCAGTTTAGATATATGGCATTTGTTTTGGATTAGTACCAATTGTTTACTGATTTCCAATAAGTTAATTTAACAATGTGCAATTCTGGCTCAGACGCAGCCGCCTCTCTTCATCTGTCATCATCCCTTTGTGGTCTTAAGCAATAATCCGCCCACAGCACTATCTGATTGGTTATGCATCACAAGTAGCAGCCAATGAACACTTGAGAATATATGTAGAAAAGCTTTTTCTTCTCCCCCCAACATTAGCACGTACATAAATGAAGGCATTTCAACAAAGCGTCGTGTTGGAGTTTGTGTTACTCAAAATTTTTTGTTGAGAATTTTTACATTTTATTTTAATTGTTAACGTGTATTAGTTCAAAATATCGGTTGCTGTTCTCCAAGATTATTAATAACTGGCACCGGCTTTGAAAAAAACCATATTAGCCGGGCACTACGTTTGAGAGCAACAGTCTCTGGGATTATCTGAGATAAGGTGCCTAATGGTTTAACTTTCAAGAAAGGACATTTGCGTGACCTCTTTCAAACAAAGACTACACTGTTTTGCAAATACAGATAAAGCAACCCTGATGCTGCGTCAGTCGCACGCAACGACAAAGTCAACTCGTTTCATATTATGCTGGTTGTGCATGGTCGTAACGCTGTAAATGTAAAAAAAAAAAAATCAGGAATAAGGCACCGTATCAAATGACAGTGTGCATGATGGAAACAGAGATAGTACTATGACAAGTATTTTCTTCAGTCAGCTGTTATGAGCACAGACGTTGCCAACACAGAAAGACATTTCTCCGCACTTACTTGGCATTCTGTGTGACAGAAAAGGACAAGTCATCTCTCAACTGCTGGCAGGTCCGTAGTCAGAATAGCAGAAATGTTAAAAGGCTCACTATAGGTAGATTATCCATAAGGATATCGTACCAGTTCCTAAGTAAAGTAAGAGAAAAAACATTTTTGTGTACAAGTTGTAATCATGAACTCTTGTGCCCTCCACCTCCTCCTATGTAAAGAAACGGTCTACAACCAACCCATTGTGTTGCACAGTTGATGTACTCAACAGAGACAGAACGTCCTGTACATGGACTGTGGCTTCGGTGAAGTAGGGAAAAGCCCAGTAAGGAGAGAGAAGAAGAAAAAAAAAAAAGTCCACCGTAATTAATAAAATCAATATTTAATGTCAGCCAGCACAGGGTTAGGGAATGGCGTACCATTTTAACCCACTGACCCCAAAACTGGGTGGTGGGTTGGAAAGGAATGTTTAAAAAAACAAATAAATAAAAACACGGAAAGTCCACCATTTATCAGAGCCAGAAGCTATAAAACAGGATGAATTGTCAGACTTTTCAGCTTCTCAATAGTCCTTAAACTGATCATCTGTCACGTCCCTATCCACCAGAAAAATCAACCAAATTCAAGCTTGAACTGTGACATTTCATCCAAATCAATTCATTCTAAATGTCTCATTTAAACAGTAATCAGATACTGTAAACATCTAAAAACTCTGCATTCATGCCTAGAAGTACACTGCAGGCTGTGTAGATAGAAGACAAGCATGGATTCAAAATGTAGTGTCACTATTTTTACCTCGTATTTGGAAACACGTGTGGACACTTGGAAAGATGTTGTGCATATTGATTCAAGGGTTTTTGTTTATTTGTTTGTTTTTAAACAAGTAAAGAAATTTAACTTATCTTTTAAAAAAGATACAGGGCATTATGACATAATGCACAGGAGACGTATTTGAATTTTCTCTGCTTTCAGCCATAGCTGTAGTGTTTCAATAGAGGTAAATTAAATAGCGTGTCCACAGTGAGTAAAAATATGACAAGAGCAAAAGACACCTAGCAGTGCAGTGACAACAAATCAGTAAATCCCAAAACAAAAATCTGTGTGTAAGAACATATCTGTATATCCATCACTTTGGAGTCTACAGAGTTCACATTCCAGCTCTGACAGTGATTGCACACTGAGGCTCCAGTTTATCTCTGTGCTCGATACCGGGACAAGTACATGTTTCTAGAGCCACATGAAGCACAGATAACAGCAGCATCGTGTCTGAAATGATTTAAGCTTCTCCTTTAACATTATTCAAAGTGCAGGGAATTACTCGATATCGCTGCATCACAGTTCCGGTTTTGCTCCCTTTTCTTGTGTATTTGTTGTAGTAATAAATATGTGAACACACACAGCCTGGGTTTCTAACTTGGAGTGTGCCTCTAACTATTAATCTACAGGTTCTATTTTTCTATTAATTGAGTGTTGGGTTTGATAAAATAAAAGTAGCTGATGCCTACAAGTGCAATAAAAAAAACACACAAAACAAGACACTTTAGACAACAAGAACAGCAGCTGATTGATTTTCTACCCATCAAATAATCTGTTTATTTTCTCTGTTCTTATTTTTTAAAAACTGGAAACAATACTGATGACAGTCTCCGGCCTTTAGACCGTGTGATCACTGTTACACACCTGCTCACTACACTGTTGGTACATTAATAATGAAGACTTTGCTGCTACTTTCCTCTCTACGGTGTGACTGTTTCAGAACATCTCGAACCGATTTTGTCAGTTTCAGCTCCACAGCAGGAGTGGATTCAACTAATTCAACTTTCATCAGGGTAAAAGCTTTTCCGAATGATAATTTACTGGGAGAAACAGTGTCAGGTTTCTTAAGCCTGGAAAACATTTTCCAGAATGTCCAAACCCCAAACTATTCATATAATTAAAAGCTCAGTTTAATTTATATTTGTCTGAAAGGGTGAAGTATACGTATTGTATCTTTAGCAGATCGTCTTCATCTTCCTTTGGACGACTCAACAGACAAGAATGTCAAACTGTCGCCACGTCACCATGATCCAACTGTTGCTCGCTAATAGTTTAAGAAAAGGTGGAAGGAGCTGGATCTAACCCATGAATAGTGCCAGTGAGGTAGAACCTTAGCCCGTCTTGTGGCCCATATGTGATATATGTAGTAGGTTTACATGCGTCACACACAAAATGTGCCGTCAGACTGATGAGACATGCAACAGACGTAGCCAGAAAGTTATCCAAACCAAATGCTGCTAACTCGGCAAGTCAAAAAACCCACACCTCACAGTCAACCGCCAGCCTACTTTCAATTGCAAACTCCTGTTATGTACTAAAGTTCCTCTATGAAGTTTGGTCAGATCTATCACCTGAGGCACACCAGGGATGGCAGCGTTGCAGGCGCCAAAGCCGATAGTGGCCGCTCTAGACAATGCTTGAGATTCTACCAGATGCACCACAGCAGGAGCAGCTCTCCACTATTTTTGAAGGAAGCCGCATGAAGCCACACAGAGCAGACTGAGGCAGCAGGAAGTCAGACACGAGAACACTACAGAGTATCTGGTCAGTTTTCTTAATAAAACAACCTGTGCAGACTCCCAGGTGTATCACATCATTACACAAAAGGAATAACTGGTGGCACCGGAAAATAAACTGTTTAACTACGTAGTCCACTTACAACAATCACAGAAGATAGTCAAATCAGCAAGCCGTATGGAGGACAGAACAAAACCACGTCACAGATTCCTCCAGTGGAATCCAGGGATAAAACCCCAGACACAAATGTTATTGAGACAAAGCATCTTGTCAGCCACACTAGTAACAAACTGTTTGGATTTACCTGGTTCCTTCCTCTCCTCCTTCCATAGTTCCGCCTCACCAGCGTCTTATAGTTGTGGTTCTTTTTGGTTAAGTAGTAGTACAGGACACAGTCGGCAACACACTGAAACAAGAAACCACAACACAATAAAGCACTTGCTCGTTTCTTTTATTCGGTATATTATTATCAAGATGTGATAAGACGAGCCTTCCTGTACACAGTCAGTGAACAATTGTTTTATGAACCCAGAGAGTGAAGATCAATATTTTTTTATGAACAAATAACTTGGACACATTAGATCTGAATGGGGAGTTTTTAAAAGGGTTTTATGACAAATGCTAAATGCCTAAATACTTAATTACATCTGGTCAGCTCAACTTCAAGGCCTTGAATGGTATATTCCCAAATGATATCAATGACATGACATCCGGCCATATGCAACTAAAAAGGGCTGAGATGTGACAACACACGCTGCAGTTACCTTTCTCTCGAGATACGAGGCGATCAGGCCAAAGTTCTTGGGGTGCTGGACAAACCTGCAAAGACAATCCAGGCATTACTCATGTGGCAAAACCATAATACATGGCGGCGTAAGAGCAAGCCAGCATTACAGTCAATAAACCAGTACACGGTGTGATCGTGGCAACAGAACTAAACCGACTCACTTCTCCTTAAAGATCTCCTTTTCGTGTTCAGTCCAAACATTCATGAACTGCCGGGACTTGTACACCTTCATCGGGTCATCCATCAGGCCGTTCATGTTGATGAACTTCACTCGTCTCTGCTCGGAGTCGTACATCATGGGAGGGATGACTGACAGCTGTCTCATCTGTTTCTCATTGTTCTGTGGCACATGGACAACGGCTGTTTAGTCCAACACAGTCCCTCTTGTTCAATCTGCCTTCTACCTACTTACACAAATCCGCTAACAGCATCTGTGGCTTCGATTACATATTTTATTATACAGACTATATACTTTATATTCAAGATGACGTAGTAAGAGAAATGCTGATGGCCTCTCTCCCTCTTGAAAAACCCAAATTTCTATTTCTACTGTCATTTAGGTATGGAGTTTCATATCTACACTGTAATAGGGTTTTTCCACTAACCCAAGTTTGCCCACTTTCTCTGTGCCAGACCATGATGACATGTGTTTCCACAGCACCCTCACAGCAGGGGATAGCAGCGCTGCTTTAGGCCTGCTAGTGCCTAATCTGTGCTGGAGAGTTTGAGAGAAGTATCTTAAAATTCTCCCCGTTTTAGGCTCTCAGTACTTTAGAGGCTTCTAACTAATTCTCTGCGGTTTGGAGTTCAGCCTTATTATACTGTTTATTCATTTCTTAGTCTATATCAGAGCTGTACAAAGTTATTGCTGTTGCTAACTTAACTTTTCTTAGCTAACTTCTAACTAACTTCAGACCAAAAGGTTTCTACTGGCCAACCAACAAGCTACTTTTACTGTTAAGAAGTTGTAGATATTGTATTACTTTATTGCGGAGTTAGAGGCGCTTCATTAGCGGTTCAACTGAACTAGTTCACATTTCAGTGCAGTGTAGCGGAAAACCACTTAAAAAAAAAAGCGAGCACAGCTGGACTGATCACAGCTGTTCATGACACAAATACACTCAACTAAACTCCCTAACAGCTGTAAAACCTTATTAAACTTTTAACATGACTTGCAGTCAGCACCCACCTCCTGCTCAGAAAGGCCATCGATGATTTCAGAAATTTCATGCTCGCTTCTTGCAATTGTTGCAGAGAGGCCTGTTCCTCTTTGTCCGACCCTGAGGATAACAAGGGACATGTTAAGGTTCAATTATATTTCTACAAATTCCATTCAGCATCCATGACTAGTTGTTTCAGGAGCCACTGGTTTACACGAGCAACAGGAAACAAGGTCTGGAACTTCTAAAGTTTTGATAACAAACAAAAGCTTTTCACCAATTATCAATTCAGGAAACATTCTCCATAACATTCTCCAGTGCTTTTTATTTACATAGTACTTTTATACTTTTCTTTTAAATACATTTTATTTAGAATTTCTTAGATCTAGATGTCTATATTTATGGCCTGTCTTGCTATTGTTGTGTACCACAGCTTCCTTCATCACACCACATTTCTCGTGTGTGTGAGCTCACTTGGCAATAAAAAGCTTTCTGATTTTGATAACCAACTATTACTTGCTTTCTCCTTCATAGTCCAGTAGTCTGCATAAAAAGTGTTGACATGAAACCTCTTGGATATTTCGATGAAAGTACAAATCCTCAGCGCCAGCAATAACCAGATGCTGGACCCTGACCCCGTCTCCCACCCTTCCCAGAGGCTCCCAGAGAGCCAGTGTCTCTGCTCAAAGTATGCCACCGCACACCACCTAGTGTCCTCCATTTAGCTGATAGCTGAACAGACATCTTAAAAATGAAGGAGACAAATAGAACGCCTTGGTGGCTACAGCTGTTGGCAACATTCATAGAGATTTCCAGTGAGGATGATTTCACTGTCATGCGTCCATCTTTGATCTCATCCAACAACCAGCGGATCCTTCGCTGTTTAAACTAAACGTGTTTACTTGAGTCCTGCGCTGTGATGGCAAAATCTACTGAGAAAGGCCACCACTACGGGCTACTACAACTATTAGCAGAACTGCTTTCATGTAATTTAAGCTTCCATACAGACACGTAAGAAGCTAAAGTATTTCAATTCTTTAGTGATACACAACTTCAGGCTTCAATCACAGTGCTTAGCTTTGGTAAAGTGAGCTTCCATCTCAATCACCAGGATTAAACAGAAACTGCGCTCTGTGTTTACCTTCAGCATTACATGTATTTGTCCCTAACTGTCTGGACAGTCCAGTGTGAGACGTCCCGCAGTATAACAAACTAGTAAGGTTGGCCATGAAAGCTGGGAAAACACTCTGTATGAATTTGGTGTGATGTGTTAACTCGTGCCAAACGTTCTGATTGCCAGAATCTGCAACTTCTCTACTCATACTGCACAAGTTAATCAACTGGCCTCCATGTGGAGCTCAAACTGAATGCAAGTATTAAGTTCTGCTTTGTGTAGTCCAGCTACTCTTCTTATAAAGTTTATTCAAACAAGATAGTTGTGTCCTCCATGCTGACAAAAGAGAAAGGCAGTGTTACATTATGCAGTTTTTAAAATTGAATCTGGCTCCAACTGTGAATTTAAGTTAATTATTAATATGTTATTGTCTTAATGGACATTTTTTATTTGATGTATTTTATACATTAAAGGAAAAAAACAACAAGCTTTATTTATCATTTCTTCTAGACAACATGCCAGATGAGTCTCTTAACTGTTGAAACTAAGAATGCAGTCATTTTTTACTGCTGCAGCAAAAGCAAACTGAGCTATGACTTGTTTTTTTCTTCTTTTTCTATTTTGTCTCAGAAAGTCAAAATAAACGTGATTTTTTCTGAGTGAGTGAACCTGATATGTTCATGTGACATGACACATGGAGCCACTGCAAGCAAGTCAAACTTTAAAAACAAAGTTAATCTCCTTTGCTCAAACCACGTATGCGTCTGTAGGGGAACTGAATCAATTCACCTTCTTTTCAGAAATTTTAAAAACAAGAAATTTAAGCTGTTTAAATAAGTGAAGCTTGGTTAACAAAAAAAAATGAAAGTCATCCTTCAAAAATTTTATAGACCATTAAATTCTTTGATTAACGAATGAAAGGCAGGCAAATCAAGAAAGGTAGTAATTAGTTTTAGTCAGCCCCAGGCTGAAACGTTTACTTTTCCAAAAACAATGTGCACGACTATAACTGTAGAATTTAACAGTGTGCCTCTGAACCATGAACCGATGCTATCCAAGCGAAAATTGTGCCACCACTCGATTATGTAACCGCTTCGACCGATCACTGGTAAATACTGTTACCTCTGGAAACGCTCCTGCTGCTCTCTCTGTTTGCGGATCTCAGGGAACTGTCTTTCGTAGTACTCCCGTGTCCTGCTCTCCTTGGCTTTGCGTCTGGGGTTGTTCTCCATTCGCTCCACTTTCTTCTCCCACGCTTCCATCAGCTGGTCATAGCGCTGACAGATCTTCTGTTCCTGTGTACACGGGATGAAAAGCACACAGGTGTATCAGGAGTGGGTGTCTGCTACTACAGGCCAAAAGGACTTCTTGCCAGCACAGCGAGCCAGATGATCCACAAGGAATAAAGCTGTGGATATCATGAGGGTGCTGAATCAGACTATTGATTATTATGATAGTTAAATAATCTATCGATAGTTGAAATCAATTAAAATTATAAATGGCACAACTTCTCAAAGCGTCTTATGTAGCTACCAGCTTTTACATTTTGGTGAGGTTGTTTTAGACATGTGCTAATGTACAATGAAGTTCCTTGTTTTGGACCTTTGCACACACACACACATACACATATATATGTTATTTATGCTGCTACAACATTTTTCAAACCCTGCTTTTTTTATATTTTGCCTAAAGACAGACAGAGTCCAGTTCTTGTCATGTTCACTGTACTAAAGAGAAAAAAGAAATTAAAAGAAGATGTGTTTCTATTGTTGGGGTGAATTCATGGAATAATGCAAATATAAACATACGATTGAGTAATTCGCTCTTGAGCTTCAAAAGAATGGTTCACAATGCTATTTTTTTTCTCCCTCTCTCTCTCTTTTGTCTCTCGTATTTTTTTCTCTCTTATTTTGGTGAGGGCAGCTTAAAATGATGAGCACTTAGGATGGGCATATATAAGCATTTTGCTTCTGCCTGTGCCTTTTCAGTCACTATGTTGTTTGTACTGTATGATTTGTTTATATTTTTGTATTGTAAGATGACTGAATGAATGCATTCAATTCAAATTCAAAATTCAGTTCTTCTGTCCTGAGATCAGCAGTAAACTTGGTCCACTTGCAGCTTATGTCTCCAGACTATCAAGGTGGTCCGTGGCTTTTATATAATCTCGTACAGATGGCGTGCTGCAAACCTTTTACATCAGGTAGCGACACACACACATCACTGTAGTAAGCTGAAATGTCCGAGCATTCAGAGTCGACACGAAAAATAAATGCAATGATGTCACCAACTAATTGACATCTAAATTTAGTCAGTAATTTTAATCGACCATGTCGATCATTCATTTAACCCCTTGTGCTGACATTTGCAAATCTCTGAGGACATTCTGTCCTCTGCCATCACACAGTGTTCTGTAACCACTGTGTGCAACTGTGAGAGGCTAAAATGGCATTACCTTCTGTTGCTACAACGTTAGCCCATTTTATGGCACTTAAAATGAAGGACATTTTAAGAACATATTCTCATACAGTGTCCTAAAAAAAAAAGCTGTTCCTGCATTAGAAGTATTTATATGCAGGCTTGTGATCAAACAATGGCTGGTGCTCAGTTTGTAGGTGGAATAGCAAATGCAATATGTTGCTACATCACTGAGGAGATGGAGGCAAAACAGATGCAAATAATGGAAACTAAAAAAAAAAAAGTCTCACCATCAGGCTACCTAGCAACAATAGCCAAGACATTATTCTGTAGGTGAGCGTGAACGTATCGGTGCACGTTTTATCTGACCCGCCACTGAAATCTGTGTTGCAGTTTATCTTTCAAAGTGAACAAAACAAAAGTAAACACGACGACAGACGGTCTGAAGTGAGAGCAGAAGAGTTGAGAGAGTACACGCAGTTCAGGAACTGGTGTTTGTTGTGGGTGTGTGTGTGTGTGTGTGCCTTTGACATTGCTTAATTCACTGTCCTGAACCACACACAGTTTGTTCTGATGCAACTATTCTGTTCACAAATAGCTTCCAAATGCTCACTGACATTTTTTTTGCAGAACCTCACTTTGTCATCAGCACATAGAGACACTGTTTGTTTGTTCTGCTGTATCAGAAGAACTAAAAAACTAAATATTTTCCAAAAGTATAAGAGTTAAAATCTTTATTGAAGATATAGGAGGACCGTCGAGAGGACAATACAGCCTCATTTCCACTCTCTGCAGCGAGGGACAAACAATTCACCTTCCTCTTGGCATGAGGCCATGTGCACTCTGCTATTGTTCAGAGTCCAAAAGGTCTGTCTGACTCTGGCAGGAACAGCCACAGAAAGGTGGGACTCACTGGGCCATTGCAATACAAAAAAGAGCCAAGTATTTCAACATGGGGTGATTCTGAAATATTTAAATATCTGGTCACTGATAAGAAAGTCGGAGGTCTGGCCAGCGATTACTCAGATCTATTCTTTGATGTGACAATATTTATTATTCTACGACATATAAAAGCGGTTTTGGCTCACACAAGACGTCTGAACAAACAGGGGAAACTGAGGCGTTTCCTGTTCTCTAAATACATCAGTACATTATTTTTATTGCCCATGCTAGCGGGGTAGTTCGAGGGATGACAATTTGGCCGGTTCACAACTTTGGCTGGGATTAAAACATCTTAGCAGCTTGTCTTCAAAGTTTCAACAACTTAACTTTCACCATCAGGCCAAAATCTGAATTGGTGCAATTCTCTGGTTTATGACAAAACACCTGCAAAGCTCATGACAACCCCACAGTCTTCAGCTTTATCACTTATTTTGCTGCAAATAAGTAAACTCAATAAAACGCAATACCTGCCAAACATCAACATGTTAGCATGCAGGTGTCAGCCTTTTGCAAAAGTCCTCCAGTGCCAAAGTGCATCCTGCATAATTTTTCTTTTTTCTTTCAGTATTTACAGCAGCTGCTCTGAAAGTAGAAGCTGCTGCATGCAGTATGCATACAACTCTATTTTATCATGATATTGTGGTTGAAACTTTGACTGTCTTGCTTGTGTATTCTTCACACTCTGTAATGTGAAATGAGCTGTTATATGTGTGTGCACTCCTGGTGGCCCAAGGTTGTTTATACTCGTGAGATGTAACAGAATTGCGCAAAAGTTGTGTGTCAGAATGGCTACAAAAACATCCTGTCTAACATCCAACCCTATGTAGGAGGACATCCTGGTTATTTCAGTATACTACATTTGACATGCTATGCATTAGGACGTAGCAAAAAAAAAAAACAGGCTTTTATTTTCTGAACAGAGCATCTCATGTGTAATGTTAAAACCATTTCCTCTCTGTGTGTGTGTGTCGGACTCAGCAACGCATTGTGTTGTGTTTTCCTTTTGCATTTTAATTGTAAAAAAATAAACGTGAAAACCAGGAAAAATGCTGTTTGTTTATTTTGTGCCACATGTCAGACTGTGTCAATATTGTGTAGCTTTAGGTAAACAAGGAAGATACCGTGTAATTAAAGTTCTCCCAAACATTTATCCCGGTCGGCTGAGGTCATCTGAGCACGGCCACTTATGACACTGACTAACGAGATAAGGGCTGCTAACGTTGTGTCCGTAACATTAAAACACAAACCTAGAACATGCGTCTTGCTTTTCTGACAGCAGGAACACTTACCCTTTGTTTACGCGCATGGTTCCTCCTCTTAAAAAACAAAATCAGCTTCTTCCTCATGACTTGGTTGCTGAAATAGAACGACACTTATTTAGTGAACATGAAGCTGGTACAAGAATACATCTGAAAATTCAATTCGTTTTGCATTCCAGCATCCCACCAACAGAACACCAGTGTTTATTTGCACTGTGACAGGTATGAAATACTGGGAAGTGGGAACTCCTCTGTTTGCACATGATGGCGGCTATGGGGAAAGAATAGTGACGCGCTGACCCTGGGAGTGTGGTCTGTACAGCAGATTCACACAGAAGCGGTCCCCGACCCGACTCCTGATAAAAGGTCGAGCCAGATGGGCTGCTCTCATTGTACACACTGATAACAGTTGGGTCCTAGACGACACGGCCTTCAACTCCCCAACACAACCTACTTTAAACACACCTAATGCAGACACACACACACACATGCGGTGTTTCACTTCCTTTCGTCAGTTTCCTTAGTGTCAGTAGGGCAACTCAATTGGGTGACTAAGCAATCAGATAAGACAGAATTATCAGCTGGGTTTATCTTGCTGAGGTCAGAATCACCTGCAGCACTTTCCTTAGCTGGTTCGTATCAGGGTAGTGTAGTAAGCATCATGTCTGCAGCACGGTCAGCAGATATTTATGAATACACTTATGGAATAAATGCAGATACTCACGTCTTGATGTTGTCATGGTACACCTTTGTGTCTGATGGCTGGTTGTACAGAGGCTGAGAAAAAGAAACATCCGATCAGGAACATGTAGCGGATTAATCATTAGCTTTTAGGAAAGCAGTAAGCATTATTTCTTCCTCAAAGCTCATGTCAGGACAAAAAAACATTAACTATTAAATTACATACCAGCTCAACCTTGGGACCAAGTCCTTCCAGTATTTTATGAGCCTCTTCAGCCTTTTTCTAGAAAGACAGGGTTGATAAGTTAACAAAACATTACCGACATCAAACATCAACACTGTATCTAAAGATCAATATTACATGTGGGTCAATATTGATTTTCAAACATGATGTTTTACTTTTATGAGACATTTTTATTAGCACAGCATGAAAGGGAAGCCTCCAATAAATCACGTAATGTGACCATGTCTGGATTGAAATGACCATTTTTACAGAAATTTAAATTTTCCAGGAATGTTACTGAATGAAAAAAAAAATTCACAAATGTCATAAACTTTTTATATAACTTTAAGACTTTAAAAAATTATGTAACGGATGCTTGTTGGATTGTTTTAGATTGTTTCAATTTCCTCTCAAAATCTTCACACACTGATAAAAATCAATAAGCAAGCAGCTGCGTCTGCCTGAAAGGAGCAACACACGATAGGAGAAATTAATTTTCAATGTTCCCACTGCAGCATAATTAACAGGGCTGGCAAGATAGTTGTTTTGGATCTCTGTGCTGTCAGCTTATTCAAGATCATCAGAAACATACTGACTAACTCTTCATGTTAACATTCCACAAGCCCCCATCTACACACTGAGACAAACAACCACAGCTGCCAGACTGGATGCGATGCACAGAGCTGGAGCAGCTTTACAGCCTAAAGGGTTAATGGTTGACTGAGAAGGAAGGCGTGCCTCAGCGCTCTCCTACCACAACACTGTCTGACAGACATGAACTGCAGTGACCTCCATAAACACACCCTCACTCGTTGCCCTGTTGTTCAGCTGAAATACAGATAATGAGGCCAGGGTTTTCCCTACCATAGAAAGTGTTTTGCAGAGCACCTTAAGCCAAATGAACTTAAAAAGGCATTTAAACGACATGAGAATTATTCTAAAAGCAACAGTGGGAGTTCTGTGTGGGGCCAAAAACAACAGAAGAGGTGGCTTGATCTCAAATAAAAAAGGGAGCTGGCAGCAGGAATGCCAATCAATAATCAGTGTTTGGATGAACGCTGGTGTGATTGCTGTGTGACACAGACCTCTGGGTTTAGGCTAAGTGTCTTTGTTCTAGTCTGGCTCACAGCTGCTAACTAGTGTTTACTGTTGGTACCAACTGCAGTGATCTGGAGAGACACCATCAGAAGGTTGCATGAAGCAGCTCTTTATTTCCTTTTCTGCAGTATGAACGTGGTCCAGATCATTTGGATGGCTGTGATACTGAAACATGGGCTCATATACACTTTATGGTAGACTACAGTAACTTCATCATTCTTTATGCACTTCACAGTGGCTGCAGCTATGTGCTGTAACGTTACCTTGCACACACTTGCAACAGACTAAAAGTCCCCCACTTCCCACAACAAGAGGCACACTGGACCTATTTCACATGCAGGTTACCCACGAGGCCATCGTTCAAAAGAGGAAGTCTCGGAAGGTAACAAATAACTTCTACTAATTTAATGCTAATGTTATGTAACAGGCTACTTTTGCTAGCAACTGAAATGAACACAAACACAATTCAGGAACTGTTAGGACCCGTCCAGTTTTACTCCACAAATAGTGGCCAATCCCCATATAGTTCCATTATATCTAAAGATTTTACTTAAATAAATAGACTTTTGATCTCAAGTACAGAAAGTGTTGCTAGCTGTCTTTCATAAATATGGTAAGAACAATGGTTAAAATCAATCAGAAAAATGTAGGATAACTTGAAATTTTCCTGGAATAATTTATTTGTTACTTAACTCTGCACTTCACATTAAGTTAAATGTAGTCGTACTTTACTTTTTCAAAAATTACAAACATCTGACAGATACTGCAGAAGAAACATGCCTACTTTCTCCTACTGCTGTTTTTAAAACATCAATAATGTAAAACCAAAAAGCACAAGAGCCCACTCCTACAGACAATCCACTTGAATATTATTTCTGAAACATTGCTATGTCGAATCTCATTATAAGACAGAGGTGGGGAATACTTATACATAAAATTAGAATCAAAAGTAAGCTCAGAAATGGCTAAAAGTGATCAGCGAACAGATGATGTTAGAGATATTTTTTTTTTAAATGGCTACAATTTGTTTACAGCACAAATCAAATAACCACAGATTAATGCTTGTTGTGTGGGTGTTTTGGTGTTTGCAGCGGATAACTAACCCGGTTTTCATCGTAGATGATCTGGACTATGCTGCGGTGCTTGTGCTCCACTGGGGGAGGGGTCACTGGCTTTTCTGGCTCCACTGGCTTCGCTGCTTCCTCTTCAAGTTGTTGCTAAGAGACAACATTAACACATGAAATTTTGACCAACAGAACATAAGAAAGGCACACAGATAAAATATGATAAGCCTCGTGTCTTCTATACATGTTCCAGTCCTGTGTAGTTTTCATCTGTATTCATTATCATACTGAACAAACAGCAGAAAACACAAAAACATGTGCTCTGCGTTGCTCTGATCCTTGCTTCTGATATCTGAGGCCAGTGCAAGTATTATCAGATTATTCTCTGCAGGCTTGTTCAAGTATGACATTTTTTAACGGACGGCTTCTGCCACTTGGGGCCACGCTGATGATGACAGACAAGCTAATCTGGCAAGTGTTTGGTAGGTCAGTGTTTGCAAGTTAAAGGTTATGTAAACTGCCAGGTTACAGGGACAAGATTAGGAGTTCCTGAAATACCTCAAATAAACACTTCGATCCCTGGAAATCTTTGGAAAAGGCAGACAGAAAAACTAAGAGATATTCTCTCTCAGCAAAGATGAGCTTAGATTCCTTTCTAATGAGACCGCATTCCAGAAAAGATAGCAGGAGAAAGACAGCCACGGAGATAAAAATCAAGCCAATCCAAACAGGAAGATGAGCTGATGAAAAAACAAACCTGGAGTTCTAGATATTGATGACAGATGATGGGCACATAATTGTTCAGCTATAGATCTATAAAAGCATCTTGTAGACCAGCTGAATTGCTTTTATGTGGACGTGTCCAGTGGTAAGTTCAACCTAGAGTTCTTAGTGCTGATTAAAACTCCCCACTGGGAAGAAAAGCTTGCTCATAGGAGAAGGTTAATCAGTGCAGAGTAGAACCTATTATTTACACCAGAGAGACTGAAAAGTGCATTTCTTCAAAAGGGAAAGAGATGCAAAGAGTTAACTATGAGCTACATTTTGCCAGAGCTGGGATGGCTGATAACAAAAAAAACAAGTTATCATATTTGTCACCTTAACCTGTCTGCTCTGGCTTCATGTATTTAGTATATTTAATCAGCGTCCATCACTTTATTCTCTAAATACTCCTATTTAAGTTGTAGCTGATTCAACTATCACTATCAATAATTGGAATAAAAAACACACACTTAAACAACATTATGCCTCCTTCTGAAGACCCAAAGGCAACGTGAGTAGTACCTGAAATGTCAGGTACAGCCACTGTCGAAGCTGCTCGTTGGAATGTGATTAAAGCCCCTTTTTCCAGACAGGCATTCCTTTCTGTTAATCTGACAGCATCTGAAAATGTCAGCTTTATGTCTGAATGAGCAGCCTGCTCACTTTCCCCCTAAAAGTTGCAACGGAAATCTTACTAGGTCAGATCCATCAAGATTTCCGTATCACTTTCAACACATCACAAATCTAAACTGCAAGCAGTAGCATTAACAGATAGGTACGCAGATTCACCAAGAACCATGGGTTTGGTCGTGTTCTAGGCTATATGTAGTTATGGGAATCCATCTACGTGCAGAATAGTTGGCTACTACTGCAAATATCCTGCTGCAAGACTGTGAAACCCAAAAATCTCTTTACTAAAGAAACTTAAAATGACGGAAATGGATCAGACTTTTACATAAACTGACAGCTCTGACAGACCTCAAGGCTCAACCAGAGACTCTGCGCTATCCAGCAAATAGTTCAGTTGTAGCTTGTAAACTGTGACAGCTTAAATGTCCGAAGACAAGAAAAGCACACAATGACATCTGGTGCTACTGACCGATCCTGTCCCCTGTTTTGCTAAGCTTGCTATAAGGTTTAGCCCGTACAGCCTATGGTCTAATCTTTTGTTTTTTAGGGGCTTTAACCTTCATGTAGGCGACTGCCCAAGTTTGCACATGTGACAAACATCATGTGAGCACTGTGGTTCTCCATCACTATAGTGGGTGTGACTGAAAAAGCTCCAAGGGATGTTACTGTAAGACGGACCTATGGCTAAATGACAGAGAACCGTCACTTTAAGAGACTATTGAAGCCAGCAATGTTATGTGGTGCATGTCTGAAAATTGTGTAATACACTAAACACAAACCACCAACAAAGCATTTAAAACTTCTATAATGATGGCCTAAAATTACATCATTTCATAAATGCAGTAAACCATTTCAGTGTGAGGTTTAGCAGCCCCTGAACGCTGTTCTAAAATGACTGTCACCCAAGTCTCTCTGTGGTTGCTGCATATTAAAATAGCATCTAAAAACATTACTTGTGCCAGCTTGTCTTACACAACATCCATTGTGTTTGAAGTACATTCAAAGACAAAAAGCTTAGCGGGGTAACCAACCTGCTTTTTCTTCAGCTTGAAAATCTGCTGCTCCACTTTAGCAATCTCTCTGTCCACACGGTCCATACTCTGGATCAGCTCCTCCTTGGATAGTTTGGAAGGAGACGTGTCCTGCTCTTCCCCCATGTGCAGTGAAGGTCCTCCTGGGGACTGGGACTCCACTTTGACAGTGAACTGTGACTCCTGGGAGAAAACAAGGCTCATGAAGGTTTCATTCCAAAATCAGTTTTGTTTTTACAAAATTTGTACAGACTGAAAAAAGCAAACAGTCAGTAAGGTGGTGCACAAAGACCTTACCTGTCAGATGAAACTGTTCTATCGGTTTGTTTGTACCATTCTATCTATTTATGTCACTGAGGACAGGATGAATTAAGCAGCTCTCAGGTCAAAAGGACCACAAATGTCATCCTCCAAGATGACAAAGTTGAATCAACATCCCTATCCTCCAGTAAAATCTACCTTTATGACAGGAGGCCTGCAATAACACAAGAACCCTGCAGTAAATCTTACCTTCGTTTTTCACTTGGTAGATAAACCGGCCACTGAGCACAGATACGGTGAGCTACAAAGGTAAGGGTAAGGTGTTTGGAAAGGAAGGTTAGAAGAAACATGTCCCACCTTTTTGACCTCCACAGTGGCTCTTAGGCTGTCCTGTACAGTATGAGGCATGGGCAGAATAATACCCCCTGCAGTGGAAGGGGTGCGGGTGATATGAGCCTCAGCAACAGTCTCCATGCGAGGGCGTTTAGCCTCCAAGGCCTCATGCTCAGGCTGGGCTGTGACGGAGTGAAACTGCTGTTCGTAATTATGGCGTCTCTCTGGAGGCCTGAAGAACAAAAGTAAACATTACATTTACAGATCTATTATAAGCTGATTGTCAAAATATACGATTCTATGAGTGGAATCTGAGGAGGTCCGCGCCAAGAGTGCAAGAAAACAACGAGTGCAGAATGAGAACCTAATTTAAAATATGAAAGAATTTAAAGACCCCTGATCTGGATGGCACGTATGAGAAACAGATCTGGCAGATATTTAGGCAGCAGGCCAGGTATTAAAAATGAAGCCGTTACCTTTCGGTTCCAGGGTGGAATTCAGACAGTAAAGATGGTCTCCTGCGACCCTGTGGATCCTGCATGTGAGCCCGATAGTCTGGGACGGTGAAATCCTGAGGGGAAGAGGAAGACAACCACAAACAACTTGATGAAGCTATCCGATCAGGGTCTTGACGGTATGAAAGAGGGGACATGTGGGTGTAAAGCACGGGGTGGTTTGCTCACCATAGAAGGACACAAAAAATACACCATCATAAATTCCTGCAAAGCTACAACTGTATCAGAGCACTTCACAGATGAAATCGTGTTTACAGAGAGACAAAGTCCTGTCTACACGGATGACAAAATCCTCTGATGCAACATATATTCCCTTCGTTTTAATCAATACGACTGTCCACACTGGCTGTTTCATTCACACTTTACACACATAGCTGTGACCTGAAGCATCCTGTTTGGCATCAAGGCTGTCTGAGGGGCAACCGGTCGCCTAAGGGCTTATTGCACTGACCATTAAATTGAAGGTTTATAGTTCGAGTCCGGCCAGGGACCTTTGTTGCACGTCACCCCCCTCCTCTACACACACACAACCACACACACACACACACACACACTCCAACCCCACCCACCTCATTTCCTGTATGCTTTCTGCTGTACTTAATCTAATAAAAGCAAGGTTCCCAAATGAACTCAACTGCAACTCCGAGAAGACGACATGGTCACAATTTCAGCATTTGGAGGTTTATTTCTAAACATTATGAGCTGGATAGCTTTGCTTGTTTGTTAAAATAAAAAAGGTTCACACATTTAACATCAAGTGCAGGAGGACACATCCAACCACATCATCTTTATGACTCTGTCTACCAGAAAAATGAAAGAAAAAACACAACAACACATATGTTAAAGCACACTGGAACAAGTTCTGGCCCAAAGTGGGGCAAGACTTCTCCCCTCTTTAAAACATGTTAGAGTCAATGCCCAATGGAATTACTAAAACCAGCAGCAATGCTCCTATCTGGCAAACTAAAAGGAATTTTGTTGATGTTAAGCAAATGGATTAAAACCTTTTTAATAGTCCAAGGCTTTTATCCAAAAACTGTTGGGGTAAATGTTATCAGCACAGTGTGACCGCCAAACAAACCTGAACAAGCCAATGCAGTTACAGGAAACATTATCAAATTCCAGTTTAGTCCCAGATTTAAGCAAACAATCCAAATGCTCAGAAATGCCCTGCTGACAACTTTCTGTGAAATTAAGCTTCTCAGAAGTATGTCATCCAAAATGTTTAATGAACATTATCCAGTATTCACAAACAATCAAATTAATGCACAACTGTAACATGTGCTGGAATTAAATACTATACAAACCGAAGAGAGCTGCACAATTATGACTGAAATGAATATTACAAATATTTGTTCAGTACTGAGACCATAATGGTGATTATTTATTCATTCTGAATGCATTTTAGATTGTTTGAGAAACTTTCCATTTTAAAGCCTAACACTAATAATAATGTCCCTGCAGTCAGTAACTTAGTCACAAAAAATAATCTGTTAAATTTTATTTGTGGGCGAAAATGCCTTTGCAGCTGAGTTCAGGCAACTGAGAGTCCTCAGGCTGCAGCCACAGCAGTGAGCCTCGAAGAACCACAACCTCTGATTCATTTCCTATTCAAAGCTGCAAACTGGTTGCAAAGTGGTCAGCGGAGGTGCACTGCCTATTCAGATTACCTGACACCACAGGTTTAGGGCGCAGTCCAACACCATATTTCTCACCAAGCTTATAGCCGAGCCTGAAACTAACTTCACTGCTCTCGTTTTGTCTGCCTCATCGGAGCCCCAAATGATGATCAAAAAGAAAAAAAGCACAGAGTTCTCATTTCAAAAGCCAGTCTGACTCTAGCTGACCATACATGTAACTGCTAAATGACTTCCCAGGCTGTGTCTGAAAGTGAAAGTAAATGCGTGACAACAGTGTGCAGGACTCTGTCAAAAATAAAATATATACCTGTGGTTTAACAGCTCTAACACCCGTAAATTAAACCAGCCAAAGAATGTTCCAGATCCAACTACATCCAATACAGATACAAGTACAAGAAAAATCAGTTTAAAACTGGCTCGAATCATTGGTGAGGGTGAGTTCTTAACAAGGTGAATAGTAGGAGATTTCAATCAAAATGAACTTTAAGTAGACATACCGTGAATGTCGTCGTATTTAGTGACTGTGTTTCTGATGTCATGCAGCTAAAGACCACACCACAGCTCAAAAGTCAAAATTTGGATTCCTCATACCCTCAAGTGAGAACCGAAGAGCAGAAAACCTCCTGCAAAAATTCTGATTTAAGGAACCATGCAGCCGTGTCACTATTTTTACTGCAAAGGTCGCTGTAACCTTCAGAAGAGTGCTGTAGAGATGAAGTTCTGTTATTCAGATTTACTAACATTTTTCTACAATACCTTAGAGAAGCATCACCACATGAAAGCAAACAACATTTAGAGAGCTGGTCCAGTTATGACACAGACAAATACACCTGATATCTCAAACACAACAACGCAGAGGGAAGGTTTTACCTGTTGGTGGCGTGTGCCAGTGAAAGTGTACTGGACAGAATGTGGGGGGTATCGGCTCTGCTCGCTGCTGAAGCTCCCCTGGCTGGGGGGGTAGCCCGAGCTACTGGACATCGTGGCTCAGTGCTGGCGGGCTGTTGCTGCTTCACGGATCAGAGAGTTTAGCTAGACCATGTTCGGAGACACAAACCACCTGCATGCAGACAGAAACACAAACTTCATTTTAGGAAAGTCACACTTGTATATATAAAGGCCTCTAAAGCATATTTTCTGTGTCAGAAATAATCAGAGAGGAAGAAAATCAGACAGCTAATATGCACTCACACTGAGTTACACTGACAATATGTCAATGTCAGAAACCTCTCTCGGGAGAAGTGCTGCCGCTAAATCAGAGAGACAATGTCGAGCTGGAAAAGAGATATTAGTGGTCTATTGTTGTGTATCAGCAAATTACTATGTGCAACAGGAACACTAGACAAAACAAGGGAGCACACAAAACTCAATGATCATATACTGGTTCAAACAGATTTTATCTGAACAAGTCAGCCCACTTTCATTTTTATCACTTTCTCAAATATTTCTGAGTCCCTGTGCAGACGAGTTCAGGCCTAAAGCACTGCCCTGCTGATATCAGCTGTGGCTGCCAGTAGGTAATAAAGCTAGAATCAAATCCAAAATAAACCACTATAAACTCTTATGATACTTGCATGGGCCTTAATTTGAGCCAAGGCTTTAAAACAAAAATGCAGGGATGATCTTGCAACAACTACTGCATTTAAAAACGCTGGGCGATAGCGTTCGGCTGCAGCTCTAGAAAACCCCATAATAATCTTTCCGTGGGTGGAAAGAACAGACGTCTGTTCTTCAGATACAGATAATTCAGTTAACTTGACTTGACTTGATTGCTGATGATTTGTTATTAACCTAGACTGTATTTTTGGGCTCTTCTACAATATACGTGGAGCTGTGTTTACACAATAACACAACCCCGAGCTTAAATGAGCAAAAAAAAAAAAACGCAGCTTTATTGAAAGTTGGCTGCATCATCAGTGCATCAGTGTCAAAAGTAAGTCCATGAATTCATATTCAGACCTTCCCCCTCCCTCACTAGCAGTTTTGATTGTCTTAACCCAAATGTACTAAAAGCAGACAGCAAAAAAGTGATCCAACATTTTGCAGAACGTTCATATCAGAAATACAACAATGGCAATAAGCTGTTCGCCAGTGAGTGGAATTTTGTGTCAGTAATAATCAGTTTAGGGAGCGTTATGTGCTGGGCTTATTCAAAATATGAGCATAGAAATGTCATCCACAAAAGCCAGGATTAGGCTTCTCAAAAGGAAAATGTAGGTGTTGCAGAATCACTATTATTTGAAAGATACAAGTTGAAACATATAATTAGCATAATTTCTAAGAGTTAAATTCCTAATAGGGGATTTGAAATATGATTAAAATAGAACTGAAACAATTTTAAAAATTGTTATGTAATCTAAAGACATGCTCCAATATGCACTACTACATATTGTTGCTATTATAGTTGCATGAGCTACAACAAAACAAACAAACAAAGAATAGTAACTCTAATCCCTTACCACAGGATCTGAATTAAGACAATGCACAAAACTTAGAAGAAAATTACAAATAAATACAATTGATCTAAATTTGAACAGAATTCAAGACGTGAAACGTGATATCAAATTACTGAAGTCAGGCAGACTACATTACCATCAATTGGTCATACAGTTTCATCTCTTGCACAAACAGTCTGTTGTTTATTAAAGGGACAGGCGGGGTGGGTCATTTCATAGACTGAGAGGAAACATTCCTCATATTTTAATAGACTTCTGCTAAGCAGCAGTGAGGAAAAGGTGTTGTCTCTATCCTTACGTGATGCCAACCAATCACAGGATTACCTTCGACTTTCCAGTTTAGTTCAGATTACCATCTAATTTATTTACTAGGATTGCACGCAAGTTAAAGACCTCAATTTTATGTCAACTAAATGCTTGTTTTAGCTGCTCAGAATCATGTTAAGCAATGTACAAAGAGCAGGACCAACGACAGAGCCAGGAAGCGCTGTGACCGTTTTTGATGAATGCTTGTTCACTAATTAAAGAATAACGTAGACTCCAGATGTTCCAGCACTTACATGGGAAACATAAACACAGAGTTTGTATTTGGCCTCATTATTTCTAAATGACTAAAAATGCAAGCAAGCTATGTAAATTTCTGTACACTAATATATAACAAAGACTTCACTGGAATTTTTTCGAGCTCTTTTTATTCTTCTTCTCAGCAATACATCATACGAGTCTGTGTTCTGCTGTCTCTACCATTTTTATTCTAAGTCTGCAGGATTTACAGCATGACCACCATGCCACAACAGTATGACGCTAACTTCAGGGTTTGAAAAGCTACAACCCATGCCACCATAACCAGGCTAGGAAGCTGTTATTTTATTCTTCAGTCCACAGGCCGCAGCATTTGGTGGGTCCCAGAACATGATATCAACTTGTACAATTTCAGAAATACTAAAAATAACAAAGTGACTTGGTAACTATCGGACGGGTCTTTCTAACCATTCTTGAGAGAGCTGCTTGTATTTTTAACGTTTTCCATATAAAATGAAACAACCTTCATTTTACCTCTGTAAATTATAAGAGCAATAACAAATATGATGCCCCATATCCTCTAAACACCACCAGGCAGGTCTGTAATTGGTTCCTACATGTAGGAGTCTCAGTTCCAGCAGCACCTTTTGTCTTGGAGTAAAGCTAAGATGGAACAAATCAGCTCAACACAACCTGTCAAATCTGAGAAACAGAAAAGAAGTAAAAATGTTTACAGCCACTGAAACAAAAGAAAAACTGCTCAAAGGGCCCCAGAGATGCCGCAAATACTACAGCTGCCAAACACCTTTCATGTTTTGCCTCTATTGTTCTGTTTTTCTAAACTTGGTCGACTTCTACATAATCTTCTTTAGTCTCACTTCAGTTAATTTCTCCGCCAAAAAACATCTGCCAAGCTACAGAGCTTGATAAGAGGTAAAATGCATACTTAAAAAATAAGAACTAAATGTACTGGGAGATAACCAGGCATTTAGATGTATCACTGACAATCAGTGAAACAGGAAACTAAACGCTGTACTAATGCTGCTAGGGAGGATTTTGTCATCTCTCAAGCGAGGTTTTGCTCCTTTACAAGTCTTGTACAATTTTGCTCCAAGTATTACAAACACATTATTTGTTCCTTTGTGTTCTCAAAAGGGAAAGAACAGACCTCCTGGGTTTAAAAATGCGTCACAGCATGTTTCCTGTTTAGCCAGACATTAAATCTTTTTTCTTTTTTAAATCATTGACAGTAAATGAGCAAGCAGGACAATATAAATATGCTTGCCATCAGAACCATCTGGCACAGGGCTAGTTAGTGACCAGACGATGAGTTGTTTCTCAGTTTTTTTCAATTTGCAAAGACATCCATGATGGGAGCCAATTCCAGTGATATTGCTCTGGGAGATAGGGCTACAGAGTAGTTCAGGGACTACCTTGCAAATCAAGCCTAATGTGTATACAAAGACAAACCCAAGTCAAGTTTCAAAGAGATCTCTAAGGGAGTCTCCCAAGGGTCAGTTATATTTTCTATTTTTATAAACAACAGTGTGAGGGGCATGCCTACAGCTAAAGTGCATTTTTATGCAGATGACCCAACAGTGTATCCAGCTGCCTCTTCTGAGCCAGGCTGTTGATGAGCTCCAGACTGCCTTCAACAGTTGCAGGCTTCATTGTAAGATTTATGGCTGGTTCTGAATGGCAAGAAAACCAAGTTTACGATCTTTTACAGAGCTTACTCTAAGATCACACATACAGCTAGTATTCATACTTCAGATGGGGACCTAATTGAACAATTATTTTCCTACAAGTACTCAAGTATTTGGGTAGATGGTAGGCTCTCTTAAAGACTGCACATTGAGCAGATAGTGAAAAAACTGAGGGTCAGGCTGGGTTTATATGATTAAAATAGGGCCTGACTTTATTTAGCAGTTAGGAAAACACTGGTAGGGACTACACTCTTACGTACTTTATACTACAGGGGCATTATTGTTTTGCATGCTGAGGCATCAATTCTGTATCATAGTTGTCTATGATTATTATCCACCTCACTGTATACTTTATGATCTGGTGTCTTGGCCTTCAATAAGCCAAAAGAGGCAGCAGCAGCACTAGAATACTTTTATATACAAAGCAATACTGCGTGAACTCCCTTCTTGCTTGTATAATTTTCTATTACTTACCAACAGCTGTTATAGCTCTCTCCTATCTAAATGGCTGCTATGAAGGGTGCTCCGGATTTGCTGTGAGCTTAATAGAGCGGCCTTCTCCTATTTGTTTCCTAGTCATGAAGTAACCTTCAGAACACACTACAGCTTCAGGATTTTGTCTCCCTGAGAGAGTTCAAAGCTTTCACCAAAAGATGTGTAACTGAAGAGTGCAATGGTTATTTCTACTGTAGATTTTGTTTTGTGTGTGTTTAGTCCCCTGATTATTTTAAACATCTCAATTGTGTGCCTCTGTCTATTGTTCTCATGTGTAATTGTGTAATATTTTTTAATCTGTTGAAACTTCTTGGTCCCTTAAAACAAGAAAATATAAGCTCAGAGGACTTCCTGGTTAAATAAATACAATCTAAAAATCATTTACTTTTTTTTTTAATACAGTTAGTGCTGCATCCCTTTCTCGTTCTTTCAAACATGAAACATGAGGGCAGATAAAAGAGATTGTGGCTCCATGCATATTTGTCCCTGGGTGTCTCCTACTCTCCTCTTCTCCATTTCAACAGTTTTACTGTGGTTTTCGAGAGGATTCGGGGCCATTTGAGCTCAGAAGCATAAAACCTGAGTGTGTAACAGCTACAGCCTGCTTTCGTCGTTTCTCGATGAAGTTCTCAGTAAAGTTAGTGAGTAAAGCATTTCCATTGGCCTCTCTAACGATTCCCATGTAAATGCAGCAGTTGTGGTGACCTTCATAGCCCCAGATCCAGTGCAGCAGTGAGGAACACTGCTGCTGTGTGTTGTTATTGTTGTCTTTTAACACCAAACTGTCATATAAACGCATTTGGATTTGTAGCTTATCTTGGGGGATGGGACCATTTCCACAACACAGAGCATCTCCGGAAATGCGCCAAAAACATGCACAATAATAAACGTCCACTGAAAAATGTGTGTTAGCTTGGCACCTTAGTGTAGTATGACGACGTTAAGATGTTGTTGTTGTCGCTAGCTGGCTAACTTAGCCTGTATTTCACCTTTGAATTCTCAACCACGTCGCCATCTTGCAAGGCAGATTTTCAGCGTAGACCGGAGCGCTAAAATAGCGTGCTAATTAGACATATTGTTGTGCACATTTTAGCGATATGTACTCACCGCATATTTAGAAAATACACCGATGGGAGAGGAACGGATCCCCGGGCACAAATATGTGGCAATTGTTGATTGTAAATCCGCGGGTTATGGGTTGTGGACGACTGGGCAGACTGAAGGCTGCGCCGCATTTGTCGGTCGATGTCCTGGCAGGGTAAAATAAATTGTAGCCACTCGCGGGGACTTTAAGGGCGTTGGTATCGCTCAATAAATTTGCATGTACAAAAGAAACTATAAGCTAAACATTTATAAAGAAAGAGGACCTTTGCGTTAATATTTTGTTAAATAGCTTGAAAAATCCGGTTGGTGTTTTATACGCCTGCAAGGATAATGCGGTGTGACAGCTAAATCTTCCCCTCAAACATGGTGATGTTCCTGGTGTTTGTAATTTTCACTGTTTAAAAACACAGATCCTGCTAAATTTTTGCGACTTTCTTCTACGTTTTTGGTGTCCTCTTTGTCCAGATACGTTAGAAAATAATTCTGTTTTATATTCACCTCCCTATTCTCCCAGTAATTTGATTTAAACACAACTAAAGTGAGACGCGACATTGACTGTAAATGAGCAAAAACGGAATTGTGAGGATGAACACGAGCACATTTTGTTTTGTTTGACTCACTTATACCACTTCTTGATTATTTTTTTAAAGAAGATGAAACGTTACAGATAGCAGACATGCTTAATATTTTTTTACACGTGGAACCATTTGCATGTTCGACTTGTTTTTACACGGATTGTTTATGGTAGCGGTCAAAATAATGAGTATTTACCTGGTTGTCTTCATACTTTTGTGCTATTTGGCTTTGATAAAATGCATTTACTATCGACACCGGCGAACTCTGATGAAGTCGCTGAAGCGCTTGTTGAGCGTTTCGTCGAGCAGAGACTCAGACGGAGCTGAGATCAGAGCTCTGCTTGTTACTGCGCATCCGGATGATGAATGTATGTTCTTCGCGCCAACGATTATACGACTCGTCGAGTTAAATGCCTCCGTTCATTTGCTGTGTTTGTCTGAAGGTACGCTGACAGCACGCTTTTGTTTGCGTGAATAACTATAAAGGGTCAATATAAATGTATGGAAGACGAAATAGCAATCGTGTGGTTGCTGCTAACTAGCTTTAGCTCGTTCTAACTACACGTTTAACTCGTGTGTTGGAAATTAGCAAAACATAAAACGATAATACTAAATTTAGCGGATCAGCTACAACATTAACAATACTAAAAACACAATATATATAGTTAATATGTTTGCTAAAGCAAGTTATTGCTTGTTTGTTTTTGTTCTAAAACTGCACTAGGACTGAATGAATTGGGGAAATGATCTAATTGCAAGTTTTCTGACTTACATGGACATGCCATTTTTCAATATGTATTATATTTAGTTCGTGAACGATTTGTATGACCACATGGGATGACATCAAAAACTTGAGTGTCACACAAGAAGGAAGCAAAACCCCTGACGTGGCAGTTTAACCCTGAGTCAGACACTCTGTATAACTTCAATCCCACGCTGAAGCCTTTGCAGTTTGCAAATTGCATAGAGTTGCAATGATTAATCGATTAGTAGTCAACTATTAAATGGATCGCCAACTATTTTGATAATTGTGTAATTGATTTTAATGTTGTCTGGGTGAAAAAAATGTCTAAATTCCCTTATTACAGTTTCTTAAAATTGAATATTTTGTGGCTTCTTTCCTCCTCTATCACAACTAAAATGTAAACTAAGGACTTTTAGGATGTGGTAGAAATAAGACATTTGAGGACGTCATCTTGGGCTTTGTGCTGTTTGACATTTTTAACAGTATTCTGACATTTTATACATGAAACTACAAATTGATTAATCAAAAAATAGTCACACATTACTGACAATGGAAATAATTGTTAGTTGCAGCCCTCCTTTATTGTCAGACGTTGTAGGAGTTTAGAAGGCCAGGGTTTGATTTGTTTTTTATTGGAGTGCTGATGGAATTCACAAAGCCAAGAGTTGTTTAAACAATGTCAGGAGACCACATTACACAGCTAAAGAAAACTTTTTTTTCAAATTTCATCATCTGTTGAGGAAATAATTTGTCCCCTGAATATCATACAGGAAACTACTACAATCAAGGAGCTCAGCGTAGACAAGAACTTCTCAACAGCTGTGCCGTGTTGGGGATACCAGCCTCCAGAGTCACCATAGTAGACCATAAGTAAGCAGCCAGCCTCTACACCAAACATGCAACATATACAATATAGTGTCTCTATTGTTTGCCTTTAGCTCTGAAAGCCTTAAGATTCTGTTAGCCTGGAAGAATTTTGTGGCTGAATATTTGTCTGGTAAAAAATGTTGATATTAATGTTAATTGTTATCCCAAAAATAAATCACAAAACGAAGTACCCACATGCTGCTTTCAGTTCAGGAGTCAAGTCTCAGCATGTGCTCCTGTTGGAGCCCATCCGTCCCCTCCCTGTCACCCAGTGTCTATCAGAACAAATAGAGTTGACCACAAATCACACCCATCCATTCTCACCACAACAGTTGTGATCTAGCCTGGTCTGATGTATTGACCTCTGCGTCACAGAGGTAATAAATGAGTCGGAGTCAGTGGTAGCTTTGCCCCGTGGGACACAAAGGCCCCTAAAAAGCCTAAAACTTTCAGACAGGCATTAATCAACCAATTTATCCTTTTATCCATTTCAGGTGTATGTTTACATATTTATATCCATCGCCAAAATGCGTTGTACAGCAAGTTCTAAAGTTGTAATTAAAATTTAATTAAAATATTTTTGTATATTACAAATTAATAAATTAAAAAATGAAAAAAGTTGTCCTATGTGGAAGTATGACATTTGATTTTGGCTGTAATGTTTGCACCACTGAGCTGTTGTCTGCCCTGAGCTATCAATCAACTATTTTAAAGATTATTTTTCAGGATTTTTTTGCCTTTATTGCTTAGGACAGTGAAGAAGGACAGGGAAAAGTGGGGAGAAGAGAAGGGGGTGGTCTCAAACCGCGGCCGCTACATTTGGGGTCGCTTATCCGGTTAAGCTACTGGGGCGCCCTCAATTAACTTGTTTAAGCAGCCGCAGAAGATTAGTGAAAGTCAGTGATGCCTAGGGGGAAACTGGGCACATGTGGATGACTCTGCACTAACTTACAGTATTTTTGGGAGGTAATTGCCTGTTGATTGCATTACATTATGTTCCTTTTACTACAAAATTATATTTATGTTTTGCTGCTACCCAAATACAGTCCCTCCGTCATCAGTACTTGGTAGCTCAGGTTTACTGAGGACACGCCTTAAGAGCTGCATGGTATTTTTATGGGTCACTTTCAGGTTTTACACCAAAGTGACAATTCAGCTTTCAGTTTTGTTGCGTTCAGGCAAACTTTTGTGTGTCACTCTGTGTAAGAAACAGTTTTCTTGTGAGAAGTTAGTGGGGGGAAAAAATAGTTGCACAATTAGCTTTGTTGCAGGAACACGACAGTTTGAAGAAGACTTGGCTCTTATTCATCCCAAGTACAATAGAGGCAAATACATCATAAGGTTTTTCCCCGCAAATGAACGTCTTTTGTCTCTGGCTATTGGCAAGGTCAAGTTACAGAAAAAATTGTGGTAAAAGGGTTTTTTTTTTTGTTTTGTTTTTTTCCTGTGGATCCACCCCGCAGCTTCCCCTGAAAATGTTTGGAGTTTCTAAGAACTTTGGGACTGCCTACATGTGAGTCTCTACATGTTGGCTCGCCAGGAGAGCTGTATGAACTCTGGCACTAACCTGGAACTCACAGTAATAAGCTGGCAGCCTGCCCAGGTTGTCTGCCCTAGAGAACATTGCTTGTGTGTGTGTGTATGTGTGTGTGTTTTTTGTTTTTTTTTAAACACACATCCAGTCTTTACAGTTTTATCATCTTGTGCACACAGAATATAGCTGAACTTTGATCTTAGTGCTGTCTGCACTTCTGCTGAACTGGAGTGTAGCCCATTTTCCCTTTCTGTGTATTCTGTTGTTTGCCCAAAACACACACCTAATCAGCACTTCGAGAGCACAAGCCCCACTCACCCACAAGCAAGCTCTCTCTCTCTCTCTCTCTCTCTCTGTCTCTCTCTCTCCTTCTGTTCCACCCCTCCTCCTCCTCTTGTTCATGTCTGCTGAAGCCAACTGCCAAGGACTGTGGGATACATTTTGGCAACGCTCAAAGCACTGCTAATGTAGGTCATTCCAAACTGTTTTTCTCTTTGTGTGTCTGTACATGGCTCGCCACACTTTGGCTTTGCTCTTAACCTTCCCTGTTCAAATATGTGCAGATGTCCATCCAAGTTTTGACCTCTCCCTGTTTTTCTTATTCGCCAATTTATTGCGCACAAAAAGAGAGGAAGTGCGACATTTAGTCCAGTTTTACTGTTTAAAGCCTAAATTTCTGACCAAACTGTTGTTAATGTCAAAGACGGAGTCGCGCTTTAAGTTTAATTAACACAAAATAATTCTAACCATCTAACCACTCTGTAACTTTTTGAATAGGAACCAAAGGCCTGTGCTTCGTATCAGTTTGATTTTAGCAACTGCACACAGTTTCCAGTTTGTTCGACTGAAACTAACCAAAGTTACAGTGTTCAGCTTTTAGTTTTTAGTAGGATTGATTCAACTCTATGGTTATCTGGATGGCTGTAGAACTGTGCTGGGGGGGGCGGGTGGAGCCTGACTCAGGGCGAAGGCAGGGACCCTGGACAGGTCACCAGTCTGTCACAGGGCTACACTTAGAGACAGACAACCAAGCACACTCACATCCACACCTACGGACAATTTAGAATCACCAATTTTCCCTTAACATGTTTTTGGACTGTGTGGGAGGAAGCTGGAGAACCCACGCTGCACAGGGAGAACATGCAGAAAGAGCCCAGGTGTCTTCACCGGGATGCGAGCCAGCGACCTTTTAGCTGCGAGGCAACGGTGCTAACCACCGAGCCACCTTGCAGCCCACAATATAATGTTCTACTGGAAAATCTTTGGTCCTGGCATTGATGTGGATGTTACACTGACCACCGTTGTACCACCCACGTAAACTCTTCAGATCAACCAAGCTCAATTTCCAGTAGCAGCAGCTTCCCCCAGCAGGATAATGTACTCCACCACACCTCAACATCTGCTCAGGAATGGTTTGAGGAACTTGAAACACAGCCTTGATTGTATTAGCCTACACTTTTGTCACCGAGGAAAATATGTAATACTGAAAAAAATGTCCAGATTTTAGATCCACTTACTAAACATGTCTTCTGCTGTTTTAGCAGCTGTGAACCAACAGTCCTGTAAGCAGTGGTGGAACATCATTAAGTACATTTACTCAAGTACAGTTTGGATCTACTTTACTTTAGTGTTTCCATTTTCAGCCGCTTTCTACTTGCACTCCACGACAATCCAGAGATAAATATATTTACTTTTTTACTCCATTACAATTATTTGAAAACTTACTTTGCAGATTTAGCAATTCAGAATATAAACAACTCATAAACTAAATTATAGATCAACATGAAAAAATGGGGGGACAAATGTTATGAAGCTACATAAGGTAGATAACCACCTTTATCAGTTTTGCATTAAAGTACTGAACACATAAATGCATCAATAATTATGTATTATGTCATAAAACATATATGATTCCTAAATGAGCCCGTCTGCTTTATGAGCACTTTCACTTTTACCACTTTAAGCGTATTTTGATGTTGATGCTTTTGTACCTTTACTTAAGTAAACATTTAGACGCATGGCTTTTACTAGTAGCAGTATTTCTATACTGTGGTATTACTGCTTTTCCTTCAGTACAAGATCTGAGTACTTCTTCTGTGCTACGTCTGTGAACTTCAATCATTTGGGAAAAGACTGTCGTGTAGACCCACAGAGACTAAATGGCTTTATGTTTGCTTTTCCTACAAACTCGTGCAAAGTTTAGAAAGGATAAGGACAACAATTACTGGAGGTGAGTGCAGCTCATATTAAGGACTGATCTGAAGCCAAATCTCTGTGTTTAGGAGGCTTTCAGTGAAGTCATCAGCCTTAAACAAGCAAAGCTGGAGTGAAAATGAGCGCCGGGGCTCAAGAGCTGAGATTTTCTTATGTGATACTATCAAAGGACAAAGCCTGAAGCAGATCCTCAGTTTGTGAGATGAAAATATTTGCCTTGAGCTCAGCGACACGGCAGGTTACTGTTCTTTGTAAAGCGAACACTAAACAGGATGTGTGCTCTATCTATCTGCAGTCTGCCTTGATGCTGTGTTACTGTGTTGTCTAGATGAATACTAGTATGTGTTCTCTGCAGTGGGTCTATGTGCTATCAGCTCATTCATCATTATGGTGTGACACACTCTCTCCACTGGACTTTCTTGAATTGCACAACATAAGTCACAGAGTAGCACAGGCTGGGTTATGTTTCATGATGACAGATCTGGGTGAGACACGCTCACTCACAGCTATAGCCTACATCTCTAAGATGACAGGGATAACACGTGAATTCTGCTTTAAAATAGGATTTTCCCTGTAATGCTCACTGAATAGGACAGCTGTGTTGACAGTATCTGGGGCCCCAGTGCATGTTGGGGCCTTTGTGATCAAGCTCGATCTGAGCACGCTCTGCTGCCTCCCCACTTGCTCTGGCTTGACCTCTGTCTGCTCCCTGGACTCGATTAGAGCTGCTCACTGCACAAATCCAACCAGTCCACTTCTTCATTACATTATCCATCAGACTGAACTGAAGCCTCGCTCCGCTCTCGCCCGGCTCATTTCTTTCCGACTTCAATAAATGTCCTGCTCGGTTAAGATGGTCAAAAGTCTTCCCTCAGAAGTAAATCATGAACTGAAAGCTTTTGTTTTCTATTGGATTAGTGTAATTCTCTTTGGGGGACGTAAACAGAGAGCTCAGCACAAGTTTTTGGAAAGGAGAGCAGTATTCGCTGCTGTAACACCCAATCCACACACAAGATTTAAATATACATTGATCAGTGGTAAAAATAGCCCCAACTGATTTATAAGCGCATGGCAGGATGCAGTAAACTGTGGTGAGTTGTTCCAGTCCTGCCACTGACCTCTGGCTGTGCTTTTACTCTAGATACATTGTCAGCACCACAAACTGGCCTCTGCATAGCCAAACCAGTTGTTGTTGTTGTTTTTTTTTATTCAGCCACCAAACAAACTGTAATTTTGTCACATTAGATTGCTGTTTTTCTGCACAACTTCCTTTCAAAACAACTCTAACGGCATTATTTCCGCGATTAACAGCAGTATTCCAGGGCTGTTTTCATGATGGTTTATTCCCTCAACATGAATAAATATTGGCCAAACCTGCAGCCAAGTGTCTGTAAATCATCATGAAACAACATGTGACAGTTGGTGTTGTTACTATAGTTGTAGCTGCCTTATTACACTGGGATATTGTGGGCATACTGTCAGCGTGTAGTGGCATCTCAGCCATTCCCAGCAGGACATATAATCTGACTGTGTGGACAGAAGTCTGGCAGTTTCACAGGCCTGTGGTCCATGTGACCAGACTAAACAAGCCCTCTCTGACACACACACACACACACACACACAGAATCCCTTTACTGGGCGAAAGTTCAACAACTGCATACAGATGCCTGCAAGCAATTAGACATCCACATGCAAAGCTACAAAGGGGAGCAGGGGAGGTTACTTTAGGACATTTTGCACTGTTGCCATGGCGAGGCCGACACTCAGCCTGCATCCTGCTTGAGAAAGGTCAGGTGTCTTATATCTTTTGTTCATTTTTCTTTTTTTTTTTTTTTCCACCCTCCCAGCAGCCGTGTGCTTAGCTACGGTTGTCAAGCTGTAGGGCGCAATGTCTAAAATAATAAATGAATAAATGCAACAGTGGACAAAATGTAAAATTCGTGCTATTGCAGTGCTAATTATCAAGTACTTTGGCCAAATGCTCAAAAACAAACCCACTACCTGTGTTTTGTTTTGTTTTTCCTTTCACCAGACAAACGTGAAGATATGAGACTTGAATTTTCATAACTTTTAAAGCAAACATTTAACAGTAGTTTGGATAAAAATTCAATTTCACAGCTCCACCCTTCTACAAAAACACACACACACACACTTACAAGCCTTATTGTATGTAGGTCACGGGTATCAACGTGTCAAAGCAGCACATTCACTCGATGACAGACAGTTTTAAACTATCTCTGAACCCCCGACCCTCCTCGCTGTGACATAGTCATCAACCCCTCCTAACCCCAGCCGCCACCCCTCACACCGAAGCCTGACCCTCGCACCACTGGCAGCCAATAGATTTGTGTTCTAATCCATCACTTCCCTCTACTAGCTCAACTGTCCTGGCTCATTGTTAGCAGCCAAGGGGAGGGAAGCCACTGCTGACACACTGCCACACCCACACCCCAACTTTAAGCACTCATATGTATGAAGAGCTGCAACTAACAATCAACCTGCTGCTTATTTCCTCCATTAATCGTGTAGATTCAGATTCGTTTTATTGTCATTGCAATGAGTACAACGGAAAGTAAGGTGCAGGCCTTTCAGTGCAAAAACAAAATGTAAAAACTTTGTAGGCAGCTATGTACAATATAAAAGAAATATGTATATTTAAAAAAAACTATATAAAAAGATGAAATTAAATAATAACCATGAACACAGTGTGTAGAGTGGATATTGGACAGAGGTGGTGGCAGTTGTATGTTTACAATATATTGCACTTATTGTGACAAGGAGGCATTTATGGCTCTGACAGCAGTTGGAAAAAAGCTGTTTTTTAGTCTATTTGTCCTGGTTTTGATGCCCTGTACCATCTGCCCGACGGCAGCAGTGGTAGGAGTCCTTCAGGATGGCGTTGGTACTCCTGAGGCAGAAGGAGCCATGAAGGTCCTCCAGTGTGGGTAGAGGCCACCCAGTGACCTTCTCAGCCACTTTGGTGACCCTCTGGAGTTCTTTCCTGTTTGCAGAAAGTAGGATAAACTTGACAAAGTGGTGTTAACACATCTGTCACCTTTTTTGTAGACTATAACCAGAACCAAAAATTAGAGAATGCTTATAGTGGAGAATGTGGAAGCATCAACTGTTATGTTAACCCCACAACCTGCTGACTGGTTTTGAGCTACAAACAGCAGAAAGAACGGCAGGATTTCCAGCTTTATGCCTCTAGTGTGTCGTGTGTCATACGCTGGTCCTTCCAGAAAAATAACCAAATATAAGCTTAAAATTGTGGTATTTCTTCACTTTATCCGAGCTCCACACCACAACTGGGAAGCCATGACCGACTCAGCCGCAACCAACCGTCATGTGACAAAAATGACTTTTTGGCTGAACTGCAGGCTGTGTTCACCGCAGATGACAGGAGAGGCTGAGAGGAATATAAAACACTTGATCAATAAAATAAATTCAGCATGGTTCAAAAACTGTGTGCAAGAAGAAGAAGCAAGTTGTTGGAAGATGCTCTCAGCCTGGTGATGGAATTCATCAGCTCTGAACTCTTTTAAGAGCTGACGTGCAGAGTTGTGCAAAAATGTTTGTAGAGGCTGTAAAAATACAAGTAGGCCTCGTCTAATAGCTGATCTATAGCATGTGGAGCTTCCATTCTGTTTTCCACAATTGGTAACACCTGTGGGCACTTAGGAAAATGTTGTATATGTTGATTGTGGGTTTTTTTTATTATTATTTTGGGGTGGAAAATGTTTGAGTTCTCTCTGCTTGTAGCTGTGGTTGTTGTTTCCATAGAAGGGCAGCACTGAGCAGAACAGAGAAAAATGAATCCGCATTAAATAAATATGTGCGAGGAACAAACAAAGGCCAGAACACTGCTTGGGATTCAAGCGGGGTAAAGACGTCTTAAATGATTAATTAATTGTCAGAGTAATTGCGTGATTAATAGCTCCACATTCGCTGTCACTCACACCACCCATGTGCCGGCTCAGGTGCACAACAACACGCCATGTCATTAATCTCTTTCCTGTATTTTTAGGTTTCTTTTGAAGGTTAGAACTTTGGCTTGCAGTGATGTCAAGTTTCTTGTTTTTTTTATTTTTTTTAAATCAACATAAAGCAGGAAAAAAAAGATAACTTATGAGCAAGCTGGTTTCACTCCACTTGAAATGCAGCCCTCAGGACTTTGAGTTTTTATGAACTATGTTGGCCAAATTCAAATCTAAATCTGTCTAAGTAGGATTTAAGCCCTTCTCTCCCTTTATTTTTTTGTGGCTGGTTTCTCTTGAGTTTAGGAGGACATTGAACAGCCATAAAAAAGAAATAACTTATTATTTCTGCCAAAAAAAAAGGAGTATGTGCATGTTTAGTACGCCAAGAGAGTGGGCTGGCCAAGTGTGATGTTTGATGTGCGCTCTGCGTTGCCTCCAGGCTGTAGTTTCAGATGAACACGATGCTAAAGGCCTCCCGACCCTTCACCCATGTACTTCCCAGCACTCCCTCGTGTTTGCATTCCACAACAGACCATTTTATAATGCTGCACTAAATCTGTGCAAAAAAATACGGTGCTTGGGACAGGAATAAGACTTTCAGTTACAAGCGGAGACACAATGCACCGCTGTTTCTCAGTACAAACCTGTTGTAACATTAACTCTGTAGATCACCAGAATCTCCTTCTTTGCCCTTCAGAAAGCTTCCAGATGATCCCAAAGCAGAGTGGAGCGTCTCACTGGTCTCCTCTACCATTGTGAAGCACATCAGAGCTCACTCCTTCAACGTGGTACGCTCAACTCTGCCTTCAGTTCTTGTCTTTCAGAGCTGTGGCTTTTCTGTCGTTTCCTGTTTGGTGTTAACACACATTTTCCCTGCCGTTCTGTGTAAGAAACTCGTGTATTGTACTGTTTTGTTTTTGCCATATGCTTTGGCACCACGGTTTCCTTGCTCATTATCCTCGTTTGACTGTGGTCTGCGTAATAATCCTGTCAGTCGCCTTCTCTTTTATTGCAACCCAGACTGCATTTTGAGCCTCCTTAAAACCAGAGGAAACGGCCCCGGCTGCAGCAGAAAGTTTGGTTTAATTCCGGTGTTTACGCAGAGATTCTTATCAGGCCCCGGTGCAGTTCCGCACTATTAGCTAATGGGAATGTGGTAAATTTAGAATCAACCTATTTTTTTAACCCGCCTATCTGGACAAAGGAAAAAATACTAATCACTCTGACAAAAAAAAAAAAACGAGCAGAAACTATCGAAGTAACAGTTCTTTATGGTGGGTGATGGAGACGTACAGCTTGATTCTTATATCCTTCAGCAGCTAAACTCTTTTGTTATCAAGGACGACAAACAAACACACCGTCTCCTCCCATCCTGTCAAGCTCAGCCACAAAAAAAAAAAAAAAAAGCAGGCTTAAGAATCACACAGAAAACATCCTCTCTGATGAGAACAGGCAGGGAAAAGCATCGAGATAACAAACAACTGGTTCGATTCGCCTCTTAACCTGAATAATGTGGTTTCTTTTTGCTCTAATGCCTTGTCGTTCTCTTGCTTGTTCACCTACGAATCAAAGTTCGTTAGTGACCTATAATAACTGGTGGTTGGGAACTGAAACATTCGCTCTACGGAAAGACAAAGTCATGGTAGAATACACCTGAGCACAGCAAATGCTCAAGTCTTTAGTCAAGCACTTCTCTTTGCCTTTGACCTGATTTTTTTTTTTCACGTGTTTTCTCTGGTGTGCAAGCACGCTCACAGAAAAAGGCTTTTTAAATATCAGTTGTCAGCTGCCAGCAGCTCCACAGTCAGACACACAAACCCTTACACTAACCCAAGAAAACTCTCTCCCTCCGTTTTTGCCAGAGTTTATTTAAATTCACTTTTAGATACCCAGATTCTGCCTTTTCACCCACGCAGTGAGATATTCTGTTGTTTCAGGTGCTGACCTTCGATGGAAGAGGAGTGAGTGGCCATGCCAATCACGTAGCCATCCATAAAGCTGTCAGGTACAGGCTGCACTTTAAGGCTTTTCCATCTTTTAATATATTTTTTTTAAGTCTTTCAACTTAAAGATGCCACCCTCACAGATATTATGTGGCTTAAACACAAAACCCAGTCGTCTCCACAGTCATACAAGTCTGTCCAGGAAAATGCAGAACATTTAGACTCAATCAACATCCGTCTCTCCAAATGTTTCCCCACAAAGACACACAGCATGTTTTTCAGAATCGGTCTGTTACATAGCTGAGAGGTCATCCAAACAGAGTCCTCAGAGGCACTCGGCTCTGCTCCTAGTGAGCAGCAGTAAATCCTGTCCCTGAAGTGGTGAGGTGGGAGGCCAGCTCTGGTTTGGAGAGGCCAGCCACGCAAGTTGCATCAGACTGTTGGTTTAGAAAAAAAAAAAAAGTGTTTTGCACTGTGAAGTGTACATCGTGGTCCCCATGCTGCATTTAAATGTCTGCTGAGTAAGTCGTCGCCTTTTCCTTCTCATGGCTGTCGGTCGGTCTGTGGGCCTCATGTGTTGATGAGATGGGAGCTCTCCAAATCACATCTCATGATTCCCATTAGGCAGGAGCCCAGAGGGGCTGTGTACCAGTCTCACAGTGATCTAAACCCCAGCAGTTGGCTGTTGTCAACATGTTAACAGCTATTGCACAAATAGAAATGAGAGTTAGGAGGGAAACGATTCTGTGCTTCTAGTGACTCGAGCTGCTGTCGTATGAGGAGAATAAATGAAGAAAGACTTTGTAGCTGCAGGACTTTAATGCAACATCACATAAAAACATACAGAATGGTATTTAGCAGTAGCTTGGCTTCAGCTCTTTGAATGACTCTTTACCTATTTATGTTGTAATCAGTGGAGCCGAAACTCTAATCTTGGTTGCATGTTGGCACACACATGCACACTCTGTGGTTATTTTGGTCTCAGATGCCTCCACCAGCCACGTCAGTAAGATGTGCTGTCTGTTTGATGTTTGAATCACGTTTTCAGTTGGTTTTGTTTTTTCTTACAGGCATCTTGCTTCCACTGGACAAGTACCCGACGGTAGGTTTGACACAAAGACAACTTAGTTATATGCTTTGAAGGGTGACGTTTGTTATCACGCTCAGAAAAACTGCCTGTAGAAGTGAAGTTTTTTTAAGGAACTTGATCTCAGTTGTTCTGGTGGAGACAATCAGTTCCCAGCAGATTAAGTACATTTACCTAAGTACTGTATTTAAGTTCAAATATGGAGTAATTATACTTGACTGAAGTCTTTTCTATTCATGCCTCTTTCTCACTTCTAGCCCACCACATCTTACAGTGAAATATTGTACTTTTTACTTCACTACATTTCTTTGAAAGATTTTTGTTACTTTGCAAATTAAGATTTCTGCACATACAACATATAAATAAATGTATATAATATGTTTTGTCACTGATGAAGCTACCCTGCAGTTTAAACAGGTACTATTAAGACAATTAGTTAATCAACAGCTGTTTAAAGCACTCGTGATGTAATTTCTCACTATTTTTCATAATTTAATTTAATCGAGTGAGCAGGTCAGCAGGTTCATCTATAATGAACATAATCATTAGTGGCGTAGGTGTACAAAATAGTTAGAAATGATCAACTTCTCCCCAAGCAAAATACTTAAATAATAATAATCTAGTCTTATATGAGGCCTGCAAAGTGGCTCGGTGGTTAGCATCGTTGCCTCGCAGCAAGAAGATCGCCGGTTCGCATCCTGGTGAGGACATCCATGTTCTCCCCGTGCAGCGTGGGTTCTCTCCAGGTTCTCCGGCTTCCTCCCACACAGTCCAAAAACATGTTGAGGTTAATTGGTGATGCTAAATTGTCTAAAATGTGAGTGTGCTTGGTTGTCTGTCTCTAAGTGTAGCCCTGTGATAGACTGGTTACCTGTCCAGGTGAACCTGCGTTCACCATGAGTCAGCTGGGATAGACTCCAGCCCCCCACGACCCTAGTGAGGATTAAGTGGTGAATAGATAATGGATGGATGGATGGAAGTGCATTTTCATGATAATACTTACTCACTTTTACCTAAGGAACATTTTCAGTGCACCATTTTTGCCTTCCAGTGTACGTTTACCAAACTAAAGGAAGTAAATACTCGTATGAATACATGTAAGTATGATGACAACGGACACATGAGCTAAACATCATTAAAGTTTAGGTAACACTCGAGTAATAATAAGCTTCATTTCTCATGGCACCGTTCAAAACCAGACATACAAAGTTTTTTACGTGTTAGAAAAGGGCAACAACAAAAGATTTTTAAAAAAAGAGACGATAAAACATTGGAAAATGACTTTATTCGATTTTATACAAATGCCAACCTGTACAGCTGCGTTTTTAAAAGCTTTTTAAACCGAAGCACTGACTCATCTGCTCCACAGCGTTGGAGCTAAAACAGTAAAAGCGTGGGTCCCGTTTGTTTTCAGCCTGGAACTTTTAAGAGCCATTGATTTTTTTGATTTTTTTTTTGTTCTGAAGGGTCGAGTTGCAGAATAAGGGGTAAAGAGTGCTGAGATGTAGAGCGGCGCCAGACCAGATTTATCAGCAGTATCTGAAACTCTCTAACGAATGCAGAGCCAGTGTTGTTGGTAAATCCAAGATGAAAACTTCTCCTATAATCAGACGAGGCAGATATGACTCGACACATGAGGGCCACCACCTCTCCTGGCTGCATTTTCACATTGAGAACCCTGGAAAGTCCTGAGAACACCGGCTCAGACTTTTGTTAATGTACAGCGCCCTCTCCTGTTCAGAAAGGTTGCCTGATTCTTGTGTCTCATCTATACATTTTGGTCTGCTGGTGGCAGCATGAGGCTGGTTGGATATAAGAACCACCAGCTGTGCCCTCAACTTCGATGCCGATCTGTACATCCGGGTTTTTAGAATGTCTCTTTTCTCTCTCACAGATGTTGAAATCAGCGCTTTCTTTACATCTCAGCTGTCACAATCCACATTCCTATCTCTTCATTTCCACCCAAACAGACTGAACTTTTACTTTTGCTTGCTTCAGGCCAAACGATGACATTCAAGGGAAATGTTTTTAACAGAAAGCGAAAAGAGAAGTAGGCCAGTGAGGACGGGCGACGTGTCACGACAAGCTGACTGCCTCGCCGGTCTGGTAAACATTAAAGGCCACACAGCACACGCAGGCGTTGGAGTTTGAGCACAGAGCATGATAAGAAACACGCATGTGGGCAATCATTCATGAGCTGTACAGTAAGTTACTGAATGCCAGGAAGACATTATCCTCTCAGTCCTGACGCCACAGCAAACGCACGCTTTGTTTAGGACGGAATGACCTCGGTGTGCCTCGCCCTGTTTAGGGTGAACGCTCCTAAAAACAGCAGGGACGCCTTTAATCAGGGTTATTTATTAAACCAGGCGTTCCACCTCACCTGTTCGACTGGTCTTACTGCAGGCTCTTGGCGAGGCAGCAGAGAATTAGGCCGTTAAGCCTCTTCACCTGGCTGTACAACAAGGCTCCTACTCAGCACTTACAGCTTTTTTTTGTGCCCTGAAAACTCCTCCTGTATGAAATAAATCTTTCAGTGCTACGTTGTGCTCTGTGATATTTTTGTACAACACAGCAGCAGCTCTAACTTCACGTTCACTGCAACACAAACGCTGAACAAGAAGAACAGGCCAAGTGTGGTGCCTGAACTGAGGCCTAGTCAGCTGTCCGCAGTGAGCATTTAGCAACATTAACAGCTGACTGGGTCTCTTTGTCTTCACTCCCAGACTGCTGTTTGCTCTCCCTGGTGACTGTTGGCCTCCTCAGGAAGTACATCTCCTTCTTGGAGCTTCCCCTCAGCTGGCTGCTGCCCTCGTGCCTCTGCTGTATTATCGGCTCACAGGGCTACAGGCGAGCCAAGGTAAGCCTCCAATTAGACGGTTTGTTGGCAAGTTATGGCGCTGTCTACGCTTAGAGGGCTCACGTGTTTTTAGCGCAACATAATAAGGTTTTGTGCTGAGGAAGCAAGAGGTAAAGTCAGTAAAAACCAATAGAGTGTAAAGTGAGGAAATGAGGACTGAAATGATAGTCATCTCATGAAGCTACAGGACATTTTCACACACGCATCAGATTCTGACCACTGCTGGTTGTTAAAGGTGGAGTCGGCAATTCAAATCCACTTTTTATGAAACTGAACACATCTTTTCAGGGCGAAGTCCAATAACAGTCCATTTAGAGCGTGAGCACTGAAAAAAATCTGGTGTTTGTACACAGCCCTGGTCTTGTAAATGGTAACCAAAGTGACTGATCCACACAACACGATTCCAGCGAGTCCTTTACACGTTTGTGCTTTCACACAGGACAAGGGAAAAGGGACGACGAGGGGAGATGTGCTTCCATGTAATAGTGATGCAAATCTGAAAGTTAACTTTTGAGATGTCCCTAAAAAATGTAAATAAAGCTGATTTCCATTAGAAGCGTCGTGTTGCCAAAAGTTAGCGGCAAGTGCTGCATTAAACATAACTGTAGCAGAGTAGAAGAAGCTGAAAAACAAAACCAGTTATTTGCAATAGCTGAAGAAGACAAAAAAAAGAATCAAAACTTTGTCCATCCATGAGAGAAAAATCAAGAGAAGTATAAAGGATTTGTTTTAATCTGAAAATGTTTAATTTATTGCTAACCTATTAACCATTTATCTCTGGGGTCAATTTGACCCCATTCAACGTTTAACATCTCTAAATAAGTCACTGACATATTTTTTCAGTTTTATTTAAAGGGCTATTTACACATAAACTTGGGTAACAATTTTAATTGTAATATTTTCTGAAGGTTTAAATTGCTAGGATCAAATTGGAAAAGTAATGTAATTCAGTGTTAATGTCAGCTGGTATTGACACGTTTCATGCTGTCCAGAGACAAAGACAATGAAAGAAGCAGAAACAGCTGATCAGTGACGTGACTTAAATGTCAGAACTTATTCCATAAAGTTATATTCGTCTCTCCTGAAGCTAATTACCATTTTGGGAAAAAGTTAAAAACCGTGTTGATCTTTTAGAATTTTTTTGTTTGGGTTTTTTTTGCAATATTGCAGAAGTTTTGCCTTTTTTTAAATAAACTTTTTATCATGCAATACTTCAAAATGTGCATAAAAAACATTATAGAAACACGACTAATGGGAGCGATGGTGAATCAGACAGTTTCTAACTATCTAAATATGCTGATTTACTAAACGTTAACAATCTTTGTCCAGAGCCACAGACTCCACCTTTGACTGACATTTTAAACTTCACTCTAGAGCAGGGGTGTCCAATCCTGGTCCTCAAGAGCCACAGTCCTGCATGTTTCAGATGTTTCTCTCCTCCAGCACACCTGATTCAAATGATCAGCTCATCCTCAAGCTCTGCAGAAGCCTGATAACGATCCTGATCATTTGAATCAGGTGTGTTGGAAGAAGGAAACATCTAAAACATGCAGGATTGGAGACCCCTGCTCTAGAGCTTCTATATTCTCTTAAACACACCTGTGTACCTTCCAGGCTGCCATGCTGTGTCATCGCACTCAACTGTTGTGGTTCCGTTACCTTTACATCACCTTCTCTCGCTACATGTTCGTAAACACGCTGCGCATGATTCCACAGGGACCAAAGAACCTGAAGATCTATTAGAAGTTCATCACATCCTGAAGCACTGATTTCTACACCTCAGGGTGTCCACAGAGCACAGCCCATGAGGTGGAATGTTGTAGCTGTTTACAGATTATTTTGATCCTATATTGGCTGTAAAAGCCTGAATATTTTCTAAAGCACTTTCCATAAACAAAGCTGACAACCATTTTGAAACGATGTTTATTAATATTGGTAATTTCTTGTGTTTTTGCTACAGATATAACTTTCAGTCATACACTGTATAAAAACAACACTAAGGTTTTCCAGGTGGTTCTGTTTTTCTTCACTGTATTATTTCAAAAATCTGTGAAATACTGTTGAATATTTCTGATGTATCGCTGATTAAAAAATGTTTGATTCTTGTATCACAGTCGTGTTATTTTTCTTGGGCGGGTTTAGACATGTCTCGGATGGTTTTGTGAGTCTGCATGCTTTCTTCCCATTTCTCCCCACAAAACTTCTCCACTGTCACATTGCGAACAGTCCCTGGATCCAGACAGTGAGGAGCAACACCTGCGGAGACAACACAGTAAGAAAGGGCATCCTCTGATTTGCATATGAGTAAACCAGCCTGTTCAGGGCATTTGAGTGACACCCTGTGAAACCTACTGGTTCAGTCATTCAAAGTATTCAGTTTCAAGGATAGTTCCTGGTATCAACGTTATCCACCGTTTAACTCCAATTGTGAACATAACACCTCTGTTTTCTACAAATATAAACTCAGGGCATTATGGAGCAGACTGTGTAGGTCAGTTTGAAGTAAACACAGCAGACTTGGTGTGGAGTAAACACAGCAGGGTGTTGAAATAAGTTTACAACACATGAGACCAGTGAGACGATCTGGTCTCAGCTGCTGGAGGTCGTACCGTATCCGTCAGGGTTGGAGCGTGGAGAGTAGAAACTTTGAACCCCGCAGGTTTTACAGAAGGTGTGTTTAGCCACGTGAGTGTTGAACGTGTACGTGGTCAGATTATCCAACCCCTACAAGGAGGAAAAAAAGATCAAAGTTCACCTTTTTTATTGATGACATAAATCATATAAAATGATGTGTTTGAAGCAGAGTCTCTCACCTGTAGGAGTGTGAACTGACTTTTTGGAACAATGAAATGGTGGTTTTGTTTCTTCGTGCAAACGCTACAACTGGAGAAACGGATATAAATTGGTAGAAGCGGTGCTGTTTGAAATCACTAATGTGTTATGGATGACATTACTGTGACTGATTTTAGACTTGATGTCTTTGTATTTGTAAGATTATGATTCGTGTCGCTGAATTAATCATCCATACTTGCAGTGAAACACATGGAGGTCTGGGGAACTCCAGACTTCAAATCGTACAGCCCCACAATGGCAGCCGCCTGTATGTTTCACCAGCTCCATTCTGTAGGTACAAATACAATAACATAGCGTCAGGATGGAAACAAGCTGTCAATCAGATCTGAGTGCTGTGAGATGGTAAGGCTTGCTTCAGTCGTGTCAAGTAAAAGAACAGGAATGTATTTACCCAACTGTTGAACAACGTCCAGACGAAACTGGTGTGACGTGGTTGTTGCGAAACCTATTGATGGTGAACTAAATGTCGCACCCAGAAAGTTCCAGTCGCCCTGCTGAGGAAAACAAAATCAGCCTACTTCAAGTCTATTACTGATAAAGAGTCACATTTGCATTAGAAACCTCTCCCCCAGCTACACCTTGGACTCATTTACAGCTACAGATATGGTCAGTGAATATCTCAATTAAACATCAACTGGGTTTTTCTGAGTCGGGAACATTTCCCTTTTGGGATAAATAAAGTAATTTTCATTTCATTTCATTTCATTTTCAGTTCAGATGATTACAGCGTCAGCTTCCAAAGTACTCTTACAGACCTATTTCCTACTGAAAATGTTGTTTTCCTGGAACACTGTAATTATTCCGAGCGAGGGGAAGGGCAAAGTACAGCAGACTTGCACAAACACATTCCTCGGAGGTTGAACTAGATCAGCCAGCTCTGTGTTGGAAAGCAACCGTCGTGGTTCATCACGGGATGGGTGTCATATGACAGCGTGCCGGAGGGGTGGGATAAGGGAATGCTGTGACCCAAATACATGAATTAGGGCTCTCGGAGCTGTATCATATCTGTGACCCAAAAATAGAAATACAGTAGACTGCTTGACCCCCCTTCGGATCTTTTTGCTCTTTGATTTGATTTCTTTTACAGAGCCACAGTTATCTGTAACGGTGGTGGGAGCTAAAAGCGGTCAGCCACTGGAAGCTGTCAGAGATAAAGCTACACAGAAATCTGTACATGCTCCCTATCTTGCCAGACTCCTGTGGCATTGACTGTTATTTATTTTTGACATCTAAATCTCAGGTGATGGGTGTTTAAACAGCCAGATTTCTCCAGTTACATATCACAAAAAAATGGCGTGCCAAATGAATGACCTCCCAACAGTGAGTCAGTCATAAAATCTTTAATCAGCGTTTAACTTGTGTGAGTTTTCCAGTAACACCTGGGCGTTGACACCATCCCACAATAATTAGATTTATGTTTGAGCTTCCTCATGGAAACAAGATCAAGCAATTTTCTTTCAATAAAAATATAAAGATTTGGGACGCCGCTCTAGCTCACCTGGCTGAGCTGGCGACCCACGTGCAGGAGCTATAGTCCCCGATGCAGCAGCCATGGGTTCGAATCCCGCTCATGGCCCTTTGCTGCAACCCATTCCCCCACTTTCCTGTCTCTCCTTTGACTGTCCTATCTAATAAAAAGGCAAAACATTAAATATATATATATATATATATATATATAAAGAGTTCATTTGCAAAAACAGATACCTCCATCCACACAAACCTTCAGAAAACCCACTTTTCCATCGTCTACCTGAGACAATATCAATCCAACTTAAGTCATCTCTATTGTTGTCATTTCTACTGAGTCAGATCCACTCAGCTTCAGTTTGACTAATATTATCTTAAGCAAACAAAAACACAAGTTTTCTGAAAATCTGAATTCTGAAAAGTTATCTGTTTTTGCAAATGAGCTCTTCATATAAATATATAAAGGATTAACAAAAAGCGCTGAAATACATTTTAACTATTCCAGTTGCTCACTTTGAGCCACAGAGATAATAATAGATAGATAGATAGATAGATAGATAGATAGATAGATAGATAGATAGATAGATAGATAGATACTTCTTTATTTATTAATAATAAGGAATATTTGTGCCTGAATTTAGCATTTTCCTTAATACAAATAAAAAGCTTTGCACCATAAATTGATGACGAAAAGGCTCAAAAATTCAACACAATGAGGAAAATCAAGTTCTTGATGCTTATGTGCTTTATGTGTCCCCCAACAAAACCTTTAAGATTTAAGAGGCCCAAATGGCATGTGAATAAATTACTCTTATAGAAACTGAATGCTCATCTATTCAGTTCGATTCTGGCTGCTCACTTGTGTCTGGGTAAATGAGGAACAGCATATCAGGCCGACTAAACTTCACTTTCCCGTATCCAGGCTATGATTGTGCAGTTTACGGTCACGACTAGGGAAGTGTGTGTGTGTGTGTGTGTGTATTCCCTATCAGCAGATCCTCCTCATTAAATGAACTCTTTTGTCGTGATCTTAGCTGGCTGTAAATCATCGTCTTTATTTAGATGGTCTGCAGGATGGAGGTCTCGCTAGAAAGTGAAATAAGGTCAGGAAAAGAGGCCACTTAGCAGCGCTATCTTTAGCACAGATTCCTCACCCTGCTGTCACAACAGCTGGTAGCACATTCAGCTAACACGTTTCCATCTGTAAGCAGTGGCACGTTTGACGGGGATCAGCTGAAGACTTGTCTGCACATGTCCCTCTTCTGTGTTAGTCACATAAACATACAGTCCTTTAGGCATGATACGTTTCAATGCAACATAACATAACAATTAAAGAAGGAATATTAGTGCAAAGCCGACATTGTTCGGGCCTAGAATTATACAACATTTCGTGTATATAGGTCGTGTCTAACTCTTAAATAGGTCTCTGTTATAACCTCGTAGACATGAACATAACTTAGTCATCAAACATTACTTACTGTAACACACCAACCAATCACAGGTCACACAAACAACCATGCCAGCCAATCAGAGGCCCGGAGATGTTTCCTGTTGCCGTGCTGCTTCTAGCACTTTCTGGAGCCAAGGCCGCAGTGTTGTGAAATATCCTTCCGCTGCTGAGAATCTGTCACAAAATAGTTCTAAAATATACAATTCCGACAAAATGTTTACGTTAATGATTAAACGAATGAGCAATAAAACGATAGTACAGTGAAACTAAAGTCTATATGACGAAACAGTGCGCTTCAGAGCAATGGCAAGTGCTTTTACGCGCGGATGGATATACACTGATGACGTATACAGCTTATACTATATAATGCAGTGTCGATGTGTGTACTGCAGTAGTTCTTAACCGGAAGACGAAAGAAGCAGATCGCCAGAAAGCAAGCACGAGCTATTTACTGCGTTTCTTGATTGTAAGTTTATTTTTCCATTTCATTCTTCCCTTTTTATCATTTTGTGAACTGAAGCGTATGTCTCTAGAGCCTTGTTCGGCTACTGTTATCGTGTTGAACGTTCGAACTACTTATCGGTAATGACGGTGTCTGCCTTAAATGTTAGTTCGGTCGTTTAGTCAAAATTCATTATATTGTACTTTGTATTCTGACTTAAAACAGATTCTGTCCGAGTATACGGTCAACTCATTTGTTTTCGTTTTCGGTAACGCAGCAGTGGCAAGCTAGTGTTAGCTTCAGCAGTGACTCAACATTTCCAGTATCGTCCATTAGCGGGTAACGTTAGCCGAACAAAAGGAAGGTCAATATGATCTCAAAATGGCGCTCGGGCTGAAATGGCTGCTGAGCTGCCGACAGTTCACAACTCCGTTTAGATTTAGAGGTATTTGAAGCTTCAGCCATCTGCCCCTTGGATGAAGTTGAATTGAATTGAACATTTATTTAAACAATGTTTTGCGTAGTGTCATTGATAAGTCTGTTGTTTTTGTGTAGTTTATAATTGACATGGTATTTATTGAATGCAGTGGTTCCAACTCGGGTTGT